ACCGAAACTCACGACCGTAAACTGATGAATCACGACCGAAACTGATGAATCACGACCGAAACTGATGGATCACGACCGTAAACTGATGAATCACGACCGAAACTGATGGATCACGACCGTAAACTGATGAATCACGACCGAAACTGATGGATCACGACTCACGACCGATGAACTGATGGACCTAAACTGATGAATCACGACCGAAACTGATGGATCACGACCGTAAACTGATGAATCACGACCGAAACTGATGGACCGTAAACTGATGGACCGTAAACGACCGTAAGCTGATGAATCACGACCGAAACTGATGAATCACGACCGTAAACTGATGAATCACGACCGAAACTGATGGATCACGACCGTAAACTGATGGAACACGACCGAAACTGACGGATCACGACCGGAAACTGACGGAACACGACCGGAAACTGACGGAACACGACCGGAAACTGACGGAACACGACCGGAAACTGACGGAACACGACCGAAACTGACGGAATACGACCGGAAACTGCCGGGACGCTGCCGGAACAAGCCGTCAAACGCGAAAAATCGAAAGCCTGCACTGCGACTTGCTGAGATCTGCAGCGCGCGACACCGTTTCGAGACGGTCCTGCAAAAAACGCGCGGAAGTTTGGCGAACCTCGCAACGCGAAGCGGAAAACGACAACCCGAACATAAACTGACGACCAAGTGGGGCTTGAGACCCCCGTAACCACTCTCTCATCCAGTTGCTCGTAGCCGGAAGGTCCGCCGCGCCTCCTCAACACCAGCCTCCTCCCCTTGGCAACGTGCATTCTCTGCGGCTCTGCCGGGAGCGGTGGCACTACAATGTTCTGGTACCGGTTCACCGCCCTCTCTAGCTGCCGGCGCTGGTCTGGTGTGGCGCAGCTCTCCACGAGCCTTCCGGCTGCGCGCCGGAATTGCTCCGCAGTCATGTCCAAGCGCAAATTGTCATCTTGGACCCCGCCCCGCGCGGGCGCAGTTCAGTCACAGCGGCCTCGGCGCTAGGCGCGCGCGGCCCCAGATGCTCTGACAGCTCGGAGAACATGGCGCGAATTGGTTTGAGCTGAATAAATTGCTTTCTTTAGAAAAAATAATAAATATTCAGTCGGTCGGACAAGCGCGTCTTTTTTTTCTGTCGGAGATTCTGTTCTGTCCGGGATTCAGGATCTACCGCGTCACAGCGAGTCGGCGGTGCTGCCCTGCAGGTTCAGCGCGTGAGGAGCACTCCAAGGCAGCGAGGGTTGCGCTCTTGGCCGCCAACGAGACCGGCAGCCGCTCAGCGATTTACACCTCGTAGAGTCCCTCTCGATCTGGGCCCAATGCAATGTCGCTCGTGCGAATGCGGCGCTGCCTCAGGGCCTCGCGCTTCTCGCGGAGCGCTTCCACCGCCTCCCAGCTCTCCTCCTTGCGCTCCTCGGCAGCCGCGGGAGCAGAGCAGCGAGCAGTGCGCTGATTCAGGCGCTCACCGGGCTGGAGGTAAAAAGATCCGTCTCGGGTTGAGGGAAAGTACTTCCTAAGGAGAGGCGCTCACTGGGCTGGAGGTAAAAAGATCCGCAAAAAGATCCGTCTCGGGTCGAGGGAAAATACTTCCCTAAGGAGAGGCATCAACGGGCTGGAGGTAAAAAAGATCCGTCTCGGACCGGGGGAAATACTATTCTAAGGAGAGGCGCTCTAAAAAGATCCGTCTCGGACCGGGAAGAAATACTATTCCAAGGAGAGGCGCTCACCGGGCTAGAGGTAAAAAGATCCGTCTCGGGGAAGATCCGTCTCGGGAAGATCCGTCTCGGGAAGATCCGTCTCGGGAAGATCCGTCTCGGGCCAGGGGGAAATAGGAGATCCGTCTTGGGCCAGGGGGAAATACTATTCTAAGGAGAGGCGCTCGCCGGGCTGGAGGTAAAAAGATCTGTCTCGGGCCTGGGGGAAATACTGTTCTAAGGAGAGGCGCTCACCGGGCTGGAGGTAAAAAGATCCGTCTCGGACCAGAAGATCCGTCTCGGACCGGGGGGAAATACTGTTCTAAGGAGAGGCGCTCGCCAGAAAAAAAAGCCGGAATGATCCGTCTCGGCCCGAGGCCTAAGGAGAGGCGCTCGCCAGAAAAATGCCGGCAGCGAAGGATGCGTCTCGGCCAAGGGAAAAATACTTCTCTGGGGCACTGGATTAAAGGTTGGGCACCCTCCAAGCTTCAGAGCTGCGACGCCTCTTCCGATTGAGCTACGGAGCCCTGCTAGTCCAGCACCGACACCCCCGTGCCGGAGAGAGTCACCAGCTGGTAGGCTATCAGGTGGATGAACACGTCCGTCATCGTACCATCGAGTCCCTTGAAGGTGAACCAAGCCAGGTCGGGGTGCTGACGCCGCTCAGGGGCATCTTGGGCACGCGCTGGGTCGGGAAGCCCGCGATGAAGCTGTGGCGCAGGTAGCCCGCACAGTCGATGTCGATGTTGCGCACCGTGTCGTCGTAGGTCCCCGCAAGGACCGAGAGGAAGTGGAAGTGCTCCGAGGCTCCCTTCATGGGGTTGTGCGGGTACTGCAGGCTGCCCAGCTGCATCTGCGACTCGAGGAGGCTGTCCTCCTGCCTTGCCACCCTGATGGGGGACACATCCTGCACCGGGTTGGCCAACAAGTGGATCTTTGAGCCCCCGTCGTTGTCCCAGAAGGTCACGAACGCTCCCATCAGTTTCGTGAAGGCGCGCGCAACGGTGACGTTGTGCTCCGCCACGCCCGTCGGCACCGTGGACTGCTGCGTGTGCACCGTGGGGTAGCTGAAGACCAGGGACCTTCCTGAGAGGAGCACCCGATTGAACGACTTGACCAGCGCCGAGTCTAAGACGACTTGGGAGGCCAGAGCCCGAACGTTCTGGATCTCGAAGTCGGTGCTCAGCGTGGCTCCCGCCGGGTGCGCCCCGGCGTTCTCGGACCACAGAACTCCAACTCGAGCACCAGGTTCAGCTGCGGGGGCAGCATCTTCCCGCAGCGCAGGATGCCCACCATGGTGGGGCGCAGCAGCACGTCCACGTAGCCGCTCCGGGCGATGTGGGGGTTGTCCACCTCGTCGAAGCCCCCCACGGCCTTGTTCTGGTTGTACTCGCGGCCCTTCAGCAGATCGAGCTAGACAGAAGCGTTCGCCAGCTCGCTGATCAACGCAAGGTGTGAGAACATCCCCTGCTGCACCTCCATCCCGGAGCCCGTCATTTGTCGAACGGGCGGTGGGGCTTCGACAGTTGCTTCGAGGTCGGCCTGAGAGTCCCTGCCCTGCCACTACAGCAAAACCACGAACAGCCTGAGGGTCGCCTACGACGGCACCGGCTGATTCTGAACGACCTCGAGCTGCGCAGCAACTCCCCGACGCTTGCTGGCGGCCAGTCGGCCTTCGACGCGCTGGGGGCGTGGTGGCCTAACGGCCTGATTGCAATCAATGCTCTCTTGGAGGCACACAGAGCACTTGGCCAGCTACTTGTCGGCGCCAGTTCTATGGACTGCTCAAGCAGCAAGTGTGGGAAGTCCATGCTGGACACGCGGATGTGGGGGGTGAAGAAAGTTCACCTTCTGGAGGTTGTCACTGACAGTGGGGACCAGAACCCAAAGAAGAGCGGGTGAGAAATATCACTGTCAAGCGGCGAGAGCGAGTACGTCGCCATGATTTCTGGATGCAGTGAAGGACTTTTTCTTTGGCATGTGTGGTCTTTCATCAGAGGCCACGCACCATCCCTGGTGTGCAGGTCAGACAGCAGTGCGGCCCGTGGAAAATCTGACACGCTGGCGCGCGCCAGGATGAGAGGACTGATGCTCATGACGGGCATGGTCGACGACAACAACCGCGAGCTCGGGGAAGATGAGTTCCACGAGATGGAACGTGAGATGCTGAGCGACAAAGGCGCCAAGAAGATTCTCAGCGGCTTGGGGGATGAGTGCCGCATGGCTTGATCAGAGCCAGCAGAACCAAGGAGATTGAGCCCAATGGAGCGGAGAGCGACAGCTGGGTAGCCGGTGCTAGCCATTTTGGCCGGCGTAGGAGCCTTGTGCCTGGTTCAGTGGCTGTGGAGTTTCTTCATCAAGAAGATCTAGAAGAAGATCGTCATCTCCGGCAAGGCAACGTTTCAGGAGGCCAACGACAGCGAGCCAGAGGTGAGTGCACGTAGCAAACTGAGGAAGAGGACCAATCCGGTCCGAATGTTGCCAGGCAACGTGTATCACGCACGAGAAATGTCCCCATTACAAGAGTGGGAGACAGGTGCACAAGTGCCAAATGCTGCGGATATGAAGGCAGCGTGTGAGGACTGTTTTTTTGTTCAGTCATATCCGCATGCATGAGGCATGATGTACATGTACCGCAACGAAGGCTCTAATTGCCACAGGAATGAGAGCAGTGCCCGGAGCATTTAACTCCAGAGGTTTCCTTTGCTCTGTGTTGTGGGCACCTGATGTCTCATGGATCAATTGCACTAGAAGTCCTGGGTGTTTGTGTTGTTGGAGCGAAGTGCAGCGAACCCGTTTTCTATGGCGACTGCACTGTTTGCCCCGCTATGAAAGAAGCGCCTTGAGCCACAATGGTTACTTGTGTGAAATACGCTTGCCATCAGGTCAATGGTCCGAAAAACGGAGATCAAGGGGTTAGGGGGTTTCGACCATAATATGTAAGTGTCAATTTGTAGTTTGCTACAAATGTTCTTTGAGAAGTATTTTGCAATACCGGACAAACTGCGAATGAAGTGCGCGTTCGTTTCGTTGGATTGTCAGTATGTCGTCGATATAGTTTTGTGCGTGCGTTGCCTTTAGCGACATGCCTCCCATGTTGACAGACACACACACACACTTGCAGTTAGAGGGAGCCATGGGGGCACCCAAACGCGACATTTGCACTTCCAGAAAACCCTGTTGCGGTTCCAATCGCCACTTGGTGTCATGACCAGTCGAAAAACAAGAGCCAACTGGCTGATTTCCCGCCAAGCAGAGCCAATTGGGAAAGTCTGACCACTGACGCCTTCATGTTTCCGTTGCAAACGCACGCTTCGTGAATTTTTCGCCATGGTCTCCGATGCCACCTCCTTGCGAGTGCTCGCCCGGCGGCGGCTGTTGGATGGCATGGTCAAGCAGCTTGCTGCAGGGGAGTTCGAAGACACAGCCAACTGCATCCCAAATTTGTGTTGTTTGAGGCATGGTCCACATCCTTGTAGGGGTCTTTTATTCTTCATTTCTTGTTTGGTGGGAATGTTGACGCGCGGACCTGAGGCACGTGCTGTGGGGCGCTGCTTTGCCAGGCTGGGGCTTGACTCATTTGAGGTCTGTCCTTGAGGATACCGGGTTTTGGTCGTTTGAAGGAACGCCACGCCCATATTTCCCTTGGTGAGAGTGCATCCCTTGATGGTTTCCTTGTCAGGAAACAGGGATTATGCTGAGTCCATGTTTGAACAGTCCAGTGTGGCACCCGCCGCGGCGCAGGCTCCTCTTGGCATGGCTCGGGCTACGAAGGGAAGGCGAACTGGCGCATTTACTCTTCCTGGACTTGCTCTAGCGTTGGGTCGATGCTTTTTTGGACGGTATTCCCTGACCGCCTTGCCACCCACGAGTAGTTGCGTGGGTGGGCACAGATGCCGGCTGCCTTCTTTTGGACCACTCTCCTTTTGAGCAGAAAAGTTCTGTTTCTGGGATAGTAGGTTGCAGCTAGGGGCTTTGCATTCAAGAGTTTATGATCATGTACTCAGCTGTTAGTGCCGGGCTTGGCCCAGAAATTGCGAGTTTCGTGTTGCAACGCGAGAACAACGGAGGCTTTTGTATTTGGCAGAAATAATTTGAAGTGCTCTTCAAGGGTTTCCCAAGAGAGATCTCCGGATGCAACGCATGCCATCCATCAGGCTGCCGCAGTGGTCAGGTCGTTGGCACCCCTGTTGTTTGCTTTGGACATCCCCTTTTGGTCGAATCATCATCGTTTGCTTCGCTAACCCGGTCCCGAGTCCCGAAACCTTGGGAGCGGTGACGGTTCCACTGGCCACGGGGATGGGAATCAACCAATTTGCAGAAATCCAAAGCTGTGCGTGCCATATTGACATTGAACGCATTGACTGTGACCGCAAGCTGCTCAGCTCTCCGGTCAGGAGAGCGGTCGGACACGATACTTGGTGCCGGACCTAGCCATTCACAGAGAGCCACGGAGCAGCCGGGGGGGGGTTCTTTACTCGCGAGCTCGATTCATCCAGGCGCATACGTTTCAGTTCCACACGTCTTTGGCCTAAAGTGGCCCCAAAGGCAGACACGCGGGGGGGCCTCGCGGCCCTCGAAAAAGATTGGGGACCCATTTCCAAAGTCTCCAAGTGGTGGGTTTGATTGGCACGGTTGTTTTTCTTTTGCTAGAGTTCCTTTAGATAGTGACCTTGGCTTGAGGGCGATGGTCTACGGGGTTTTTCCATTTGCCGGTAAACTCTGGCCAAAAGAACAGTCGTCCAATTGAACAACAGCTTCTAGGCGCAATTCCTGGTCTCTTCCAGCGCCCCGGCAACACCCACCAAGTTGGCCTCTTCCAACTCTAACATCGTCCTTCTTCGAACATATAAGCCATTGGCGACTCATGCTTGCCTTTGGCTGCACCTTTTGGGGTCGCCAATTCCATGGTTAGCCAACCAAAGGGAGAATGCTAACTCCGAAGAGGGAATGAATTCACGTGGAATTGCCAAGTGATCATCTCAACATGGCTGTTGGCTTCAAAGAGATACAGAAGCCCCTTTCCCTTTGGTGGAACGAGAGTCAGCCTCCCCCCCGGTGGAACGAGCTCGTCAGCTCTCATGTGAGTCGTCAAAATATGCCGTTGCCCTACACACGGGGACAATCGGAAAGCTCTGAATCCGGTGGGACCTGGATTTTGGTCGTCTCATCCGCTCGTCATGTCGCTGTGGCTCGTCCCCATGTCACGAATCTGGAATTTCAGATTCAAACCAACATGAGCAACGCGACAAGCCGAACCACAGATTGGCAGAACTAGTGGAGGATTCTACTTGGTATGGGCAGAATGGTGAGGCCTTTGGGGTTGCAAGACCAGGTGCTTTCGGAGAGCTGACGGGGCTCAGCTGTGGGTGGAATCAATTTGACTCACGTGAACAAAGTGCTACGTGACTGTGGCTGGCTTCGGGAAACCAAAAGGACAACAGCCATTGTGAAACTCCCCATGTGAGGATTGATCTGCTGCAGTAAAGGGGATGGCTTGGGAGAGACGCACATGCCCATTTAATTTCTTCATTGGGGCTCTGATTTCGGGAGCAGCGGGTACTCACCATTCCCTTTTTTTTTTGGTCTCAACCGAACCCCTTGCAGGTGGCATCCAACCCATTGGCAATTCCTGTGTTCGAACCGTCCCCCCACCTCCCTCCCCCCCTTTTGCGGGTGGCATATGTTCCTTACGCCATCCAGGGAGTTCGGGTAGCACCGGCCCTCGAAGGTGCTCATCGCTGACAAGTGGACGCTGCAGTTGCTGGAGCGCGCCCCTCCGGCTGAGAAGCGGCGGGGCTGTGGGTTCTCAGGTTGCCCGAAGCGAATCGACCACATCTGACAGGGCTCCTTAAAAGATACATTTTGCCCATTTGAAACATGGCTTTTTCACCAAAATAAGGGGAAACCACCATTGACAAGGCAATGTTCAGGTGTACAGGATCCCTGTCTGAGCTTTTGGGTTCCCTGATTTGGTCTATGTTTAGTCAAGGTTCCGACAGCCCAACCTTTTCTTAGGTCCTTTGGGCAAGTGAGGAGGATGTCACTTTGGGCAGAAGAACTTGGAACTGGGCGCTCCCCCAAAAGCACGATGGAGGTGGGTGGTTCTACTGCTTGTTTTCCAGGGGTTTACACTAAGGCCTACATAAACTTTGATAAACATCGTGGAACCACGAGTCGACGGTTTTGGACGTTGCTCACTTGCGTTCTGTTTATGAAAAGTGAAGCCTGCATGCCTTGTTTCCCGGATTCGCATTGATCCACACAAGCTTCGGCCTTTTTTTTTCTCACCGGGCAGAAAAAAACTGCCCGGCTTTTGTTCCATGTCAATGCAAGGGTGGCCTTCCTTTTGGTTCCCAAGCAGACAGCTCCCATCTCCAAGCGAAGCGAAGCCTGGCGCGTCTTCTCCGCGCCGCGCCAAAGCCGCCGCTTGCGCGCCTGCGCGGTGTCAACTCCGCCTGCGAGGTGTGCCAGATGCACGACCTGCTGCTGGAGGGTATCGCTCTCGTGGAGGCCATCGACTCCCCGCGCGAGGCTCGAGCCAATCGATTGAGGGTGACGGGCCGGCTTCCGAAAATGGGTACGGAGGAAGCTTTGGGGGGAATGGTAACCCCCGGATGAAGGGAAACTTTCTGGTGGATTTCATAGGGGGGTGTGAGCCCTTTTGGGATTCAGACCACTTTTGGAGGGAACCCCCTCTTGTAGACAGGTTCTACTTAGATCCGCGGGCAGGACCCAAAGTGCGATGAACTCAGCCACTTCCATGGCCTGTGGTGAGTCCTTTTCAGGTGCCCGACACTTGAACCCCCAGTCCCCACTCGGCTGTGGTTGTCAAAACCGTTTTGGAATCCCATTTTGGGTGCACCACCCATGTTAGAACCTATTTTAGTGGGGATTGAGATGTTCACTGTGGGTATGGGCTTTTGACCCACTTCACCGTGATCTGTTGCTTGAAAGAAGCTGCAGGTGCGTCAATACAAATCCCATTTTGTTTTATTCATTTTTTTCAATATTAGGCTGACAATCATTCCAGCGGCAAGCGACATTAAGGGCCCAAAGTACCCTGCTGTGGCAGTGGCTATATGGGTGTTTAAACACATTTGATGTTTCTTACATGGGGAAAAAGTTACCATGGTCATTTGGGGCATACGTCCACTAGACAATTTGTCATTCCAAAAAGTACACGACTGGGCCCTTGGACACATCCAGCCCTCCCATTTCATGAGAATCTTGAGGGACTGTCAACAGGTTCTAGCAAGGTTCCTTGCGCCCAACTATGCCGGACTCTGGGGTTAGAATTTTGAATCCCACCCAAGATTTCGGGTTAGAGCAATCTGCTCTGAAGCAAATTTTGCAGCACTCTTAGAGCCCAACACCATCTACGAAAGTTGGAATTCTTCTTTTGTGACACAAGGTTCAGCAAACGTTGGCGAGAATCAGCCAACTTTTTGGGCGGGCAAAAGCTGAGATGAGTCTTTTTTGTTCTTTTTGGGTGGCGGGCAAAAGCCTTTTTTGGGTTGGGCCTTTTGTTTGGACCCGCGGGGTTGGTTTCAAGAGAAGCCAAGAGAGCCGCCAGTTTCTTGGGTCCGTTCGTCCCGATCGGCGAGACTGGAGTTGAGTCAAGGTTCGATGAGTTTGCGGTGCGTTTCCCATATATTTTTCGAAACCAATTGAAACATGTGGCTCAAAATTAAACGATCGGAGGGGGTTATTTAACCCACTTTGGAATTCCAGTTTTTTGAGCCACAGCCACATGGCTTTTTCAACACCGAAATAAGGGGAAACCACCATTGACAAGTTGCAATGTTCAGGTGTAGAATGTAAGGATCCCTGCGCTCTCTCCAGGGTTTGCCGCTGGATGCGCTCTACTTCCTCTCCCCGACCCGGGAGAACATGGAGCGCCTGGTGGAGGAGGGCGACGCCGTGTTTCTCAAACCCAAACTGGGGTCATTGCATAGGAATTGCATTCTGAGTGTTGTTCCAGGCGCATCATTTCCCTCTCGCTACACGGCTTTTACTCGGAGACATGCGAGTGGGCGACCAGCGCTGGATTTTCTATCTTCAACCAAAGAGCAAAGACGCGCCTGAACCAGTTGCAGTGAAGGAAATTCTGGTCAAGAGGCCCTCAAAGCAAGAAACCGTCCACAGGGGTGTCCTTAGACCGGTGTGTTCCCCCAGCTTTTGCTTGTTGGCGGTTTCTGAAATTTGGGCGCATTCTCCTTTACTCAGGTCTTTTCAAACTGGTTTGGTGATTTCCCAGCTAGCACCAAACCAACACCTCCAAACCTGTTGGGCAACAACCAAGTCGCTGAAAAAAGCATCGACTGGCCACAGGGGGCCGCAGTCCTCAGACCGCGACGGTCTGACCAGGAGCTCTCTGCCCGGGCAAAGTACCGCAGCTCCCACGTCTTTTTCTCCCATCGCCTGGAGGATGGGGGAAACCACGGGGTTTCGGTTTTTGCTGGAGAAGCTGATGAGGCACAAAAGAGGAAGCCGCTTGCTGACGCAATCAACCCGAACGAAGCCTTTGGTCAGGGGTCCTTGTCTCAAGCACCGCTTGGGGTGCTTGAAACTTCGGTGCCTCGGCTTCTGCAAACGTGGCTGATGTTCTGGTGCTTTTACTTTGTATTTCCCCTGGGCACGCGCGGCTCATTCTTGCGTACTTTTAGAAGAGCTTTGCGCTCAGGCCGTCCCCCACACTGGCATTCGAACACGGGAGTCCCCTCGCCCCGGACGTGGGCTGTAGTGTGTTGCGTGTTGATCTGACACGCCGAAGGTCGGCGGACATCAAAGCAAAACTACCCTCCCATCAGGGTGGTTTCAACATCGCCAAAGGGAAGCCAACCACAACATGCGCGACTACTTTTCTTTTAACAGGGGTGGCTGAAGTGGGGGGTACATCGCCCTGGGCTGAATTTGAGTAGGCTCACTTGAGCCGTGATGCAGCGATAGAAGGCACTCAATCTATTGGGGGGAAGCAGATGTTGGAGGGTTCTCCCATAAACCAAAACTCAGGTGCTTGATTTTGCTTCATTCCGGACGTATTTGTACCTTTTCTTATTCGCAACCCACATGGCTGGTAAAGGGAGGCATCACTTGAACGGCTCCGCGTGAGCACAACATAGCATGCTTGGCACACGCGCAGAAGCATCCGGGAGCAATCAAGCTGGGTCGCTTGGATTTGATTTGGATGGTTTATTCATTACTTGCGGCCATGTATGGCCATCCCGCGCTGAATCCAACTGTCTTGTTGCAACTTGAGGTCATGACAACTCTCAACGTTCTCAAACTTGGCGACTTCCATGGTTTCAGTTTCCCTTCCAAACACAAAAAATCATCCAGCCACCAGGTTCCGCGTCTAGCCACTCCCTTTTTGTTTTCTCTGGCTGCTTGCGCGGACCGCCAGGATGTGCTGCTTCAGCAGGTGGCGCAGTCCCCGGAGGCGAGGGTTCGAGGAAAAAGCGGTCGAATCCCCCGGGCTTTCTTTTTTTTGGTGGATGAAAAACGCGCGCTGAAAAGTGAGGCGGGCGGTTGTTCGGGTCGAGCGGTTTTCTGGGTTGGCTTATTCACCAACACCATCCCTAAACAGGTATGGGCGAAGATGATGCTGGGTATCCCGACTTTGTGGCAAGGCTGGAGAACGTTGGTAAGCAGTGGGGTTGAACCTTTATGCATCTTTGTCTGGGAGACGCAAAAAGCGCCTTCGATTGGGTTGGGAGAGTTCAGTTGGGGGCCTTGGGCTCAAAGAGGGCACGGATGTTCCGAACGAGGGCCTGGGTACTCTGATGGTGATCTCTGCAGCAATCCCCCCAACCGAGATACTATTCAGGCACCAGTCGTACAGTTCGAATGACTCCCAAAAGATTGCCACTGGGGACAAACCCAACAAGACAAACCGAGCATTGCAAAGCATCCCACGAAAATCACGCATGCGAGGTGTCTAATTTCGTACTTTTTCTTTCGGCGCGACGCCTTTGATCTGTAAGTTTCGAGGGTGTGCTTGACTTGCCAACTTTGGATTAGAGTAATCCGAACCCATTTGGTTTATTCCAACGAGTTCTACTTCCTGGTTTGCTAGGAAGGTCCATATGAAATTTTGAGCACCCATTTTGGTAGGACCAAATTAAGTTCAATGGGTTTTGGGCGCTCGGTCGAAAGGAATGAATCCCGAACCTCCGCAAGTAAGTGTTCGGACCGCTTTATTGCCAACTCCCGTGTATCTCATGGAGTCACTTCTACGTGGGGCTTCCTTTCCAGGAACGTGTTTGTTGCCGTGAAACTCACCCCCGGTGCTGGGTGAAAGGGAAACAGCCCCAGTTTCTCAGGGCTCCTTAAAAGATCTCCATGTTGCAACCAATCGAAACATGTTGCTTCTTCCACACCAGAATCAAGTTGGAACCCTACCATTTACAAGTTGCAAGGTTCAGGTGTCTTCACTGCATCCGGATCCCGGTTTCCGACATTTTGATCCACAAAAAAATAGAGACACGGAGGCCGCCGGATTTTTTCGATTTTTTTGTTTGTTTTTATCCCAGGCCGTGGGCCGCCTCAGCAGCTTCGCGGAGCTGAACGTGAGCACCTTGTGCTACGATGAGCGCTCCTTTCACCTGCAGGAGAGCATAGGGAGGAGGCGGACGCCCGGAACCCCTTGAAGGCCTTGAAGGCGATTTTTTGTTTCAAACAGCCGCCTGCTTTCCACTCGGAAGTTCTCCTGAGTCCGAGCTCTTCTTGGGCGATCCGGTGCGATCCGGTGGATTTCGGCGTTGCGTGTCCCATGTTAGCTTCGGATTCACAACAAGTTAAAGGTCTCTTTGGCACTGAAGTGGAAAGACTTCACCCGGGGCTGGCTCAAACCTCAGCTGGTGTTTTGGTCAGCCCAAACTCCCAAGGGATTTGTCTTCGTAGAATGGATCTTGTGACCAGCCCGCCATTGCCCGGACCATTCTCGACCTGAGAGAACGTCTTTGGTTCATTCGGTGGATTGCCTTGGGACACCGTCCGCTGGTGTTGCGACACACCCGGAGAAAGAACTTCACACGTGCCAAACATCTCCGGAAGAATGAAAAGGGCTGGCTTGAAACCTTGGAGAAAGGCTGCGCGGTTCGGAACCTGATGTGTTACGGATGCCTTTGGGGCTTGAAGCGACGTAGAATACACCGCTTGGGCCGGGTTGATGTGCTTGCTTTGTGGCTGCTTGAAAGGACACGGGCTTGTAGAAACTTGGCTTTGAATTCTTGGTTTAACAACTTGACCATCCGGTCTTTGATTTCAGCCAGGTTGAGAAAGCCGAGTCCAGGGCTCTCTGCAATCGGAGCTCGCCTTGGGAAACCGGCACCGGGCATCCGTGGTGGAGAAACCACCGCCCCTCTCCGTCTCCGTGCTTCCACCGGCTCGGGGTTCTGGGGTTCCGGGGTTCCGGGCGGTGCGGTGCCTGTCCGATTGAACACCAAAGATGCACAGAGCAAGCCGCGAGGACCAGGGCGATGCCTTGAAGATGCTGCTGAACCGTTCGCCCGCCAGGGCCCAAAGCGAACGGACTATAGAGCATCGCCTTGCGGGTTTCAAAGGGCCAGTAGGTGGGGATTTCAAGTTTGAGGTATTTGATCTGTCCCGAAGGATTTGAACCCAAGGGCAGCCGCTTTGGGGTTGACAGAGGCCCTAAGAATCTCATGCGACCTTGGTCAAACGTCGGCAGCTCAACCAGGCCTTGTCCACCCCCCCCCCGTCCCCCCGTCCCCCCGTCCCCCCGTAGTTGTGGTCCTGTGGTTGGGTTGTGGTGGTTGAGGGTTGGTTTAGAATTGGTTTAGGGTATATTTAGGGTGTATTTAGGGTTGGTTTAGGGTTAGTTTAGGGTTGGTTTATGCTGATCTAGGGTTGGTTTAGGTTTAGAGGTCTACGGTTTAGGTTTTGGCTTAGGGTGTATCTAGGGTTGGTTTAGGGTTAGTTTAGGGTTGGTTTATGGTTGGTTGCGGGTTGGCTTGTCCTGGGGGTGGGGGTGCCGGGTGTGGGGGTGCGGGGTGGGACCGTAGGTGCCAGGATCCGGGGGCTCGGGGTCTCGGGCCGGGGGGGGGGTCCTGGGACCCATACCGATATCTGGGGGGCGGGGGGGCGGGGTTAGCAACACGGAACACGGGACCATATGTATATATATATATATATATGTATGTATGTATGTATGTATATGTATGTATATGTACATTTCTGTATATCTAAAATGTCAAAACATATTAACGTCGGTGTAGCTACCATCTAGTCACTATACTCTCCTTTGTGCAGTGCGTTGGGGCTCACCACTCTCTTGAAGTCTTCACACGCGCTGGCACCCAGGACTGCGACATGCGCGAGGCCGGCAGCTGCGTGGTCGCCCAAAGACCGACATAGGGGTACGGATTTGGCAAGGGCCAAGGGAAGCTGAGAAGTGGGATGCTTGCCAAGGGCTTCGAGAAGGCAACGGTTTGGTGGAAGCTTGCTCCAAATATGTGCACGCGTCCTTGAAGTGTCAAAAGCCTTGTCCAACTTCGGGGGGAGCGAGGGGAAATTGGGGCCGGGGGGGGGGGGGTTTGCAACTCGGAGATGCGGCTTAAAGGCGCAAGGAATGTAATAGAATTGGGATCAAGAGGTCTAGTGGGGGAGCTTGGATATGAGCGCTGTGGCTTACGTTTGCCGCACTACAATCTCCATTCAACCAGGTAGGTGCAGCTCTACTGATAGAAGTTTAGGTGAATCAACTTTCGGGTGCAACTGGGGGTCCGAATCACTTTGGGGGATGGGCCCAATTCTGTGCGGATTGGTTAGCCAATGGTTGGGGAAGATAGGGAAAGAACAATTAGTATCCCCTCCATAGGTGAGTGTTGATTCACTCCGACCAAATCCCTGGTGCGTTGCCCGTTTGCAAAATCCTCCTACGACGGATCTGAGGCTTGGCGACCTTCTTTGCCAGCCTCGGCCAGGAGAACCAGCCAGAAGTTCTAATCTGGTTTGGCATTTGGCGTTAGAGGAAAAACAACAAAATGTGGCAAACCGCCAGAGAGGCAAGATCAAAGCCCATCGCTGGGTCCATAGCTTTGCCTGCACCAGGAGTATTTTGGCAAGAGACTTTGGCTCTGGGTCAACTTCCACTCCTATTGGGGTGGTTGGGAGGACTCATTTTGTCTCCTGTCTGCGTGCTTCTGGTATCTCTCGTTAGGGCAGCCTTGTTCGCCCTCCCTTTGTGGGCATCCTCCTTTTTTTTGTCATCCCCTTTTTCAGGTTTCCAGGTCTCCGAGAAATCCGCTCCCCCCCCCCCAAGGCCGCCCCCTCCCACAAGCATAGGCCCCCCAAGGGTAGGTCTCCCCCCCCCTCGGCTTTTGTCGCGGTTCCCGATTTCTCCGTTTCTCGTCTCAGGAGCCGGTGGTCTACGCGGCCACCTCGAGCGGCATGGGCCCCTGCGAGCACCTGGCCAGGGAGGTGCGCTGATGACAGGTTGGGTCCAAACTTTCTCGAGCGTTGGTTTGGGTTCAAATGGATAGCCCCGTTTTTGTTTGCTTGTTTGTTTGTTTATTTGGTTGGTTGTTTGTTGGTTTGTTTGTTTGTTTGTTTGTTTGGTTGTTTGTTGGTTTGTTTGTTTGTTTGGTTGGTTGGTTGTTTGTTGGTTTGTTTGTTTATTTGGTTGGTTGGTTGGTTCGCCTTGTTTTGTGTAGGTTCACTTTTTTTGGGGCACGGAACAGTGCTGTGGGAAGCGCGAGTGGAAGAACCGGGGCCGAACCTTGTTTGGTTTGACCCCCAAGCAACCCCACACGAGCCGAAAGCTTTGACCCTGGCTTTTGAAGGAAGAACAGGAGGCTTCAAAGTTGAAAAAGCAAGCCATGGAAAATGCCCAAAACGTACGGGGGCTGGTAAACCCACTAGGTTCCCACCATCAACAAAGATTGTCAAGGCATTGTCCTGCAAGTTGCTGCGCGAAAAAGGAAGCAGGGACCGTGAAAGCCTCATGCTCAAAGGCTGCGAAAGACCATCAAGGGCAAAACAATCGAGCCTTCTCAACCGGGCACCAAATTTCGAGACACTTGTCCGATATGGAATCTGCTTGAAGACAAGCGCGCCAGTCACTCCCTGGGAAGTATCAAGGCTATGTTTTCTGGGCAAAGTACGGACACCTCCTTCGATTTGTGAAGGCAGTCTAGGAATGCAAAAGCTGCGGCATTCAGTTTTCAAGCACCGAAACACATGTCTAGGTTTACCAGATGTGTTTCCAAGAAGGAATCCCTTTTGACCACGTCTCTGGGTTTTACCACATATCTGGTTGCCGATGTGAGGCGCCAGGGCTTGGATGCAGCCAGTTGCACGGGGTACGCCGGATGCAAACCGCAGGTGTGTCAGAGGCCGGGAACTCGGATGCCGGGCGTGACGAAGGCTTGCCGTCATTGCCCCGTCTTTTGGCGGGGTATGGGTCAAAACTAAGCCACCAGGAATCGGACCGCAGGTGTAAAAGTTGGTTCCATTTACCAAATATACCAGGGCAAGCCAGTTTGGGTACACGGTTGCCGAACAGGCAGAGTCGCAGCTGACTGGTGAGAATGGGAAATCAGTTGGCGGTTTTACGGCCCTGATGGGTGGGGTGCGTGCATCAAACAAGTCTTGTTTGTGAGTCTTCCTGGACGACTGCGAAGTTGAGGGAGAGCCGTATGGGTGGCTTGCAACACAAACTTGGAAGATATGAGGGAGCCACAAATTCATTCTGTTTCTGTACTTCTATAGGCTTTGTGCTTGGTCGGCGAGTCAGCTTGTTGAGCTGCCAGGGTCGCCTCGCAACGCTATTCAGGCAGTGCATTTTGGGAAGACGTTGCTGGATGACGTCAGTGTTTTTTGGAACCTCCGAAGTGACATCTAGCTCATTCCAGGTTGCGTTCGACGACAGCCAAAATACCAGTCTCCACTTTTGGGGTAATTAAAGCACTTCCTTTGTTTAGCGCAAGCCACCTGTCCGCAGAGCCGAAAGGCTCGAGGAAATGGAAATGCGGGGCGGCGCACCCTGGAGGAGAGTCCTTCGCGGGGTGGGGGAGGGGGGGGGGGGGCTACTTCGGGAACTTCGGGGTCCCCGAACTCCGCCATTTTGATCGGAACAAACACTCTTTTCGGGGTGCTGGTTGAGTTTGTCTACAGGGAAAGACACATGCCAAGAACCCACTGTTTGGAGAAAAAGCCCGAGACCCCCATAAACAGGACTCGCTCAGGGTGACCAAACTTTTGAAAGCTCCTTCGCAAAGTGGTTTGGACACCCGTCCTCACCTCAGGAGTCGCGCGGGCGCGCAGACCTGTTCGCTGCTGATCGTGGACGGGTTGGATGGGATTGATTCCTTTTTTTCGGGACTCTCGAGGTGGACGCCATTCAGTGCCAGATGGGTATGGGTGAAAGTTAAACCACCAGAAAACCACAGGTTGTAGTCCATGCTTCCATTTACCAGGGTTCCATTTTGGGTACCTTTTATTGACCCACAGCCAGATGGCCAAGTTGCCGCTTTTCCCCAGACTTCCCGAACAAAGGTCGCTGCTCGGGGGGGGGGGGGAAAGGGGGAAAACGAAGAGGCGAGTCCGGGTGCCTGCCCAGGTCTTTTTGGAGCTTCCGCTGGTTTTGGTGACTCATGAGCTGCTGCTGGTGCCTGTGTCTGGTTTCCCTGAGTTGGGGGTTTGGAAGCTACCCGTGATGTGCTTTGGTGCTAGCGGACGACTCTATGTGTTTGAATGGACGTGCCCAATCCCTTCAAGACCGGCAACAGGTGAAACTCAGGTCACGTAGCCATGTCGGAGCACTCAAAAAGCATATGAGCAAGGCACTTCTTCTTTTTTTGGGGAGACCTGGGAAGAAGCATGCGGTTTGTCCCGTCGAGCCAGGGGTCCTTCCACGCTTAGGCTTCAGGCAGTCGGGTCGAAGGGGCTGTCGTTTTTGTGCCGCCTCTAAATAGGGTCCCCCGAAAGGCACCGGTCAATGCTGTTGGGCGGAAAAACTCCTGCTCCGGATGGTAGGCGAGATTGTCTGTCCCAGTTTGATCAGGGTTTTCGAATGGGGGCCTTTGAAATGGAACGCAAAGCCTAAACCTCGGCTCCAAGCCAGCTAGAGGGAAACTGATCTATTGGGTATGCTTTTTTTCGCTGAAGCTTCAAAATGGCTGCGGTTTTTCTTCGGGTTTCCCTAAGCCAGCCTCCGAAAAGACGAGCCATAGTATTGGGTTCTACATGGGACTATCCCAGTTTTGCCAGGGTTTTCCTAGGGGTTCCACCAAACCAAACCAGTTAGAGGGAGGCTGATATACAAATATATACATGGATATGTATGTGTGTGTATATATATATATATATATATTACCCTCCCGATGGACCATGGTTTGGTCCATTTACACATATATATATATACACACACACACACATATTGGGGTTGTCTCATCTCCCCATCGCTGGCGGTTTGCGGAGAGGATCGCTCGGTCGACTGGGCGCCGCTGCTGCTGCACGACATGGGCTACGAGGCAGGCCGTTGGCGGCATCCGGAGGTTGCCGGGAGCCGAGACGGGCCCACAAGGTGGGGGGTGTATTTGTTTTTAAAGCTCGATCGAGGGAATCCTTTTTTTTTCTCTTTAAAGAGTGCCACAGTTGCTTGTGTGGTTGAGGGAATCTCGTGTTGAAGTGATAGCGTAGTATTGGGATGGGAAGCAGACACTTTGGCATCGCAGAATGGTGTATGTGTGCAACCACGGGCCAACCCGGTTGTTTCTTGGAATGGGTTGTCCGTTCGAGCAACAACCAGTCCAAGATTGCTGATTCCCGCCTGAGCATCTTGCTCAGGACGAAAGCGGGTTTGAAAAGAAGGGCATTCCCCAACAGTGCCCAAACGCCAAAACAAGACTCCAATTCAACAAAATGGATGTTGGGTCCAAGGCTCTAGCGCAGACCAGGGAACACAGGGTGGTGAGAAGCTTCAGATGGCCAAACTCAAGGGACGCTTAGATCTGTTGGCATGGGCTTGTGGATTGCTTGGAGTGCATCTTGGGTCGCAGCCGAAGGTGTCGTTGCCATGAGCAGCTTGAGTGGTCGGAGTCCCCCCTGCACGAACCAAGGAAAATGGTCATGAACTTCAATGGGGAGCTCTGAAAAGTGGTTGATGGACTTGATGCATTTTGTCCCACTTACTTGAAACTCATGCCCAAAGCACAAGCCCATGACCTGCCCGCGTTGCCAACTGCATCTTTTGGCGACTTGGGAAGCCTTTGGGTTGCCCCAGAACCCACATATGATGTTGCTTAATCCATGTATGGGCCACCAAGTGTTGATTCTTCGGGTGGACCCAGAGTCAAAGAATACTTGTTCTTTTTCTTTGTGCGAGAGCAGCCTCCAACAGGAGTCTGGTAGACAGGTTCATTATTCCCAAATCTGGTCTGGCCTTGACAATCCGGGGGAGGGGGCAGGATTGTTGGGGGGATTGTTGTTTGAGCATTTTGCGTGCTGCTTGACCTCCAACCGCAGTTCCGGCCTTAATCTCTCGCATCGCTCGCCCGGATGTGCGGTTCGGAGGCCGAAACAGGGCTGACAAGGGTTTGTCTCAAACTTGAGGGTCGCTTTCAGTGAATTGCCATTACCTTCAGCCAGCCGTACCTCCCGTTCACGATTTTGAGACAGACCCCACTCTGCATGACACGTTTCCGACAAGGCAGTGGCACTCAGAGGTCGGACGGTGCTAGACTGCCAATGTGCCGTGCCTTCAACAAGTTGCAAAAGCCCGATTCGAGCTTCTAAGTAACCCAGGTTTCTGAGTAACCCAGGTTTCTGCAATTTTTAATATTTGGCAGACATATATATATATATATTTATATATATATATATGTATCTGAAGAAGAACACAAACAACAACACAACAAAAACAAAAAACCTTGCGTGATGCGTCTTGAACTCGTCCGCAGTGCATCAGCAAGACGATGCAGCTTCAGACACACCTGGTCGCATCGCGCCTGAGGGCGTGGTAGGGCCGTTTCACCGGACATCGGCCATGTCGCTTCATGGCTGCAAATGACTGGCTGGATGCCTTACCTGGTGCCTTGGTGGAGATGGCTATGAATATTCATGAGGAACCCCCTGAGAAGTGGTTGCCAAGTACTCATGTTGCTATCCTTTGGGATGGCGGCCGCGAGCAGTTTGCAAGTGAAGGGTTTTGGCGCAGAGAGATGCGTTTTGTTGCCTTTGACTCTGCACGTGAGAAGAACCGGTGTGCAACTAGCGTCAGCTGATATTGAATTGCCCAGCTGGAAGGACCAAGTGGAGGAGACCTTTGGCAAACTCTTAGTTCTCTGGCAGGATTGCAGAATGCGTTTGCGTGATCAACTGGCTATTTTTCAAGTAGCTTCCTTTGGTGAACAAGGGAGTGCCTAGTTAGTTTGGCAAGCACCCAAATTGTGTAGTTTTGCAAGGGGGCCAAAAAACTATCATTGCCAAATAATCCGGGCATTCCTCACTCAGCACCTGTACCTGGTAAGCAATAGCAACGGAGTCATTGAGTCCAGCATATCAGAGACAAGCAGATGGCCAGTGCACTAGGCACTGTTGTTTTCGGCCTTCCGGCGGAAAGCTGGGTCCGGAACCGAACAGCAAGTACGTATTTTGCCGTGCATGCACCCCAAAGTGTTCGCATTCCTTTTGAGTAAAGGCAATAATCTCATCGGTAGTGTTCGTCTTCTTGAGTGTATTTTTTTTGCGGCTTCAATGGGCGACCAACAGGAAAATTTCCCACCATTTGTAAGGTCCCCCCAAAAAAGCGACACCCACATACACGCATACACCCAAATGATAGCGACTCTCGCCAAGGTCTTGGTGTGCCGACCAAATGATGAAGGTTCCCTTCTTTGGGCTTCCGAGGACGAAGCAAAAGCCGACCAGATACGAAGAAAACAATTGGGTTTTTGGAAGCTTTGTGGGAAAACCCACCCAGATGATTTGGACTGTTTCTTTGGGACTCTTTGGTGGACATCATCCATGTGGAATCATGCCCCTGCAATGTCGGAGGCGCCCCAGGAAATTCATCAGACCGGGCACGTCTCGAAATTGAGGATCTCTTTTGGCGGTTGTTGCAGGATCAAAAAAGCCGCAGCCACTCCTCCCCCTCCCACCGTGCGTGCGTAGCAGTGTCGTCAAATGTCGAGGTGCGGTGCCGACGCCGGCGGCCACAAATGAGCCTTGGTCTAATTGTGTGGCAGTAGACACAGCCTCCATGGTCGAGATGATTCAAATACCCTCCCAACAAATTGACATGGAATTTGGCAGGGGGGTCCCTTCAAAGGGAAAATAGTCTTCCAGGATTCCCCTGTCAGGTTCTGTGTTCATTGTTGGGAGGGTAGGTGCGGGGTTGTTGGTGAGTTCAATTCGTCTCTGGTTGAATTCGGAACCTAGATCGATGAGATCCGGCAGATGGTGGCGGACCTTGGCGCCAGCTCCCGACCAGACGGCGCGGATCGAGGCCACATGCTGATTCGGCCGTGTTTCGTTTTTTTGGGCATTTCGGATTTTAAGGTTCGCTAAATATGGAGAATCCCAAGAAATTTGTTCCTGGGGGGCAAAAACCGAGATAGCCTTTGGCACAGAAATGGATGCTCAGGATGCAGCTCAAAGCTACCTTGGAGTTCGCTTGCAAGGGGTGACCTCTGGTTGGTCTTGTCCTTAGACCTGCTTGCAACTCGCATGCAGTTTTTGGATGGCTTAGAGATTTACACGGGATCGTTTCCAAGAATTTAAATAGAGATACCATCTAGTGAGGAAAGGCACGCTTGTTGTTTCTTGTAGTTGAGGAACACGATTTCTTATTTTGATTAGATTTTAACCACGAACTCCTTTTAGAGAGGATTTTTAAACTGAGATAGACAAGCTAGTTGTTTCTTCTTATTAGTTTAATAAACATTATTATTTATATGTAGAGTAGATCGTAAATATGAGATCCTTTCCACGTTGGACGTGAATTAGACATGGAATATATAATTTAAATAGATTTCAGTCAGGAGAGAGAAGGTGGTTGTTTCTTCTAATTTGCCAAACAGGAGTGAACAACCGATGGAAACTGAAGGAACTTCCGCCGTTCTATTGGTTTGCAAGTCTTAATTTGGGAGTTCTTATGTTGGCTTAGATGTTGAGTATTATTTTCCTTTCCAATGTGGGATTTAGTTGGATTTTCCTTCCACGTAGGACCTTAATTAGAATATTTGGCAAGGATAGACAAGCTAGTTGGGAATGCCGATTTTTGAATTGGATTTTAAATTGGAACTCCTTTCAGGCCTTTGTCAAGGACATTGACCACTGAGCCAGAGGCATCTGAAGCAATTGCTCTGCATCTTCAAGTTGTTTTGTGTTTTTGTTTTTGTTTTTTTTTTGGGGGATAATGTTTGTGTACATATAACATGCACAGCTACACACATATAATCTCAACGGTTTCTGTCCAGTCAGTTTCCGGTTGAATAGCCGTTTCCTGAAAACCTCACCGTTGGCATAGCTCCCAAGCATGTCATGTTTGTGGTGCAGTTGCAGTGTGGTTCGGTCCCTTTCCCCAAACACCTTTTGGACCCCCCGACTCCACAAATGTTCCGCCAGGCGCCCCAGAGCCGCCTGGGTGCAATGTCGGATGGGCTCTTTGGGGTGTGGAACGGGTCGTTTGCGAAATGCCATTGGTGGCGTTTGGTTCTCCCATGAAACGAACCAATCAGGGGTGCCCTCAATAAAAACGGACACCTGGAAGCGGGGACGTGAAACTTGACGGCGAAGCTTATAGTCATGTGTACTTTCCGTTTTGTGAACGTGCAGGATTGCCCCCTTTGTGTCAAAGCCGACAGAGTGGTCAAGACGTTTCAGGGCATGGCTGAACACTGGCTCCCGGTGTGCCCCATGCATACTGCGGCAATTTGTTATGATTTGAGCCACAGTCCAAAATTCAGCAGGTGTCCCCAACTGGTATCAGATGGTGAGGGTTTGCCCCCATTCAATTGACATCAGTGGGGGCACCGTCGGGCCATACCCTTTACAGCCAGCGAATATCGAAAGCTGCTTGAGTTTCATTCTTTCTCATTGCACTGTCCGGAAGCCCCGGTTCACATGGTTGTGTTTTATTTGCGATGGCCTTTGACTATTTCACGTACCGGGCTTCTTTGGTTTAGTTTTTGACCTGTGCAACTCGGTTTTTCCCGTTCTTCGCTTTGGTCTCCTTATGAATTGACATGGCTTGAGTCTGGCCTTTGACGGGGATGTTTTTAGTCTCTGGTTCCTTGGAAAGGGTCCCTGTTTGAGTGGCATATGGCACCTGCCCCTAGACATAAGATCAATGGCCCCAAGAAAAAAAAAATGTTCGCTTGCATCAACCCAGTCTTTGTCCTGTCCTATGATTCCGGACACTTCGGCGCGGGGTTGCCACTCTTGGCGTGTGTTTGGCCTTGGTTGCTTTAGCCTGATCCACTTTGACACTGCAGGGATTTTCCGCAAACCTGGCGCTTTTTGCGGCGATCTTGTTCAAAGGCAATCCGGAAGATCCTTCGTTTGCTGAAGGATTTGGCCACCTTTGAAGTGGTTTCCGAAGGGATAGATTGGGCTCTGGTATGAGAAACAAAGAGGGACCTTGCTGAACCACTAGGCCGAAAGAAGAAAGTGTGTCGTAGAGTAGGGGACCCTAAGGTGCTGTTGCCTTGGGTTTCCCTATCTCGCCCACCAAAGACCGATTTGGTGCTCCAAAAAGACACGGTGCACCCATTGCCACGCAACGGGGTGAGGACCGCGTGGAAGCTTCCGCAGCTCAAGCCGGGGCCCTCGAGCTTCTCCCCGCTCCGCTTCGGCTTCCCGCCAATTTTTTTGTGGAGCTCAGAACATTGAGAGCTGGAATTTTCGTCGTTCCGTTCAGTTCAACCTTTTTGACCATTGGAATGACCCCTCTAAACCATCCCCAATGGTTCTCTTTAAGGGAATCCCTGGGTTCATTCCCACCCTGGGTCATTCCCTACTGAGCCACAATCAAAACCTCGGTAGATGAAGGTTAGCAAGGGGCAATCCCAACCATAAATGGTTGCGACCGCCTTCTTAATCCTTTACATGGTTCGGGGTAGATCGTTTTAATACCAGGTTTTGATTATGACTCTACTGAGCACCAGCAAGTAAACACTAATTTCCTTTTAGGGGGTCTCAACAGCAAAACCCAGAAAGCTGCAATCGAGACACTTGGCGCTGCAAACTGGCATGTCAGCCGCAGCTGATCTGTCCAAACGTGTTTGTTTGGGAGGATCAGTGTCTTTTTTTTGGGGGGAGGGCACCTAAATGTCAACCACAGAAACCAGGGGCCACTTAATTTGTCTTGCCAGGGGAAACATGCATAGTCTGGAGCTCACATGTCCCATCGCCATGTTTTGCGTTTCCTCTTGGAGTGATGTTCAAAGCCGACATGTGAACTGCCTGCTTCAAGTGTTTGAAGGGAAGCTGGAAAGAACACACCCAATTTGAGAACTTGTTCAGGTAGAGAGGACGGTTATGACTGGTAGATCTTCCGGCTTTTAACCGCACGTTAAGCAACTACAGGTTTATGGGTTTCTTTTGTTCTGCTTGCGAGGTGAGTCGAAGCAAGTTTCCCTGCTGTTCAACCCCCAGAAGGCCCTGAAAGATGATGGAGAGGGTACCCCTTGGTGAATCAGCCGGGTTCAACGCTTTCACTCGACTTCGATTATTCGATTTCAGCCTTTCGACAGGACGATGGGGACATCTTGAAAGAGGATCTCCAGCCACAACCGTAGAATATATGACATATATTTGGTTGGTAATTGTTCAGTGCGAGCAGGCAAGCAACAAACAACTGATAAAGGCTGAAGCATGGGTTCACAAGGACCTTGGATGAGAAGATCTCATCTTGCTTGTTTGCAGCTCGTGCTGGTTGTCGGTTGCAGGTTGCGGGTTGCGGTGGTTTGATCTTTTCTCCTTCAAAAGGTAAGCTTTGGAACTCCATTTGCGGCAGTGCACTCCATCTCTCCTTGGCCTAAGGACGGGTTGGTTTTGGTTTTGGCCTAGGCCGGACACCCCGTCCAAGAGCAAGCTCCCGAGCTCCGCAGGCGCGGAAGTTTGGGCAGCAGTTGGAACTCACGGCCAGCTCCACTGAAACGCCCTTGGACTGGGACCCTTCTGGCTAAGGTCAGCAAAAGGAGAAAAGACACGGGACACATTCTCAAGTTCGATGCTTGGGCAAGGAGAACTGGAGAAGACTTCAGCTTAGAGTGAGGATTGGCCCCCTTTGAAAGGAAGCAGTCTGCCATCAGTGGCCACGAGGGTGATTCGGGGATGATTGCATGACCCCAGCTGTGTTTCAGACTTTGACCTTTGAGGCGCCGCGAAGAAGTGGAGGCCGGGCACCGGGTGAAACCTGGGGCAAAGGGCAACCGCGACGCGTGGGAGGCCCTGAGGTCAAAAGGCACTTGGCACATGGGGCGCGGTGGTTCCCGGAACGCTTGCACCGCCTAGGAGGAGCCCTTTTTTTCGGGGGGTGAAACCCCCGAGCCCGCGGTTTCCTTGTGTTTTTTTTTTTTCTCTTTCGTGGGGGTTCTCCCAAGCGGCGCACCCAGCGCCGCGCGGCGGCCGAGCTCGCCGCGCGGAAGCGGCGCGCCAGGGCCACCTACGAGCTCACCGCGGCCATCAAGAAGGGCGCCACGCTGCGCAGCTTGGCCGCGCTCTCCGGCGTGGCCAAGGCGAGCGCGCGGGCACGCGGGAGCGCGGGAGCGCGGGCGTTTTTGGGGGCGGGGTGGGTGGGTGGTCGGTGGCTGTTTTTTTTTGGGGCGGGTCAGGGAATGCTGGGAAAAAGCAAGGGGAAAAAAGGGAGATTCTTGGCAAAACTACCAAAAACTAGGCGGCCAAAAAAAGCAACCAGCTTACCAAGCAAGCCAGGAAGCCCGTTTGTTTCCCTTGGGACGCCCCGACTTCGCGACGTCGCATTCGCCACGCGAGCCGCCAGGTGGCGGCGGAGGCGGAGATGCCGCAGCTGGCGGCTGCGCTGCCGCCCCGAGGCCGGGAAGCCGGGGCTCCTTGGGAGTCCTGGACGGATCTCTCGCAACCTCATCGGATTTCACCAGCTCCCTCAACAGCTGCTTGGGTTCGGGGGTTTGCGGGTATCGCCCGGACGAATCAATCGGGCGGATTTGCAAAGAGGCGCCCGCCTGTGAAACTAGAGAGTTAATGTTAACCCCGGATCTAAGTAGAACCCCTGGTTGCACTCCCCTAATATTGGGACGGGTTTATTGATCCTGGGTCAACATCATGAGTCCGGGTTCAACAAGTCCCGAGTCTTTGTGTCAGTCTTCGGCGACGACCTCGGTTGGAGGTCACTGAGGCATCTACTGGAGCTCAATGTGATATCAATGCTTTCTGCTTCTGCACTGTGAAGCCTGCAGATGCACGCGCTATCCCCTTTCCTCGTTTTCACGTTGGGATTTCTTTGTCCCAAAAGGAGAGAGACCATGGGCCCACTGCAAGCCGCCGGAAAAGAAGGTCAAACACGGCGGGATGCCGTGGCGAAATTTTACCAGAAAAAGTAACTCCGTGATGGGTTGGTTTGGCTTTGATTGTTTGGCCTGGTTTCGATTTGTTCTGTTTTGTTTGGGTTGGCTTGTTTGTTTTGGTTCTAGTTGGTTTGGGTTGGTTTGGCTTGTTTGTTTGTTTGTTTGTTTGTTTGTTTGTTTGCTTGCTTGCTTGCTTGCTTGCTTGCTTGCTTGCTTGTTTGCTTGATTGCTTGCTTGTTTGTTTGTATATTTCAGCTTGTCCTATCCTATCCTGTCAGTCCAGTTCTGTCCCGTCCGTCCGTCCGTCCGTCTGTTCGTGTTTGTTTTTATGTTTGTGTGTGTCTCTGCCTCTCTCGCTCGCTCTCTCCCTCTCTCTCTCTCTCTGTGTTTGCACCATATGGAGGTTGCCGTGCAAGTACTTGGCTGGCCAAGAGTAAGGTTTCACTTCGGAGCCTTCAAGCTTGGAGCGCCAGAGGGATGTATGCTTTTGATTGGCAAGTTCCAGCCCAACTGTCAGCTGGCCGGCCTCGAAGGCGAAGCCATTGGCATAGCTTGGTGCTCAGGGTGGGCGATGGTCCCTTCCTTCTGCTGAAAGACTCTTGGGGCAATTCCCAGCCTGTTGTTTCTCAGGGCTTGGCTTCTTCTAAAAACTTCCGGCGATTCCCGGCGGCCTGTTGGGTCTCGACAGGGACGACCACCTCGGGGCCAAGACCAATGACAGGCGGGCCGGTACTCAAGTCAGCGAGGGGTGGATGGCTTAGACTGGAAGATCCCAATCTTCTCTAGAAATCCGTCGCTTCAAAATTCACCAAACTCCAATGTTGTTAAAAGTTCGCCGGGTGAAGAGAATTGGCGGTCAACCTTAAATCTCTCTCTCTCTCTCGCTGCATGTGGATGGGTTGGTGGGCAAACACACAAGCGTCCCCCTTCTGTTTCTAACTCTGAGGATATTACGCATGATTATGCAGTGCCCTCGGCTGGCAACAAGCACACAGGACTAGGGGTTTGTAGGGGTCAATCAATGGCCGGGTTCCTGCTCTGGTCGCCTTATTTGTCGAAAAAACAGAGAGTTGGAGAGTTTGGGACATTGCCAACGGCTTCCCTCGGAGTTTTTGGGTTGGGGATGAGCTGATGGATGTGCGCCGTTCCTAACTGCTTTGGTAACCCCTTTTTGGGTTTCCGTTTCTATTCAGAACGCAGGTTTGATCTTGAGCGGAACCGGGGATCCGGCTATAGGAAGTTGTCATCCGAAGATTGGCCGTGTGCCTTGACAGTTCAGGAGCCTAGATGAAGCGTTCAGGAAGATGCCCATGGACATGAGCTTCAATCACTTGTATGTCCCATATCATATGGCCATGAATTTTAGTAGGGAACTACCTCAATCGTGACCAAAGGGTCCCTTATTACAAATCATAGCCATACATCCTTTATGGAACTTATCGTTTTGGAGCTCTCTTTTCTCATGCGGGGCCTAGCTCATCGAACAAGATCCGATTGGCCACTGGTTCCGAGGGCGTCGCTGGTCTCATGAGTTTCCTCATTTGGTCCCAGTGGCAAGAAGCTTCTTCAGAGCTCATCTCAATTTCAGCACTGCCTTCAATGCCGTCCCAGGGCTGTTGGATTGAAGACTTCCTCTCCTCAATTTCAGCAAAGCTTCTTCAGACCTCTCATCTCCATTTCAGCCATGCCTTCCCCAAGCTTTTTGGGGCCTGGCCCCTGTCCCGAGATTTGGTTCCCATGCCCTCCACGCCTCGAGGCTCATCCGGCTCGAGCCGTCCGAGCCGTCCGCCGGGCAGGCGCCTTCAAGCGGATGGGCACCGGCGGCCCAAAGAGCTTGGGGGCCCAGAGATCGCCAGCGCTCGGATGGGGGTTGGTGGGGGGGGGGCTGGGGGTTGGTGGGGGGGGGGAGGGTGGGAGGGGGCTGGGGGGGGGGCAGGTGGTTTTCCGGAGACTTGCGACGTTGATGTCTGGTGTTCAGAAGCGCACTGAGCTTCTCCTCTCACCCGTTGTCATGGATTGGGCTTGGAAGCTCCCTTCTTGCTTTGGCGTTTTGAAAAGAATGGGGGGCTCCCACAGAAAGGTGATCCTTGACTCGGAGAAAGCAAGTGAGGAGAAGAAAGCACCCTGCAATTTGGCGATTCGGCGATCAGATCGCCTCCCTCCGGATGTTAGCGACAAATCCAGGCTGACGTCGCTTTCCCCTTTTCGGCTTGACCACTCCAGGGTGGAACCAAGGACGTGCCTACAGACATGCTTGGGTGCCGGTTTTTTTGTTGTTGAGGGTACCCTATTGCTTCTCTGCGGGTAAGTGGAAATCAAAAGGAAGATCATTCGGCGTCCCCCCAAAAAAGACACGCCTGTGTTCTGTTGGCTCCTGCTTCCGGACATGCAAGACCCACACCAGGCAGAACAGAACTTCGACATGTTCAACTCCTGTTGGTCGACGCGGCCCAACAAGAAAACACGGCCAGGGGTGATGGCCATTGTTCACACTTTGACACACAAGCCAAGGCCCATAGGCGTCCCTTTTAGGTGAGTTTGCTTAACAAATAGATGGCACTGTTTTTCCCGAAAGCATGGCGAAGGGTTCTTCCGCTGGGTTCACTTGAGTTGTTCTCATGAGAGTCATTACAAGGTGTCATTGCAAGGAATCATCATCATAAAAGTCATTGCAAGGAGTCATTGCAAGGAGTCATTGCAAGGAGTCATTGCAAGGAGTCATTGCAAGGAGTCATTGCAAGGAGTCATTGCAAGGAGTCATTGCAAGGAGTCATTGCAAGGAGTCATTGCAAGGAGTCATTGCAAGGAGTCATTGCAAGGAGTCATTGCAAGGAGTCATTGCAAGGAGTCATTGCAAGGAGTCATTGCAAGGAGTCATTGCAAGGAGTCATTGCAAGGAGTCATTGCAAGGAGTTGCAACTTGCACTTGGCAACTTGCACTTGACTCCTTGCACTTGCAACTTGCACTTGACTCCTTGCACTTGCAACTTGCACTTGACTCCATGCACTTGCAACTTGCACTTAACTCCGTGCACTTGCGACTTGCACTTGACTCCATGCACTTGGCTCCTTGCAACTTGCAATGGCTCTCATGACTCCTTGCAATGACTCCTTGCAATGACTCCTTGCAATGACTCCTTGCAATGACTCCTTGCAATGACTCCTTGCAATGACTCCTTGCAATGACTCCTTGCCATGACTCCTTGCAATGACTCCTTGCAATGACTCCTTGCAATGACTGCTTGCAATGACTCCTTGAAACAAGCAAGGAGTCAAGTGCAAGTTGCAAGTGCAAGGAGTCAAGTGCAATTGACTTGCGAGGAGTTAAAATCTCTTCTTAGGGCGGCGGGGTAGTGCCGACGACACTACACGAAAATCGACCCTCTGCGGGGATCGGCGTGGTCGAGGTGCAAAAACCCATGGTTTTTTGCGATTTCTAACCTGCTCGCGCGACCCTCTGCGGGGATCGGCGTGGTCGAGGTGCAAAAACCCATGGTTTTTTGCGATTTCTAACCTGCTCGCGCGACCCTCTGCGGGGATCGGCGTGGTCGAGGTGCAAAAACCCATGGTTTTTTGCGATTTCTAACCTGCTCGCGCGACCCTCTGCGGGGATCGGCGTGGTCGAGGTGCAAAAACCCACGGTTTTTTGCGATTTCTAACCTGCTCGCGCGACCCTCTGCGGGGATCGGCGCGGTCGAGGTGCAAAAACCCATGGTTTTTTGCGATTTCTGCGGTGCTCGCGCGACCCTCTGCGGGGATCGGCGTGGTCGAGGTGCAAAAACCCATGGTTTTTTGCGATTTCTGCGGTGCTCGCGCAACCCTCTGCGGGAATCGGCGTGGTCGAGGTGCAAAAACTCGAGGTTTTTTGCGACTTTTGTTGTTCGAACTGGTCCTCGGGAGTTGTCTCGTGGTTCGCGCGCCTGCTCCCGGAACCGGCGGGTCGCGGGTTCGATTCCTCCCTGGTCCGCGGGCGGGCGTCGCAAGATGCAACTTGCATTTTACAGCAACTTGCGCAGAGCAACTTGCGCAGAGCAAGTTGCACAGAGCAACTTGCGCAGACCAACTTGCACCGACCAGTTTGCGCAGAGCGCCTTGCCTAGAGCAACTTGCGCAGAGCAACTTACGCAGAGCAACTTGCACAGAGCAACTTGCACAGAGCTTGCACAGAGCAACTTGCAGGGGCACAGAGCAACTTGCAGGGAGCAGGGACCAACTTGGAGCAACTTGCGCGGAGCAACTTGCGCAGAGCAACTTGCACAGTGCAACTTGCGTAGAGCAACTTGCGACCAACTTGCACCCAGTTTGTTTGCGCAGAGCACCTTGCCTGGTGCTGTCTCGCGCTTGCTTCACGAAGTGTAGGGAAAAAGAACGCATCCTGCAGCGTTGGGCCGACCTCGCTTGCGATGTTCTGCTTTCGGGCCAACCGTGGTCTAGTTTTCCTCCAAAAGGCCACCTATGCCAAAGCCCATCATTGACTTTTTGGACGACTATGTTTCAGGACTGTTTTGGCGGGGTCTGAGGATGCTTGCTGTGGTATGACATGGCAAGGACATAGTATCAGCTCGCTCACAACTATGGTCTTGTTAGCTCCACTTTCCCAGGTCGTAGTTTCCTTTGTTGGCTTTAAAGGGAACTGGTCATGATTGGTAAAACACATTGATAACTTCAGCAATTACAAGTATACCGAGATCACACAGATCATTAGTGTTGAATCCTTGTTTTCCATTTGGTGACATATGTCCTCACAACTGTAGCAGAACAACTGTGCACTTTTCTGGGCACAATGTTGATCCTGCAGTCTCAAACTACGAACCTAATTGGCTCGCATTTCTGCACACGTTAGGAAACCTAGATGTGCTTCATGGGGTTGGCTGCCAATCCGAGACACCCGCTTCCCCCCCCCCCCCCCCCACAGCGGATCCTGGGTGTTTGCTTTCCGATTTTTCAGAGCATCGGACACTTTCTTTTTTCCCGCTAAAAGCTGAAAATACTATGGGCAAGCTTGCCCAGATATGGAGTTCCATAGTGGTTCGCAGCCAGCTTTCAGGGTTCCGGGAGGGTTTCCAGGATCTTTTCGATGCTACGTCCCCCAGCCAGGTGCCCTTTGACCAACTTTCTTTGGGGGAGGGTTCCCTACTAAAATAGACTACATAAAAAAGGGTACTCTAATTCTAACCTCTCTACTGGAGGACCTAGACTCAGTTGCCCAAGGCCGACCTTTTAACGCTGAGTTTTACTTGTTGGTCTATATGTCATATATGTACTGGAGGTTCTATCAGGCAACCTTTGGTTTTCAGGTCCTTTGGGCGACTTCAACAGAAACCCCCTACTAAAATAGACTCCAGCAAAAAATGGGTACCCTCATTCTAAGCTCTCTACTGGAGGACCTAGTTTTTGGTTGCCACCTTTAACTGCCCCCTCCCAAAAAGAAACCCTGGCCTCACTTCCTGAGCTCAAACCCCCGCGTTTTTTCTTCTTCTTCCCCCTTTCATTTTGTTGGGGCGCCAGATGTGGGGAAGCTGCTGCTGCTGGGCAACGGCCAGGGCGACCTCGGCGACCCCCTAGGCGCGCGCTTTGGCTTTGGGGGGGTCGTCATGGCGGTTTTTGGGAGATTCGTTTGTTTTGGATTTTCTGAAAAAGTTTTCATGACCCGCCATTTTTTTAATGGTTCATTTTTTTCCATGTTTTTTTGTTTCGTTTTTGTTTACCGTTTACTAAAGGCCCTCGTCGAATTCGCCGTCGCCGCAGGCATGACGCTGCCGCCGCCCAATCCGCCCGGTGGGCCCAACCCGCCGCCCGCCGAGCGCGACCGCGGCGCCGACAGCCGCATGGCGGCCACGCGAAGCTGGCAGAGTTGAGCAGGGCCATGATTTTGACCCACAAACAAACCGCGTGTCGACGAATTCGGGGGCGTCTTGTCCCGGACAGCATCCTTCACTGGGATAAAAAATCCTATTCATCCGCCAGGTAGATTTATCCGGGGTCAACATGGTTTCGCTATAGTTGAGTCGTTGGTTTTGGTTTGCGACCGTTTTTCCCCTCACGAAGAGGATTCCTTTCATAGAGGTTCCTGATTTTGGGCTGGTATTTCAGCAGGCTAGCGCAATAAACATGCAAATTGCCAGGTCACGGGATTCCCCGAGTCTGGTGGATTTGAATGATCGGCCACTTTCGGACGTTCACATCAGTGTGGACTTTTCACACACACCAGAGTTTAGGGAAATGGGAGTGTCTTTTTGTAGGGGGGCCCGCCAAAATAGTGGTTTTCCTTTTGGTTTCCATTTAGAAGACAAAAACAGGGGCACGCCCAAATCGTTCCAGGATTTGCCAGGGACTTTTTTGACCCCTGGCTTACAGTCCGGAGATGAGGGACTCTCGACATGCCTTTTTCGGGCCCTCGGGTGTTGACTCAGGGAGGTGAGATGGTCCTGCCGCTTTTTTGCCCCTTGGCCCCCTACCATGGTTTGTTTGTTTGGCCATGAGGGATGCGCAAAGGAGCAGGGGATGACCGTTTTGGGCTTCCCGACAGCTTAGGCGGTGCGCCCAGGGGTCGTCTGCGCTGCGTCGGGGTCTGCGCCATTGCGTCTGCCCGTCTTGAGGACTCGACCTGTCCTTCCTGTCCCCCAGGCCCAGGCCCAGGCCTTGCCCTTCGGGAGGCCCGTGGTGATCGTCGGTTGCCTTTGGCCTTGCTTGGGGGCCCACTGGCCATTCCCCTGTGTGGTCGCGGCTGACTTCCGCCATTTTTGGTAGTCCTGTTGGCCCTTTGCTCCAGTTGCCCTGGCCAGTCCTATCCGGAGTGTCTTGAGCAGCTTGGCCCGTGATGCCCAGATCAATGTGTCCGTTCCTGAGCGGCCGGCGCCATTCAATTGCTTTGTGCAGCCTTGGAATTAGCCTTTCAGCCAGCCTGCTCTGTTGCAGCTGGGCCACATGCATCGTGCAAGGTTTGTTGTTAATTTAAATTTGCGAAACGTGCCACGCTGATTGCATCCTGTCCCTAACTGAAGTGTAGCTTTGCGTCCACATGCGCGTCGGTTTTGCTTGGCATCTTGGGGACCCTCTGCGAGACCTCGGAGTGCGCAATTGTTCCACGCCTTTACGCTGAATCGCCGCCCCGAGTTGCACACCTCTTCGCTTTTCGCTGGAAGTTTTCACGGTTGGGACCAGGCCGCAAAGCGGGCCAGCAATCATCGAATGCCCAGTCAAGCTGCATTGTAAGCTGCATTGTGTCAGCACCCACTGCCTTGTCAATGCCTCCATTAGCGAAGCCTGCTGCTTGGACCCGATCAAGCTGACAGGGGGCCTTGATACTTTGGCAGATGGAACCAAAGCTCCTTGCAGCAGGCAATGTTTTTTGATGGTGGCAGTACCCCCGATCTTCTATTCCCAGCGTTCTGCTTTCCACATTGGCGGATTTGAAGTGCATGGCAGCTTTTCTTCATTCATTCCTCACACTTGAGCGCTTCACTGGGGGCAATGCAGTCGCGGCCGATGGTTTACTTGAAGGAGTTGATATTGATCCTCTCGTCTGGCGTCTTCCCAGCGGCCTTATCTGCTTGTTTTCAGTGGCGCTCAGCCGCTGGGAACGATCCAGACGTGGCCGTTTGCCTTGGCTGGCGCGCAAACTGCCTGCCCATCTGCTTTTGGCGTTGGGTTTGCTGAGAAGCACCAGTCTTCTTGCCGCACAGTATTTGCTTGCAGGTGGTTATTGACAAAACCCGGTTTTTGTCTGGTTCCGACTCTCGCACTTTGCTGCGCGTCCGCTAACTCGTCTCATTCATCTTTGTTTGGTCCTGTGTGACCCTGCAGAATCGTGTTCGCCGTGAGGAAGGAGCAAATGGGAGGTTTTGTGATGGTCAGTATGAATGTGGGCTTATGGTCTACTTGAAACACCAACCAAAACGATTCTTTTCAGACAAAGGGGGTCTTAAACGGAGACCAACGGCTTGCCCGCCAGGTTCCCCTCGCCCTTGGCGAAGAAGATGAGAAGCGTACTGCAGCGCATACGCTCGCAGGCGGCTGTTGACCTTCGCGCCATGCGTTGGATTTAGTGCGTCTTTTTTTGATGATGGAATGAAGCCTGTTGTGAGGTTGCTTTTTCATGGGGAAGCCACTCATTTTGTTCAAGCCTATTTGGGTATGAATTTTGATTGGGGACATCATTTATGGTGGGGGATTTCAGCCCATTAAACATCGCCATTTCTCCGTGTCAGGAACCCTCGTCGGCGCTGAAGCGTATGGCCGAACGTCAGGAGGCGACACATGTTTGCTGCTGCGGCTTTCGTCCTTTGGGGCATATTCTGTGTTTTAGTTTGCCTTCAAGTGTTGTGGGGGCCGAGGCGAATCTGAACAAATTTTGAAAAAATATATAGAACTAATTTGAAGCCGGCATGTGTGGCTGCCTCCTAAAGAAGTTTGGACACGGCCCCCAGATTTCCCGTGGCCCCGTCGCCAGGAGCCAGAGGTGCCCAAAGCGGAGGCACCACCTGAGGCAGGAGCCGAAGGGCAACTCCAAGTCGGTTTACGCATCAACTGGGCTGCCATAAGAATTTGATTCTGCCTGGGTTTGAGGCGTAAAGCATCACCTGTTGGACGGCCCTACTTTCAAGTTCATCTTTGGAGTGACGTTGAAAGGGGACAGAGAGGGAGCCGTGCTGAAAGGCAGGAGATGCACAGTCAGCATGTAAATGCACAGAGACACCTCCCAGCAAAGTGGGGAAAGCTTCTTACTGACTAGTTTGGGGCTTGTGGTAATTGGTTTCCTTTGGCCTTTCCTTTGAATCCAAGCAGGTCATTGACTAGCAAAAGGAAACGGTCTGCTGCTCATATTTTAAACCAAGGGGCCTTTGAGCTCCAGGCCTCGGCCCCCGCGTTTGCGGCGGATGCGGCGGTTGCGAGCGCTGGATGGAAGCCGCTGGCTGCAAACCTCAACGGCCTACAGCCTGCGCCGGAGGCGAGGGGTCAAGGGGTCAAGGGCTAGGGTGGAGGGAGGGGTCCTCGAGGGCTCGAGGGGTCGAGGGAGTTTTTGACCATTCCCGTCTGCGCTTTGCCATGTCTTTAGTTGGCTATGTAGTTTTTTCATTTTGTCATTGCTTGGCTAGTCTTATTTGAGTCGTCCGCAGCTCAGTTTCTCATATAAACCTTCTTTGGTCATATCGACGGCTTTGGCTCACCCCGATGCAGGTGCTGTCGCCCCCCTCGCCCTTGCCGCCCCATCCGGACGATCTAGAAGAGGCCAGCCATGAAGATCTGAGCGAGCGGCCGGTCGCCTTGCCACTGCCACACATCCCCACGGGCTGGCAGAAGAAGGAGGGGGAGGCGCCGCGTTGGGCCGTGTTGGGGCGCTTGGGCTTTGAAGACCTCGTTCGACAACTGAAGACAGAAAGAAAGAAAGAACGAAAGAAAAAACAGGAAGGAAGGAAGGCAAAAAGGAAGGAAGGAAGGAAGGAAGGAAGGAAGGAAGGAAGGAAGGAAGGAAGGAAGGAAGGAAGGAAGGAAAGAAGGAAAGAAGGAAAGAAAGGAAAGAAAGGAAAGAAAGGACAGAAAGGACAGGAAAGGAAGGAAAGGAAAAAAATGAAGGAAAGGAAGGAAAGGAAGGAAGGAAAGGAAGGAAAGAAAGAAAGAAAGAAAGGAAGAAAGGAAGGAAGAAAGGATCTTGTCCAAATTTTGGCAGGGACTGGTTGAATGGGTCCAGCTTGCTTGCTTCATTAAAGCGCCATTGAGGACTAAGAACCGTTGCTTTTTCCTTTTGGTTTCCTGGTCGGAGGGACTGGGATTTTCCTGGTGGGCCGCGAGTCAGGAGCCAGCTTGACAGGTCGGGTGCAGATGGAGAGGCAAACAGAAATCCGGAGAGGCACGCGCCCTCATAAATTTTCGGTTTCCTGCTCGTTCGTTTTTTTTTTTTTAAGAGAGGGGATATATCCCGACTCCTTTGATACGATATCTTTGATGATGCCTCAAATGTGACTATCCATTTCGTTTGCACAGGGCCGGACCCAATGGTTTTCTAGATGGCAAGAAAGCAACGCGTCTTCAATGCGGCAGAGAACGCGTGTATGGACGCGGGTTTATTGGACAGGGCTGGTTTGTGGTTGGCTTGGCTTCATTCAGGACACTTCTAGCCAGCAAATCTCCCGATTTCTGATCATGAGTGTATCCACTGTGGGTCCTTGACGCAAAATGGGCTGCCTTGGTGCAGGGATTTGGTTGCCCTTGATGCAACATGGGTGCCTCGGTGCAGTGGTAAATGGGCAACCCAAAAACCCAAATGGCAGGGTCCGCCATGCAGGCGGTGGCTCAGATGAGCGCCCGCCTCGGCCGCCGCCTCAGCGAGCGCCGCGTGTCCGACGCGGAGAAGCCGCCCAGGGCGCGGCGAATGAGCGAGCGCCGCCTCAGCAAAGCCGAGGAGCGGAGGCGGGCGCGGAAGCGCAGAAGCCGTGGGCTAGGAGGCTTGGGGTCCATGTTTTTTTTCTTTGAGGTTAATTGAATATGGGATCGAATCAGCGGATTTGGTATTTTTGTGCGGCAGTCGATGTGGGATCTGATACTCCAAATCCATTGCCAATGGTATGGTCAATTTTGAATAGCCGACCTTCCAAATCCGTTGCGGTGACCTGGGAAGATTGGTTAGGGGGCCGCAAAGTAAACTTGGAGGAGACAGACCTCCTGCTTGTAAGGGGGTCAAGTCACTTTAGACAGATATTACAAACAAAGGATTCATTCAGACTTTGTCACCCATACAAATAGCATTTGCTCTGCTACGTTCTGAACAAGTTGGCAGTGGTATTCCTCGTCTTTTTTCTTCTTCTTCTTCTTCTTCTTCTTTTTCCCCAACCATTTCATACATATTCTGGTCATACACTCAATGTATTTCAACAAGCATCATACACAAAACTTGGCACAGTAAAAGAAAAGAAACAAGTTGGGTAACGTGTCATATACACATCTCTGAAGTTTTTAAACATGTCGGCCAAGAAAAACACATTTGCTGTCAAATAGAGATTGTGATGTTCTCTCAATGTGTCCAGATTAATTTTGTTTTGGCATAGTCTTCATTGCTAATCGCTAATGTTATCCTCGCTCAAGCAATTGACTGTAAAACTTCGCCGGTTGGGGTACCGGCGCAAGTGTATCAAACAAAAAGGCAAACCATACCTCTTCTGCTTCGCCTACACATCTTCGATTTCCCATCTCAACTGATGTGCAAACCCTCTCCGTCTGTCAACTTACAAACCTGTGGCAATACCAAAACATCTGATACGCATCCTCCATCTCTCATATCAACTCATTTGCAAATCCCCTTCATCTGTCAGCTCGCAATTAGCCAATACCACAGCATCTGCTCACATTGTATATGCCTTGATCAATGCCAAGCTGTCTACTAAAACAACTCATTGACCAATACGCTCACACCTCATATGACCTGACCAATGCCATGCTGTCTGCTAAATGAACTAGTTTCCGTGAACAAAATATGTTCTGCGCAACACCTGCAAAACAACATGCAACACACACTGGTATTTACACAATGTTTTTCAATATCCAAGGGTTGGGGTGGAGATGTTTAAGTCAATAAACAACATGTCCAATGTTCATATGCTGAACTATCAACTGTATTGACCGCACACAAGTCGAAAAGAACAACAAGGTGCGCACCCAAACAAGAATGTCTGAAAGCAGACGCTTTAAAGCGCTCTTGGATCTAAGATTCAAGATTCAAGATTCCCAGGACTCTAGTTCTTGAATCTTGAATCCAGTACGGGGCCCCCAAAACGCTTTAAAGCCCGTTTCAAGATCTAGAGCCCTGGGTATCTTGAATCTTGAATGATGGATCCAAAAGTGCTTTGAAGCGCTTTAAAGCTTTTTAGGTGTCACAGTCAAATGTCAGCAGATGCGGGCATAGTTAAATGCTCAAAATTGGAGTGCCTGAAAAGGAATATCGCCAAATTATCTTGTCGTGTTCTTTTTTCTTTCTCGTTTTGCTGTTGGGGGAAATATATATATATATATATATATATACATATATATACATACATATACATATATATATATATACACATACATATATATATATATATATATATATATCACAGAATCTGAACCCCTAGTCTGAGGATACTAGTAAGGGGTTGTTCCCAAGTCTGAATATCTTAGTAAGGGGGTTGCTCCCAGAAACCAACCGTAAGGGGAGCCATTGATTTCTGTTTTTTGGTGCGTGAGATTCGCGCATCCGATTTTCACCACCCAGCACGGACATTGGCAACGGGAGATTTCGAGCATCGCCCTTGGGCCAGGAGGGCAGAAGGCATCCGGTTCAGTACTTCAATTCGTTTCTCGGAGGCGCGCAACGGGGTAGTTACACCTTCCAAATGAAAATGCCGTTCTAAGCTTGCTGGTCCTCAGCAGGGAATGATTTTTTTTTTCCCCATCAACCATCCAACTGGTGGTTTCCTTTAGGGGAATTCCTAGGTTCACTCCCACCCTGGGTCTTTTAAAACCACCCAACTGGTGGTTTCCTTGAACAAAAATCCTAGTTCACTAACACCACCCTGGGTCTTTTAAACCATTTCCTTTAAGGGAACTCCTAGGTTCACTAACAACACCCTGGGCCTTCCCTCGAGAGCGCCAGGCTCTCCTTCCTTCAGAACCGGGCGGCCGCTGGCGCGGCGCCGGCGCCGAAGCCGTCGGAGCCCTTGGCTTCGAACCGCTTGGCAGGCGAATGGGCCGAGGGCCGAATGGCCGCAGCCGAAGCGTTCTGCTCCTCGTAGTTTGTCCAGCAACACCACACACACACACATGCACACACGCATATATATATATATATATTGTGCACACAAATGTGTATACACATAATTATACATAAAAAAGAAAAACAACTTAATTGGAACTGGGCCAAATCAAAGCGAGGGTGATGTCAAAATAAAGGGAACCCAGTTGAGACAACTGGGGTCTTGCTGCGAAAGACTTGGCCAATTTTGCTGGAGTTTTGCTTTTGAAAGTGGACCGTTGAAAGAGACTCACTGGGGTTTGTGGACCGAATGGACTCTTGACAATTTTCAAACTTTGCAGAATTTCCGGATCCCGGCTTGCACCTAAAAAGCCCTTGAAAGCCCAGAGTTCGGGGCCCCTTGCTTTCTTTTGGATGTCCCCCAAACTCATGGAAACGGCCCCAACATTCCATTTCCGTGATTGGAACGAAGGTGAACAACGGCGTTTGGTTTTCTGCCACTTTCATGGTTGTCGTTGGGAAACATTGAACACAGTTTTTGGCTGATGGTGGTTTAGTGGTTGAAATCCAAGCACTTAACTGCTAACATTTGAGAATTGTTGCTCCCCTTCCAAAGTCAACCAAGCTTTCGGATGTTCTGAAAACCTACAGAACCCAAAGAACCATTCTCCCAACTGCGTTTTCTGGCGCGGACTCGAGGTCTTGGACGTGAAGAACAACAGAAACACCGAGTGTGCTAAGTCACAAGTATAACATGTTTGGGTTTCCAACGTGGGTTAGTTTACATAGCAAATCCCAAAGTCTAACAGCTTTTGATTTTTGCAGGGCAAGGTCTTTTCTTTGCGCGATTGTTTTCGTTTTTTTCCCGGCAGCATTGCGAAGAGCTCTTCCCCAAGAACGGCTTCAGGCTACACCAGCCTAAGTTGACTATGTTACAAACAGACATCGTCAAACAACACAGACCATTGCTTGGCTCATTCCTTACTGTTATGGTTTGGAACGCCCGCTCCAAACCGTTGAGGGGAGGCTAGCACGTCAGAGCCACAATCAAAACTCGGGTAGATGAAAGTTAGTAAGGGAGCATCCCCGCCAGAAATGAGTGCAGCCGCCTTTGTAATTTCCTTACATGGATTCGGGTGGACCATGTTAACAAGCAAGTGGCTTGTTGTGGACCATTTTGGCGCCATTCTTTGCCTGGATGTGCAATTCTGTACGTGGATTCGGGTGGACCATTTGAAAGAAAGCATCCTCGACATCCCCGCGCATCCCAACCGCGCCTCGACAAGTGGGTCACAACGGGGGGGGGGAGGGGGGGAGGGGGGGAGGGTCACAATGACTAAGGGTAGAGGGGGGCTAGAACCTGGAACATATATGCAATCTCATGAACATCTGGCAAAGTTCGGTCGATACATCAATACCGACCTTTTATTGGTTTTGATTTTCCTATATGTATATATGTATATTAATATATATATATATATATACACATATATATGTATATATTAATATGTGACTTTTGACTCACACGATCTTCGGTGAAGAGCTTTTCCTCTCGGCGGCGCAGGGATGGTGCTGGAGCTCCAGGTCCAAAAGCCCCCGCCGGGCAGGCGACGTCGACGGGCGACGGGAGGTCGAGGGGCGGTCGAGGGGAAAAGGGGCGCTGGAGGAGGACGGTCGTTTCTTTCTTTTGTGGACTGGGGACCTTTTTGTTTTTTGTTTTGTCGGATCCGCCATTCGGATCCGCCACAAAAACTTTTTTTCTAGTCGAACCCCGAACCAAATGGAGGTGAAATGGAGACCCGCAGAGCAGGTTAGGCCCCCCGCAAGCAATCTGCACGTCGCAAAGCTTTCGTGTCATCATTTCAGGTTGGTGAGTTAGATGGTGGCTTCTCCAATCGGGACGCCAGAACTGCAAGTTTCCTGGTTCTGAATGAGCGCGGTTACCATCGTGCGACAGCATTGCAATCAGTGCCTTTCAGTCTTTGGTTGATCCGCTGAGAGCCCAGCCATTGCTAAGCCCCGACACCTGGCCTTTGGGATGCGCTCGCAGGGGATTGAACGTTTCTCAAAACATTTGGGGGGGAGAAACCTGCAAACTCTGAAGCTGGACCCTCAGCCGGGGTTTCCATTGCATTGAGCTTGGCAGGCCTGCACGCTCATTACATGCAGGCATGCCATTTTGGAACTCACAGTGGCTGGATTCTTGTTCCCACCCGACCCATGAAGGTCCGGCGTTCGGCTTTGCAGACTGGAAGGCTTCTAATCCAGAAGTTGGCCCCCGTGTCGACCCCTGTGGGAGTTCCCTATCGCGCTTCGGCCGTGGAAGAATCGCAGAGGCTCCACCTTCAGAAGGATTCCCAAAACGAAATCCCCTGAGTTCAGGGTTCTTACGTTCCCCCAGTAGTGCCCCTTTACCCTTTTTTTGGGGAGGGTTCCCCCAACTAAAATAGGCTGCAGAAAAACGGGTACCCTTATTCAAACCTCTCTACCGGAGGACCTAGGTCATGAGCAGCCGGCAGAGATAGGTTGAGAAAGTTGAGCAGGGCGAGCCCCTATTTGACCCGACGCAAGGACTGAATGACATCTGGCTTTCAATGCCACTTCGGAAGATTCAACAGGAGGTTCCGCTCGGCGGGGAACCCTTCCTCCAACATGCTCTTGCTATGTCGCCCTTTCCAAAAGCCGCGTTTAGCGGCAGCGCACCAGGGTTCCATTTTCCAGGATCCCAAGCTCGCCATGGTTCAAAACCAATGGTACCATTTTGGGATAGGTGCACCACCCATTTTAGTCTATTTCAGTGGGGATTTGGATGTTCACTGGGGTACGGGGTTTTGACCCATGGCCAGCTGCCACCAAAGGGGTTTCCCAAGTGCTTCGGTAAAGGCGGGCCTCCATGCGCGCCACGGAGCCGGTGAAGCCCAACATGTGGCAGAGCCTTGGGCGCTCGCTGGCGCGTTGGGCGGGCATGTTTGGGAGAAGCGCCACGTGGGTGTGTCTCAAAATGAAGGAGCCAGGGGAAACCGCTAGTCTCTGGTTCCATTTACCTTTTGGCACCATTTTGGTACATGAATTTGAGCCACAGCCATGTGGCTATGAATTGCCCGACTTATGACACGACTTGGGGACCTATGTCCACCACTTGTGAGGGTGTTAACCCAGATTGGCCCATAGCTGAGGTCGTTGGGGAAAAAAACATTTTAACAGGTAAGGGTTTCTCGCGCCTGTCCCATGACGCGAGCTACCTATGGCTTGCTTCTGGCTTCCCTTCTCATCATTTGGGGATGTCCAAAGTAGGCACCTTCTACGATCCCTTGGTGCCAGGATTTTTGTTTGGGCCTCTCCTAAGTGAGAAAAGGGCTTTGCAACCATTTTTTCTTGGGTTTGGTCCATTGAACCTGAGTTTCAGTCATGGCACAAAAGCTTTCTCCCTACTTGACGCAGTAGTACATACAAAACCATTTTGGGGGATACGTCTTGGGGACTTGCCCATGAGAATGCATGTTAACTTCGCCGTAATAAACACGGATACAAGCGGGTCATAAACTCGTGGGGACGTCAAAATGACTGGTTTTCTTTTGGTGCAGCAATATCCAAAGTGAGGAAGGGCCTCAATTTTAGAATCCTTAGAAGGCAAGACGCAAGAAACCACACTTGGGGGTCCCTATTTTTAGAACATGCTCAAAAAATCCGGTTTGCTGATTGGATTCTTTTAGCGCGAGTTGACTCGGTGATTACACCCTTTTTAAACTGCTTGGAAAGGCATTTGGAGTGGGGCTGTAATAATTATCGAGACTTTTGCATCACTGTTTTGCCACTTTGCCCACTTCTGGCTTCCACGCCCCCAGAATGACGTAGTGCCGGCGAATCCTACAAGGGTCCCTTTGTTTCCTATTTTTGCATGGTTTGAACCTCATTTTTTTGCTAGTACGTGTCCTTTTGGTGCTTGCTAGATTGGCATACAGGTAGGCTCCGACGCCCTGCCCAAATCCCCTTAGACTCGCGATTTGAGCGACTCTCATTGGGGCCGAAGGCGGCCGAGGGTGCTTTTTTTTTTTTGCTTTCGGAAGGGGGTTGCCTCATTTGGCTCTGAAATCTCGCCCCCGTACAACATGGAATTGGGCGACCACCGTGGTCCCTCTTCTTTGGAGGGTATGGCCACCGCTCTCAGGATGTCGGAGGATCTGCCGTCGCCCATGGCATCCCCAAGGGCGGCGCCCGTGGGGAAGGCGCTGGCCGGTTGCCATCTTGGGGGGCCTCTCAAATGCAATTTTCTCATTTGGATGTACCACAAAACAACCAATCAAGACCAAACACACACACACAAACAAACAAACAAACGAACAAGCGAACGAACAAACGAACCAACGAACCAACGAACCAACGAACCCACGAACCAACGAACCAACAAACCAACGAACCAACGAACCAACGAACCAACGAACCAACGCACCAACGAACCAACGAACCAACGAACCAACGAACCAACGAACCAACGAACCAACGAACCAACGAACCAACGAACCAACGAACCAACGAACCAACGAACCAACGAACCAACGAACCAACGAACCAACGAACCAACGAACCAACCAACCAACCAACCAACCAACGAACCAACCAACCAACCAACCAACCAACCAACCAACCCAACCAACCAACCAACCAACCAACCAACCAACCAACGAACCAACGAACCAACGAACCAACCAACCAACGAACCAACCAACCAACCAACCAACCAACCAACCAACCAACGAACCAACGAACCAACGAACCAACGAACCAACGAACAAACGAACCAACCAACCAACCAACCAACAAACAAACAAACAAAGCAAGCAATCAAACAAGCAAAGAACAAACAAAGAACAAACACAAAGAACAAAAACAACCAAAACAAAACAAAACAAAACAAAACAAAACAAAACAAAACGAAACGAAACGAAACGAAACGAAACGAAACGAAACAAAACAAAACGAAACGAAACAAAACAAAAGAAAGCAAAGCAACGCAAAACAAAACAACACAAAACACAACACAACAAAACAAAACAACACAACACAACACAACACAACACAGCACAGCACAGCACAGCACAGCCCAACGCAACGCAACGCAACGCAACGCAACGCGAGGCGAGGCGAGGCGAGGCGAGGCGAGGCGAGGCGAGGCGAGGCGAGGCGAGGCGAGGCGAGGCGAGGCGAGGCGAGGCGAGGCGAGGCGAGGCGAGGCGAGGCGAGGCGAGGCGAGGCGAGGCGAGGCGAGGCGAGGCGAGGCGAGGCGAGCGAGCGAGCGAGCGAGCAAGCAAGCAAGCAAGCAAGCAAGCAAACAACTACACAAATAAGCCAACAAACAAGCCAACAAGCAAGGAAACAAGCAATCAAGCAAGCAAGCAAACAAACAAACAAACAAACAATCCTGCCAACCAAACCAAACAAACACACCAAGACAAACAGGCCACAAGCAAGTAAGCAAGTGTGCTTGTACTCCACCCCGCCAGTTGCCTTGTCCAAAAGCCACAGCCCTCAGCATGCTTTGGTGCACATTTCAGCAGATTGCCTTCCTTTGGCGAAGGGGGATCAAAAGCCTTTGTTGAAAGGGGTTCCTGCGCGCCAAGAGCCTTTGTTGAAAGATCAAAAGTCCGTTGCTTGTCACGTGCGATCCATGGTGAAGTTGCCGCATTCCTGACTTCCAGGTCTCAGGCAGATGAGCCTTCTGGACCACTTACGTATTCAAAGCTTCGACATTCTTTTGATTCTAGCACCTCCAAGAGGCGTTGGAAGCAGCTTTGTCGGACCGGAAAGCCATAGCTGGTCAGCTGTCGATGGCCTGAAATCCTCATAGAGAGCTGATGTTGGAAAGCGTTCTACTCCCAACGTTGCGGGATGCTGTTGCCGAGATAAATCTTTAGAAGGTTGGCAGAAGCAAAAGTCAACCCGGGGTTCAACCCCCATTAAAGTTTATGGTGCATTTGGGGAATTGACCTTTTGCCGGTTTGGTTTTCATGCCATGAAACCAATCTTTGTCCCCATTGAGATTATTCAACTCGTAGCCATGGTGCTTGTATGTGGTTGGAATCCCAGGGTCAATGGGCTACTTGCCCCAACTTGGGGGCATTTTTCTGCTGTTTTCTCTGGTAAGTCTCTATGAGAGAGGAGTCTCTTTGTTTTTTTTGGAACCTTTGGTTGGTCCTTTGTTTTGCTGGAACCATTGGTGCTTGGTCGGCGTGTGGGGCCCCAATGTTGAACCAGCACTCCGGAAAAAAAAAAAAACCTCGGCAGACGGAGCTGGGCTCCAAGTGGAAGCAGCTGAACAAGCGCATCAAGGCGGGGTTGGCTTTCTCGGGGCCCTCGCGAGAGCTCGCTGTTCCCCGGAGCCCGCTTCATTGTGTGCCTCCGTTTCTCACCAAATCTTTTGGTTGGGAGGGTTCCCCTACTAAAATACACCCTTTCTCCAGCCATGGTGGTTGTTGGGACACATTCTGTGCATTTTTGCTGGTTGTGGTTTAGTGGGTGACATCCAAATCCACTGAACTGCTAAAATTTGGATTTGTGCTCCCCTTCCAACGTCATCCAAGTTTTGGGGAAACCAAAAAAAAACAGGCATCACTAGGAAGAGCTCAAGGCTACTCGGGCTCGGGCCCAAAGCCGCGGCGAGCTTTTGGGATGGCCGTGAGCATTCCTGAGGATTGTTCTGGCAAAGGTCTAGGATGTTTGAGCGGGCAAACGCCGCACTCACCAGCAACTTCCACTTGCTTAATAATGTATTTTTGTTGCCGCTTGTTGGGTTCAAAGGGAATCTATCACTACTTTGTTTTTTCTCCAAGGGGGCTTATATAAGCAAATGGAAGGCAAGGAGTCATGGTTTGTACCAGGGGTTGTTTTTTCGCGAGTTTTTCTCTGGAGTTCGCAGCTGGCGTTTTCGTCAGGACGCCAAGGAGTCCAAGGAGGCCGTCCCGGAAGGCGGCGGAACTTCTCGTTGGTCCTTTCGTCTTTTTGGCTCGTTGTTTTTGTCTACGCCGTTTTTTTGGGGCGTTTGATTTGGTCGTGCGTTTTCTTTGGTTCTGCTTCTTTCGTTTTCTTGTCTCCTCGTTTGCTTTGTCGCTCTTGGCCCGTTTTTCTCTCTTGCCCCGTCATCTTGTTTTGGAGACCACTTCCTTCCTTCTTCTTCCCTTTTCCCGCAGGCGTTGGGATCCCCGAGCAACCGCTGCCCGAAACCCAGCAAATCAGCAAACTTTCTCCCGCAAAAAAGTTGGGAGAGAAGGGCACTGGGGGACCTAGACACTTTCCAGATTGACACATTCTCCAGAGCCTCCTCCCTGACCCATGCGCCTCCCCCCAACCCCCCCCCCCCCCGAGTCGCCCGACTCACGACTCGACGCAGGCGCGCGCCGCAACTCCATGGAGCTGCAGCCGGCGCCGCCGGAGAAGGCCCCGGAGGACGGACGCCTCAGCCGCCGTCGAAAACGCGTTTTTCCGTTTCGGCGAGTGGGGCGAGTTGGGCCCAGGGAGTTTTTTTTGGGTTCAGTCGAAGCAGGCGCGCCAATTTTGGCCGCAGAAAACAGCCGTGGGGAGGCAGGTTTGTTTCGTTCCATGGTCTTGCGCGAGGGCTTTTTGGAGTTCCTGGTTTGGAAGGGGTGGCCAAGCAAAGCCACCGAACAGGAATCTAGGGTAAGAACAAATCCTGGCTGAAGAGGATGGTTTCCAATATGGGGGTCTCTCAAAATTCTGTGGCCGCGAAAATGGGTCTGCGAGCCAAAAAAAATGTCCATCCGCCGTTTCAGGTGGTTCTACTGCCTGGTTTGATAAGGGTTATAGCAAGGCCTGCAGAACTTTTGTGACCAGGTTAGTAGAACCAAGAGTCAATGGGATTTGGGCGGTGCTCAGTTAGCCGTATAGGAGGAAGGGTATGTCTCAAGTTGGGTGGTGGTCAACATCACAAATCACCGCTGAAGCGGGTTCAAGCAAGGGCATTCACGTGTTTTGAGCACGTGAATCAGCTACCTCTCCTCGTGGTTTTCCCTTTTGGGTTCTCCAACTGGTTGTTTTTCAATGGCAAAAAAGGGTTGGAGACCCCAGGAGTCCGAGGCGAGTCAGGGGTTGTGGTTGGAAAAAGACAGCGCGGAAATGGCAACAGGTGGTATGTTGCCTCGGGCCATTTGGAATGCTTTTCCCATCGAGGCATCATGTCTGAATCCATAAAATCCTGAAAACCCTAGGTGCATGTGGGAGCACTAGATGTCACTGGCAGAGAATCAAAAGCAGCTGAACACCGTGGAATCAGTCTTCAGTCGGACCAGAAAGGACGTCCTTTTGTGGTGTCCCTACTGTGGATGGACGAATTCCTGCACTTTGAAAAACGAGGCATACCATGGTTTCTTGGCATTTTTCCGGGGAATCGACTCATTCCGTAGGTTTTTTTTTGGCGCCTGAGAAACTGGATGCGCAGGAGGAAGCGGAGCCCAGCGTGCCCAAGCTGGCGGAGGCGCTGGTGAAGTACTTCGGGTCCCTGCGCCCCGGATCTGCGGCACTGAGCTTGGGGTTTTCTGCGCCTTGGGGAAGCCTCCCCCAAAAGAAGGGGGCAACATGGCGCAAAAGTTGTTTTTTTGTTTTAACGAAACAAGTGATGACAAGGGAGTGATGTTGACCCCATATGAATCAACCCCAGTGTATTGATGAATAAGAAAGTGGGGGCCCCTACAAAAGTGGTCGGGGTCCCCACTAAACCCAGTGATGCTTCCATCAGGGCACGCCCCTTATCAAGAAACTGGGGTTGATTCATACTGTGGATGGTTGCGACATCCTCAATTCGGCACCACCTGAAAAACCGACGGGGCGATTCGATTTTCCTGGAAGTACCAACAAACCATGGTTTGCTATGGTTTCAAAGTGTTGCAGGATGTCGTCCACCCACCGTATTTTTAGGGGGACACCCCCCTCCCCCAAACTTTCCTTGCAAGTGTTCGTTCAAAACCGCCCAAACATCAATAGCCCTCAGAAAAGAGAGAGAGAGAGACACCCGTTTGGCTTGTTCATCGAGTTTCGGCCGAGAAGACACACCCATGTCCAGTATCTATCACGTGCTGCTGGCTGGGATTCTGGGAAGTGATTGCTCACCAGAATCAACAGTGTGGGGTTCCCCACAACTGGGTGTGTCTTTCTTTCAGGGCCCCCCCAAAAAAAACGGCTGCCATTGTCCTTGTGGAACTCCTTTCGACCACAAAGAAGCCCTCCCCAAGCGTCGACCGCTCGCTGGAGTGCCGGAAATCCGTGCACCTTCTCCAGCAAGTGCGAAGCCAGGGAACCGCTTTGGGCAAAAAAAAGCAAAGCCCAGGCAACGACTACTTGGCTCTATGTCAAAAGAAGGGGACCCAAAATAGGTGCTTTCCTTTTGGCTGCCCAAAGAAAGTACTCTCAGCCAGCGACATCTCCCATCTCTTCTTTCTGCAGATGAAGAGGGAAGAAAGACATCCAGTTGGTCGAATTACTTTGGTCCTGCCCAATAGTCGGGGCCTGCACGAGCTCTGGTCGGGAGGGTGGGGTGTTCGTGCGGTGGGGGGGGAATAAATGGTTTGGCGGTTTTTGGTGGTTTGATGGTTGGTTAGTTGGTTCAGTGGATCATATTGGAAGCTGGAGACATTGCCAGCTGTTCGCGGTGAGGGAGGTTGGCGGGGCGCTTAGGGTTGGCTTTGGGCTGAATTTGCATGAGTTCCGGAAATGATTTGCGCGGGCTCAGGGTTTGATTGAGGGCCGATGTATCTTGCATTTCCGCTGGTTTACGGCAGATTGCAAGCCAAACAGCATCCCGCCGGTTTTCCGACCAAAAAGCGTGGCCAGATAGGTACTTGAGGCACCTCTTTGGGCCTCTCTTCGCCCATGTTCCCCCAACAAAGCTCCAAGCCCATCTTATCCGAACCGAAACACGAAACAGATAGACCCCCACGTGGGCACGCGGGCACATCAACTTGTACCCAACGCGCTGCAAGTTTGGCCAGTCATACCCTATGCCTCCATTTTGGGGCGGATGAACTCCCTTTTTCCTCGCCTATTTCGATGTTCACCAGGGATTTCTCCCGGGTTTAGACCACCACAGCCATTTAATTCTCCAGTCCAATCGAGGGGCCGTGCCTTCGAGCACTGGGACTTCGCCAAGAAAGGCGCCGATCGGCGATCTCGAGCTCTGGGAAAGGGGAAACCACGAGTGAAGCCGCGGGTTCTCTTGGGCTCCTTAAAAGATCTCCATTTTGCAACCATTTGAAACATGGCTTTTTCCACCAAAATGAAGGGACACCACCATCTACAAGTTGCAATCTTCGGGTGTTTTTCATGCATCCGGATCCCTGTTTAAAGCCGCTAGTTCAGGGGGGGCTCGATTTCGAGTGCGTCCTTCGGCTTCCAAAGTCCTAGTTTCCAGGGTGCCTTCCAAAGGTCCCCAGCCCTGAACGCTCGAGCCCGGAGCCCGGGACGTGGCCTTTGGTTCCCGGAGAGCCTTGGGACGCGAGCCAGGTGCCTTCGGGATTGGCCATTCCCAAACAGAAGCTCCCCGCCAAGATGGGGGCGGGGGGCTGACTAGCGGAAGACGGAAAATCCAGGGAAAAGTCCCAAAACAACATGGGACAAATTCCCAAAACAAATCGGGACCCCTTACTAACTATAGAAGATGAGGACACCCCTCGGGTCACATAGCCGCTCATTTCCAGTACAGGCGCAATTCTCTATGGTCCCCGAGTCTTGGCTTTTTTGGGACGCTCCTGGCTCTTAGGTGTAGCCGCGAAGACACGTTTTCGGGAGTCGCCGATTTTCTGAAACCCTTCCTTGTGGGTTCTGCCAAAGCATCAGGCCATCTCTTGGACTGCCCCTTTCCTCTTGGAGTGTTCACAGTTGGGGGGGGTTTGTGAGAAACGCGGCACATGTCAGAGCGACAGTTTGTGACCACTGCTTCAATGCAATGTGTGACCGGTGGAGTTTAGTACCTTCAGATACCTTCGGATTCTGTTTGCTGAAAGGCCTGCGCTGGAGGTGGGTGTCGCTCTTATGTCCCACCCCGCTAGGGGCTGAACTTCAGAAGGACATCTGAGTTCACACCGGCCCCCACCTTGGTTGCAGTTCAAAGTGCGAGACACGGTGCATTACTCCTCCGATTCCCCGGCGTTCTTGGCCAGCTCCGTGTACGGTCTGCAAGTCGCTTGGCTTCTCTTTGCTTTGACTCTCAATCTCTGAACCCTTTGCACGGCGTCATTTGCCGCGACAAGTCATTCCGGGCTTCTGATCAGAATTAGGCCCCGCGTGCATTTCACAAATGCCGTGGAGACTTTTGAACAACTCAGGGTCCACCCATAAAACTGGTAGGTTCTCTTTTGGTTTCCCTTTGATTCACACACACGGGGTGTCCTCATTTTGCTTTTCCGGAAGCACCCGAGCAGGCAAGTTCACGCGCGCACAGTTCTATGCTGGCTGCGCCAGTGTGAGGCGCGCGAATCGACCCCCGCGACAAAACAACCCAGTAAATATGGGGCTAGGAAATCCGCACGGTTCCCCCCCGCCTGGAGTTGAGGAGGAGCGAATTTGGATATGTCTGTTGTTGAAATGATCATCTACTTTTTGCTGGAGTAGAAACAGAACCGCCATGCAGATGGGGGAAGTTAGAAGAGAGACCTGGTGCAAACCGTTACCATCTTCCAGCAGTTCAATTCGGATTGTAGTACTAGCTAGCGTGCAGCTTGTCTTCGCGAAGAGGGGCGATTCCGACCAGGATGAACAGGTTTCCGGAGCGTTGATGGCAAAGTCACTCTCTATCCATGCAGATGGCATGGGACTGTTGCACCGCCAACCAGGTCCTTGGTGTTTTTTTTTTTTTTTTTTTTTTTTTTAAATGACTACATCTTTCCGCCGTCCGCAGAATCCACGAACAAATCGGAGGCACCTTTTCGCTTCATCGAAAAATCTGAGCGGATTGTGGCCGGTCGGTTTTCCGCTCTATGGCCTGCAGGGTTTGTTTTCAGCCGACAATGCTGGGGTCCCGACCCCGAAGGCCGAAATGGGACGAAGCAGAACGCAAGGAAATGTTCGAAGGGGCTGAAACCGATGTTAATCGAACAGTCAGTCAACATTTGGTTGATTGCACGGGCCACAACTGGGGCAAGTGCTTTTGGGTAGCCTCCGAGTCAGACCGCTTTGGTTCTCAGACCGTTCTTGTTCCGAATATTCGGTAGTTCCCGTATCAAGCTCCTTGGGTAGCTTCCGAATAAGGACGGTTCTAGTTTCCGAACAATTTGTAGGGCTCTTTAGGCAGTTTCCGAATCAGGCCGCTTTGGTTCTCCGCCTTTTTAGTTTCCAAAAAACATGTAGTTCCGAATCATGTCCTTTTAGTTTCCGAATCAGAGCATACTATTTCCAAACAACGTGTACTTTCGTCACCATGCCTTTCCAGCTTCCGAATCACACCGGTTGTTTCAGTTTCGGATCAATTGTTAGTTAGTTTTGGATAGTTGTGGAAGTCTGTTTTGTTGGTTAGTTGTGGTTGTTAGTTTTGGAAGAACACCTTTCAGTTTCCGAAATCAGATCGTTTCGAATAAGACCGTTTTAGTTTCAAAATGAAACGTTTCACCGTGCACCAGGCAACCCTCAATGCGCTGCTGAGCGGGGATTCGAATTGGAAGGTCGACAAACCACCTCATTTTGACTCGGGTGGTGCCTGGGGGGGGAGATACAGATACTGGGGGGGGGGGGATACCGCCTGGGCGGGGGGATACCGCCAGGGGAGCGGAGAGGGTGGGAAGATACTATGCAGTTTTACAATCCCAGATGGGTGGATTCCGGCCTTTTTCCCTTTTGGCGCCCCTTTGCTCGGTGCCTTCTCATTTTGGCGTCTTGAGGTGTTTGTGTATCCACAAGTTCCTCCAACCTGGTTTCGTGACTCACCATCCCAGATGTGCGGATGTTCCGGCCTTTGTCCCTTTCAGCCGGTCCCCCCCCTTTCTGGAAAAATTCGGGACGCGGGACCTCTCGGAGGCTGAACTTTCGGCAGATCTCTGGGGTCACGGAGCGTGACATCTTCAAGCGGATGGAGGAGGCAGAGGCGGAGGGGCCCAAGGATTCCGTGACCCGGGAGCCCCTCGTTCCGCGAACGGGGGGGCATGCGGGGCATGCGGGGCATGCGGGGCATGGGGGGAATGGAATGGGGAATGGGGGGAAAGGGTGGAATGATGATGTTGATCCCGGATCTAAGCAAAACCCGAGGTTTGACAAATCCGGGGTCCCTATCAAGAGGTTGAACCCTGATTTTGATAGGTATCCCATGGGAGGATAGTTTGGCTGGAAGGGGCTTGGAAGCGAGGTTGAGAGTGAGCTAGAGTGATCTTAATTAACTAAAGGTACGATGATCATCCACCTGCAAAAAATCGGATTTTGGAAGGGCTCGTTTGGCCCTGCCATGCTCAGGAAGTGGGACAAATTCTTCGAGGGGGTGCTGCAAGGTACGCAGGCAAAAGGGCGGGGCCGGCAAAATCGACCTGCCCACCGGCCGCCTTATGGGCCTGTCCATACCCAACCTTTTGGCTTTTCTAAGTGAGAAACCAAAGGGCAAACAGGCAATACACATACACACATACAGACACACATACACACATACACACATACACACATACACACATACACACATACAGACACACACACATACACACACACACACATACACACACACACATACACACACATACACACACATACACAGATACATACACACACATACACACACATACACACACACACATACACACACATACACACAGGTACACACACACACATACACGCACATACACACACACATACACACATACACACACATACACACACACATACACACACCCAAATACACACATACACATACACATACACATACACATACACATACACATACACATACACATACACATACACACACATACACACACATACATACATACATACATACATACATACATACATACATACATACATACATACATACATACATACATACATACATACATACATACATACATACATACATACATACATACATACATACATACATACATACATACATACATACATACATTACACATACATATACATATACATATACATACATACATACATACATACATACATACATACATACATACATACATACATACATACATACATACATACATACATACATACATACATACATACATACACACATACATACATACACATACACACATACATACATACATACACATACTTACACATACATATACATACACATACATACACACATACACACATACACACATACATACATACACACACACACGCACGTACATACACACACACACACATACATACATAACATCACATTGCAAAACTAAACGTAAGATACCATAACATACATTACATTACATTGCATTACATTGCATGACATTGCATTACATTTCATTACATTACATTACAATACAATACATTACATACACTACATTACATTACATTACAATACACTACAATACAATACAATACATACATTACATTACATTACATCACGTTGCAGTACAATACAATACAATACATACATTACATTACATACATTACATACATTACATACGGTACATACATTACATACATTACATACATATATTGTATACATTACATACATTATATACATTACATACATTATTACGTACATTGCATGCGTTGCATACATTGCATACAGTACAAACATACACACATACATACATACATACATACTTACATACATACATACATGAACACATACACACATAAACACATACACATACATACACATGCATACACATACATATACATACACATACTTACACATACATATACATACACATTCATACATACATATACACACACACGCGCGTACATACACACACACACATACATACGCAAACATACACAAACATACACATACATACATACACACACACATACATACGTACGTACGTACGTACGTACATACTCATGGATACACAAACATACACGTACATGCATACACACACATACATACATACGTACATACATACATACAGACATACAGACATACAGACATACAGACATACAGACTGACAGACTGCAGACATACAGACATACAGACAGACATACATACATGCAGACATACAGACATACACATACTTACACATACATACACATACATACACATATACACATTTCAAGATATGCGCACAGCATATACGCATATACGCATATACGCTATTGCATATACACAGATACACATTTACACATATACACCTATACACATATGGACACATGGACATATACACATATACACATCACATGTATACGCATACACATCTACACAAATACACATACAGATGCACATATACATTCGTATGTACATACGTACGTACCGTGCGCACTGTACGGTCCGTCTGTACGCAACGTACGTACGTGCGTAACATACATACACACACACAGGCAGACAGACAGCCAGCCAGCCAGGCAGGCAGGCAGACAGGCAGGAAGGCAGACAGTCGGACAGACAGGCAGACAGATATGCATGCATTCAGACATGCAGACATACAGACATACCGACGCGCACATACAAACATATTCAGGTACTCACATACACACATACGCACAAACACACATCACATACATCACATACATCACATACATCACATGCATCACATGCATCACATACGTACATGCATACATACGTACATGCATACATACGTTCATGCATACATACACACATACAAGCAAACATACAGCATGCATGCATTCATGCATGCGTCAGTGCGTGTACAATAATGCCAGTCGAAGTCAAATGAAGGTGCAACTTACACTTGAAGCCTTGTAATTTAAAACTTGCAACCAATATGCTGAAGTTGCATTTTCCTGGATGTTTGAAATGTGTTTTCATTCCTTTTAAGGAGCTGAGCAACAACCAGTCAGTCTTTCCTCACTAGGTTTGGTTCAAATTCTAATTCAAAACAATAATTCCAATTGAAGTCGAATGAACATCCTTCTGAACCTTGACGTCTTGTAATTAAAAGCTTGCAAACCAATGGGCTGACATTGCAATCCCTTGCTTTCTTTCTCGGGGCAGGCAAAGTAGAAGACACATCCCGCTTGTTTTCCTTGCTAGATGTTATTTTATTCTAATCGAAATCTAGTGTTATTTCGACTTGGAAAGGAACCCCCATTTAACATCTAATTTGGTTTCAAATTGAAGTCTAATGAAAGTCCTGCTTAAACTTGCTTAAACTTAACGCCTTTGCAGTTTAAAACTTGTAAACCAACAGCTGGAATTTGCACATTCCCTGGAGTTCCATTAATTCTCACTCCTTTGAGGGGCGGCCAACTTAGAAGAAACGACCAGTGGGTTTTTTCCTCATTAGATTCTATTTAGATTGTAGCTGAATTCTAAAACAGACTTACTTGGAAGGGAGTTCTTGTGAACTCAAAATGCAATTCTAGCTACACCATGTCACTAGAAGGAGGTTGTCTTTCCATGAAGATGCAGGCAAATTACTAGAAGTCGCCGGCGAGGACAGGACAGATGCTTGCAGTGGATGGCCTTGTCCAAAAACCTGGAAAACAGCACCGGAAACACAGGAAAAACACGGACCAGAAAAACAAGTAAAAGAGCAAAGCAACAGGATCCTTCAGAAGAAGGGCCCTAAACCAGAAAAAGAACCGAGAAAACCAGCAAAACCGGGGGGCAAAAACAAAAACAGAAACCAGGGTCCTACAGAAGAAGTAGAAAGCCAGGGTTCCCAGAAAAAGGAACCCAAACCAGAAGCACAGGAAAACAACAGACAACGCAGAACAAGAAAAAAAGACTGAAACACTAGCAAAAACAGGACAACCAGACAACTAGGGTTCTCCAGAGGAAGGGTAGCTAGTTCCAGCATTTGGACCCTAGTTTTCTGTTCTTGCGGTCTTTTTGTTTTCTCCTCCCATTTCTCATCTTTTTTCCTTCAGTGATTGGCCTTTTATTCTTTTAAGCAAGCTTTTCTGGTTTAGGGTGGGGGGACACCGTATATACATACGTATATATATATATATATATATGTATACACATGGTATAAATGTTTTCAGAGTGGGCAATCTCCGGCACCCGGCCCCTTTTGCCATGCTCAGCACCTGTTGGGGCTCGCAGGAGGCCGAGCTGCTCACGGCAGACATGGGGTCAGAGGCTGGGTCTGCGAGTCCCCCGAGAGGGAGAAGCACAAATCGCAGCCGGGTCAAAACCGTTTTGGTTGATCCCATTTTGGTAGGTGAATTCGCCACCCATTATAGAACCGATTTTCGTGGTTGGATTGGGATGTTCACTGGGGGTACGATTTGGCTTTTGACCCATGGCCAATTCGTCACGCGGTCTTTGCGGATGCTGGGGGATGTTGTCCGCGGCCCCTAAAGCATTCGGTGTTGACCCGAGGCTTGTTGACAGCCGTTCGTGCGGTGGGCTGAAATTTGTTGCGTCATGATTTGGGAGCCAGTCTCGTGGCCATTTGGACTGCAGGCGCATTTCACTGTGTGAATGGGTACAACGTGATCAGCATCTCCAGCATGCTAGTGGCTGCAGGACTTCGCTATGTAAATAAATTGCACAACAAACAAGAGACAGTGGAAATGCTTGCTCTCCTGCCAGCAACCCTCCCCGATTCTGCCTTGCTGAGGATAGTGGCGCATGCCTGCCCTTTCCGTTGTTTACAAGCTGCCTTCTTTGGCGGATCCGTCTCCGGGCCGCGGATCCCGCACAAAACACCAGTTGAAGTGTGGCCTCAACCCAGTTGCCACGGGTTTTGCTAGCGATCCTTGAGCCGACATGACTTTGAGAAGCCACAAGCATCACGAATTTAACGATCTCACTGCTGGGCACTTTTTGAAAGCAACTCCATTCAATTTGGGTCCATTTCAATTAGGACCCCCTTTGGATGGTTTCAATCTGACACTCACTCCCTGGGTTTCTGGACTGAACTTTTCGGCAGGGCCATTTTAGTGGTAAAAAACAGCAGGGCGACTCTCTTTGGGCCCATCCGCTCAGGAAACGCCGTGGGGAGCATTTCCAGTTTTGTTGTTTTCGGACATGTTGGGCAGATTTGGAAATGATGGGGATCCCTTTGCACGAAAGGTAGCCTTTTGGTGGCTACCATAAGTACTTCCTTGCGCTAGCAAGGTCCCTGTCAGGGGTGTGTGGGGGCGGGGGTCCCCTTCTTTTCGGACACCAAAAAATAAGAGCCCTGGGCAGATTTGGAAATGATGGGGACCCCTTTCTGGACACCATCAAAAAAAACCCGAAACCCCGATGGATGTTTTTTTGGGCTCCATCTTTGTCGAGGCCGCGCATTCCGCAGGTGGAGAAGCGGCTGGAGGAGCGGCGCAAGGCGGGGCCCCAGCCAAAATAGCGAGCCTCGCCCGGAAAGCGAGTGACGGTGACGAGTCCGAAAGGGGGTTTTCGGGGTTCCCATGTGGGGGAGGGGGAGGGGCATGCTTTCCAAAACGCATTGTTTTTTTCTTCCCCGTGGCTTCCCGTGTTGGGAGGGCTTTTTTTTTGGAACGGTTGGATTTCGGGTTAAACCGCGGGTATCGGAAGGGGGATGGGTGAAGCCGTGGTATCGTGTCACGCTCCGGTTGCAGTGGGTGTGTCTATCTTTGAGGGTACCCTTAGTGGTTGCTTTGAAGGGATGCCAGAGGGCATAACCCATGGTCCTGCGACAAATGCGTCGCCAGGAGCGCAACCTGAAGAAGGTCGGGGAGGAGCCAACGCCCACCGTGTCGGTGGTCATGGAGGCGCCTGCGGATCGCAATTTTATTTCGACCCAAATCGAAGCTCTCCCATTTAAGGGAGATTGGAACTTGGAAAGGCACTTGACTTGGAAAGGAACCATATTGGTTCTGAGAGGTTGGCGAGTTGTGCCAAGTTTGAAACTGAACCTGGCTGTTGAGTTGCGAAGCTTGACACTTTTTGTTGAGTTTCTTCATCGTTTTAGTAAGGCAACCAGAATCAGCAGGCCAGCGCGAATCGGTATTTTGCTGATGGATAACTTTTGTTCAGCTTTTGTTACAGGTGAAGCTCTCAGTACTCAGTACCATGCCGTTTGCTGGCAGGTGGTTTGTCAAAAGTCGACTTTGGCTCAAAGCGGGGGGTGGGAGGGAGGGGGGTCAGCTGACTCATGAACTAGCTAGTTGACATCGTGCTCGACTAGCTAGGTTGATGCGGTAATTCATGTGGTACCTGGTTTGTTTGTTTGGCTATGCTTAGACAGTCAGCAACGTAGCTAGGCAGCCGTTCTAGCCAAAGGATTATACAAGCAAAAGGCACAGCACAAAGCAGAAGCGGTTTGATTGTGGACCCACGGTCACCAGTCACCAGAGGATCACCGAGCCCTCTATTGGTGGTGAGGATGAGGTCGTGAATCCCAAATTCCATAAACTCCCCTTAGCCAACATCACGAGTTGTTGTGTTGCTGTTTAACTGGCCTTGACTGTGACGTGCGCAACTGTGCCAATCCTGAGGCAAAAGTAGATTCCGCCCTCCACCCATGCTACCTTCATTAATGTTTCTCCGTTCCTCTATTTCCACCGTCTTTCTTCCTACTGTCAGATGGGGGTTTCAAAGGCAGGACATCTCACTTAAAGGCTATTTTGCACCCAGGCCCTCAATCAACCCCCTGCCAAACATGGGGCGTGTCTTGATCATCTCGCTAGCCCAGACGGGAACCGCCACGGATCTTCCAGCTACCTGAAAGCGGTTCTGTAAAGTGGGCAGTGCAAGGTGGTGGGGGGGTGGGGGGTGGGGGTGGGGGGTGGGGGTGGGCGTGGGGGGTCTCAACATTACATTTAGGTGTGTCTCTTTTTTGAGGGCACCCTCTTTTGGGTTGTTTTGAAGGGAAACCAAATGGACACCGCTTGTTTTGCTGGTTTCAAGCGTCACTTCAAACGCCGAAGTGAAGCTGGGCTGGCATTGTTTCTGCTTTTGTTTCGCTTGAACCCCGTTTTGGGTGGTTGCAAAGGGACACACTATTTTTTGGGGGGAGGGGGGGGGGGGGAGGGGGTAGGGGTTCCCTAAAAGAAGACCACCCATATCAACGGACAAAGTTCGGAGTGAGTTTCCCGAGATCCAATCCTCATTGAAAGGCAGCTGATTGACAGAACATTACTCGTGTGTTTTTAAAGCCACCATGTTTTTGGTTGAGGTTTCCTTGTGTTCTTCCATTTGTTGTTGTTTGTGTCTTCCTTGCGGTTGTTTTCCTTGCGTTTTCCTTGTTTCCTTGCGGTTTCCCTGGCGGTTTTCCTTGTTTCCTTGCGGTTTCCCTGGCGGTTTTCCCGGTTTCCTTGCGGTTTTCCGGTTTCCCCGTGGTTTCCCTTGGTTTCCACGTGGATTTCTGAGCGCCCCCGGGCGCGCTCCACCGCCCTCTCGGCGGTCGCTGGCGGCTGGCTCGGCGGCAGGTGGCGCGGGCCAAGGCGGCCTTCATGAAGCTCCGGGGCGCCAGCAGCCAGTCGGTGGCCGGGGCCTCAGGTCGCAGGGGAGCGGATGTGGACGTGGACCCTATGGGGTTATCTGGAGGGTATGGGGTGGGGTGGGGGTGGGGTGGTGGACCCTATGGTGGGCTGGTGGGGTGGGGTGGGGTGGTGGGGTGGTGGGTGGATGGATGGTTGAACGAAATCCAATTCGCAGCACCTAAGAAGCCATGGTTGAAACTATGGACGGTTGCAAAATTTGTTCACACCACCTAAGAAACTATGGTCGAAACCATACCGTTTGTTGGTATTTACAGGGGAAGCGACTCACCCCAGGGTTTCTTTTAGGTGGTGCAGGGGATGAAAGTGGACGCCATGGGTGGCTCGTCTAGGCTTACCACCCTGTGGGGTTCCTGTGTTTTTTTCTTCCAAGCAGGTGGTGGCTCTTCTCTTTGTTTAATCGGCTGGTTTGGTTCCACCAAAAGGATTCTTATCTTTTTTGGGGGACGCACCACAAACTCGGCGTTCTTTTTTTGGAATCGGCCCGTGCCAAGAGTGGTACAATGGTTTTCTCGTGGGACACTTTTTGAACACCACCAACAGAGGGGCACATCGCTTTTCCAAATGACTGGAGGGGGCCAACTCAGCTTGCAATCTGGAACCCACCAGAGAATTGGTCGCTTCTATAAGAAACATAGGCTAAGCTAGGAATCCGACACGTCAGTCTGAATGTTAGTGGCCAGGAGTGTGTGGAGATGTTTACCCCGGAGCAAGGGTTGGCATCTGATTCTTTGAACATGGGTCACAACCAATGGGTGGCCTGCTTGCAGTGCACTCGTGCTGGGAATCTCTCTCCCCAGCCGAGGTTCTGATCCAAGCCTCGAGACTTCGTTCTGATGGGGTTCGGATTGAACCCTGCTCGAAGAAATTGCCAGAGGTGCTATTGACACGTGTTCAAGGAGGAGAAGATTGAAGGGGAACCAAACAGAAGCCAACCAATTCTGGAGTCCGTTTCCACGAAAAAAAGAAAGAAGGAACATCAAAATAAAATCAAGCACAATTTGTATCTCTCGGAGACGTTTGGCTGCCTAACATCTGCAAACAGCAGTTCTGGGCGTGTGGCTAAGCCCTCCGATAAGTTGTAGTTTCACTGGAAACTCCCAGTAAACTTATGAATCCCTGAGATGATTGAAGCGAGATCTTTGAAACCAAAAGGACGGCCGCCCCCGGATTTGTCTGGGTGCCCCGATGTTCTGAAGCACGAGAAAAATCGCAGAGCCGACAGCTCTCCGTGGCTGAGGGCTCCGGAGACTCGAGGGATGCAAGCCGTGTGGGTTCCTGGGCAAGCAGTGAGAGGTGTTCGGCTCGGGTGGGTGGCTTGGCCTCGTTGGTTTCCTTGTGATCGAACATGCATCTTATGTGGCACATGTTTCATATGCGCAGGATTCGGAGGAGAACCAACATGAGCAGTGGTTTGGTTTTCCGGCATCTTTGCATGAAAATTGCCTCAGTGGTGTCTGAGCGCATCATTTGCTATCAGAATTTGCTGCAAGACTACCACCTAGACAGATGGGCCAGAGCCAACCTGCCTGGCTTGCGGTCGGATTCCGGATTCTGGTTTGGTTGGCGGGAAAGTAAACGCTTATTGCAAGTTTGGGCAGCCAGGCCCAGCCAAAGGAAATAACCAGCAAACTCACATCGCCTTGCCTTCATTCACATCACCTCGCCTTAGTCCTTGCCTTCCTTTTTTCTTTTTGTAATACTACTACTACTACTACTACTACTACTAATAATAATAATAATAATAATAATAATAATAATAATAATAATAATAATAATAATAATAATAATAAAAATAATAATCATAATAAAAAATAATAGTAATAGTAATAATAATAATAACAATAATAGTAATAGTAATAATAATAATCATAACAATAATAATAGTAATAGTAATAGTAATAATAATACTACTACTACTAATGATAATAACACATAATAATAACAATGATAATAATAGTAATAGTAATAATAATAATAATAATCATACTAATAATAATAGTAATAGTAATAGTAATAATAATACTACTACTAATAATAATAAAACATAACAATAACAATAATAGTAATAGTAATAGTAATGATAATAATAATCATATTAACAATAACAATAACAATAACAATAATAGTAATAGTAATAGTAATAGTAATAGTAATAATAATCATAATAACAATAACAACAATAGTACTAGTAATACTAATATTAATAATAATAATAACAATAACAACAACACTAATTCTACTAATAAACACAACTTTCCGATTTTTCCACTTCGGCTCTCGGCGCTCGTTTTTTTTCCCTCCCCGAGACTCCCCGGGCAGCCCGCGGAGCTTGAAGCAGAGCAACAGCGGCTGGTGGCCCGTGGCGGAGGGCCAGGACCGGATGGGATTGGCGGATTGGCACAGCGGAGCCCTCTTCATGTTGACCCCGGATGAATATGCCCAAATGGAGTTTTTTTTTTCTTTTTCTTTTTTTCTTAAACACTTAAGCAAATGGAGGTTGTATTATTAGGGGGGTGTTTCTCCTCCAAAAGTGGTCTGAATCCAAGCACCAAAACCGGGGAGAAGCACCCCCCATATGAATCACAGGGGTTTATTAATCCGGGGTCAACATTAAGGGCGCCCCTCATCGGATTTCACCAGCTCCCTCAACAGCTGATTGGCTTCCGGGGGTTTGCGGGTTGTCTAACGCCCGGACGAATCAATCTGGCGGATTGGCAAAGAGGCACCCCTTAGGGCGCCCCTCCTGTGAAACCAGAGACTTCATGTTAACCCCGGATCAAAGTAGAACGAACCCCTGGTTGAGTTTGATTGGTACCATGTCCATGCCATAGCCTGCTAAAAAAAGCAACAAAAACGCAGGGGGGGGTTTAGCTAGGCTTTCTTTGGTAATGTTTACCCCGGATATAAGTAGAACTGGTTGATTTTGATCGTGGGGTGTGAGCCCTTTTACTGCTTGGACAGACCACTTTTGGAGCCCTCATACTGTGGATGGACAAAATCCTGCACCACTTTGAAATCATGGGAAGCTATTGTTCCTTTGTATTTACAGGGGAAGCATCACGGGTGTTTGAGGTGGTGCCTAAGAGGATTTCGCAACCATCCACAGTAGTGGGACGGGTTCTACTTAGATGGGCCAACATTCGCGCATGGCCCGGGTCCCCGGGTCTGGGGTCAGATCCAAAATCCGATCCGGGACCCCAAAAAGAAATGAGTGCGAATTTCCAAGACGGTTCTCTTTACGCGACACAGACGGTTCTCTTTTTAAGCAAGCAACACAAGGTGGGAGCTCTTCCGAAAGTGGCGTTTTTTTTTTTTTCCTATTTTTTTTTCTCACTGTCTTGGTTTTTCTGAAGGGAAACTAGGGCGGTATATGGAGCAAAACCGTTTTGGGATCTCATTTTGGTTGGTAGGTGAATTCACCGCCCATTTTGGAACCTATTTTAGTGGGGATTGGGATGTTCACTGGGGGTACGGGCTTTTGACCCATGGCTTTTGACCGAGAGCCTCAGCTGACCATATTTACCCCCGGATCGTTTCTTTGTAGAACCATGGTAGCGAAAAACAGAGAAGGTTATACTTGATACTAATCCCTAGCAAGGTTATCTTTAAACAAGCAGCACTACATGGGAGTTCTTCCGAAACTGGAGGGAAAACACCCTTTGGTTTTTCTAAAGGGGAACTGTGGAGGAAGCCCGCATGAGATTTTTTTCCATGGAAATGGAGCGCTGCTTTGAGACAGACCCGAATGACTGTGCAAGCCAACAGAATTCATGAAATCGCACAATTTCCTGCTACCAGATACAAACTGCACAACAAACTCCTAATGTCAAGTGGGTCCAGATCAAGAAACTGGACACCCTGAAAAGAACCTGTTCAGTTCACAAAATGACTTGGATAGGTGCATTCTCCCAAGATGCAGGGTTTCTCACGACAAAGTGTCCTTTGAGCATCTGAGTCAATACGTTGCCCGGCGCTGTCCCACGGGAGGTTTTCAGGAAACCGAAGCAACTTTACTTCCCTAAAATCTATCAACTTTGGCTTTGGCAGGTTCCTTTGGGTGAGCAACCTGCTGCGCGACTGGCCCACAACTCCGGAGTCATGTTTCTTGCTTTGCTATTGACTTACACGGAGGTCCAGTGAACGACTCTGCAACTGCGTGAGGCTGTGTTCCTTGATGTGCAGTTCGTTTCTCAGGAAAGCAGAGCGACCTCGCTGCGCACAGCTTGGTGCAAGTTTTGTTGATGTACCAGACACCCCTTTGAATAATTTGTTCCATATTTGACACGAATGCATCCAGAGAATCACGACACCGTCTTCCAGGCCTCTTAGAGGCCCAAGTTAGACCCTCAAAGTGGTAGTGAGCTTCTTAGAACGGCCAATGACATCAAATGAAGAGTGAACCCACCGTGGCCGCTTCTGCTGCCTATATGTTGGCAGAATATCCACAGAAGAACACATTGATTTTCAATGATGCCGTCATGCGACGGCCACATTTGCCATTACCACTTGAGTCTCGCCAACAAAACAAGTGGAACGGGCAGAAACCCTCCCCGGGCAAAACGAGCGATTCCACAGATATGCGTTCAGCGCTAAAACGAGCTCACCCGTGATGAAAATCCTTGGAGGATTCCTTTTGCCAACTGGCCAGACAGGTGTTTTTTCTCCATGTGTAATTCACATTCCTGGAACTGCGGCTTATTCGTCGCAAGTTCCTCCACAGGTCCTCAGGCGAGGTCTACAAACCACCACCTATCCCTGATGCTTGCGCAGGCAAAGCTACGCTTCGGGTTTCCCCAAGTGAGAAATGTCTAACTCCCCTCGTTGCCTCTCCGATGCCCCTCCGATGGGTCCACAGCCCCGCGGCCGAACAATTGCCAGGAAGGTGTCGTCGGGCCCGATGAGTCGCAGGAGACTTGGCGCGGGGTCCGTGGTTGGTTTAATTTTTTGCCCTATTATGCATCCAATTTACCCTCCCTCCAACAATCATGGAAGTTGACAGGAGAGAATTGGAAGACGATTTTCCTTTTGGGAAACCCCTTTGTGCACTTCCATGATTGTTGGAAAGAGGGTAAGTATCGTTTTTCCCAGACTCGCCAGGTCCCCCAGGACTAGGTTTAGAATAGGCCAATTCTAAACCAAAACTGGCGGAGTGCTGACCAAACCCTTCCCGCCGGAACTCCGAGCGCAGGACCTCAGCGGCTTCTTCCGAGAGGCGCCCTGCTGCAGGGTTTTTCATTTTGGCTGGATTCAAGATGTAGGGGCTCCGTTATTTTGAGATTCCCAATATGGGTTTGCTGGATTGGGAGCCCAAAATGCAAGAAGGGTACCCTGAAAATACTTGACCTCTGAGCAATCCCCACCCAAAACATCCAATTAAAATCCTCAGTAGGCGTGTTCTTTGACGCGGTTGTTAGAAGCCGCTCAGACCCTGACTTCTAAAGCCTGCCAGTACGTGACTAAACGAGTCCACGTCTAGCAATCATCTTCTACTGGGCGATGCCAACATGAACCCGCGGACAACGACCGCTGACGGCCTGATCAAGCTGCTGCCAACTGCAATGCGCAAAGTCTCGCAAGGAACTGCTATATGGCCATGGGTCATAACCTATGGCTCCGTTTTGGGGTGGATGAACACCCATGTACCACCTATATTTATGTTCACCAGGGGTACAGGGTTTTGACCCACAGCCAGACCCCGATCCCTGGCTGTCTAGAGCGGCAGGAACTGCTAGCGCTTGTCGCGCAGTGGAAAACACACCAGCCACTGCCACTCCACTGGCAGAAATGTCACTCATATGGGCAGGGCACTGCATGTTTTAATCCTTGGTTTCATTTACCAGGGCCCCATTTTGAGTACCCACAGCCATATACGGCTTCGCTTGTGTGCCAAGGGGAGAGCTTGATAGCCAGAGCGCCATTCCCTTCAAACCATGCAGTTGAAGCGGTGCACTCACACCTGTCTCTCAGGCTCACCGGCAGATTCGTCATCTCCTTTTCTGTCAGCCCTGATGTTGCAAAGCATGCAACATGTGCATCTGGCATCGCCCTTCAGGCGGAAAGCTTGCTTAATTGCTCCTCCATCTTCAACCAGCAGATCGGTGAAAAACAGCCTGAGGTGAGGCTTGCCTGCCTGCATCACTCTTCAAAAGTATGCCACAATGGGGGTGGCCTGCTGTCGCAAAAGCTGTCTGTCACATTCGTCGTCACGTCGTCACAGGCTTTGTCGTGTCTGTCACAGGCTCTGTCGGCAAGCATCAGACGAGCCACGCTTAAACAGATGAGGTTTCGTCAAGCATGTCCAGCAGTCCATGGTCTCACCCTCCGACAAAAAGCTGTGACTTGCCTTCCTCTACTGGAGGACCTAGTTTTTTCCTTTCCCAGCCCTGCGTGCCCAACTCCTTTCCTCCATTGCAGGCGGGCGAGGCGGGGCTGGAGGGCCTCTCTTCGCCGCTTGGCGAGGAGGGCACCCGCAGCGCCAAGAGCGTCCGCGGCTTTTTCCGCGAGCGGAGCGGCAGCGCAGGCGATTTTGCTGGGGGACGTTGGGCCGTGTTGGTCGTTTTTTTTCTTCAGCGGAACCCCCTGCAATGGTGGTTGTTTTCTATTTTCCTCCTAAAACAGCAAGAACTGGTGTACCAGCAAACAAAGGCAGATCCATGCGGGTGCCATGGACACGTATCGATTTTGCAGCCAAGAGCCGGCAAGAGGTGACCTCGTATTGAACAACAGGTTCTTTATAGGAAAGGTGGGGCCCACTCCAGTGATGAATCCCCACTTTAAAAGGGGACACCTGCGGTTGATCCTTGTTCCCATTACAAACAACTACCCTAAAGGAAGGTGGTTGCAAAATCGACTCTGGAGATGCCAAGGGCTCGTCCCAGGCAGAACGACTCGCCGAGTCCGGTGTCAAATGTTGGTGAACATCACGGTGTGCAGTTGGACGACGCGTCACCGCAGGTGTTGTCTGCGTGCGAGGGATGACTAGAAGCAAATCAAGAACCAGCAGCGAGCAGAAAAGAAGCAACTGAGCGTAAAGAGGCACACTTGCGAAGCGCCCAAGACACGGTTGAAGGTCAAAGCTTTTCGAGCCTTGCAACTCTTGCAACCAACGTTTCCAATTGACGGTGTGGTAGCGCCGCTGCCGGCTTGGCAGCCGAGGACATGTTCCTAGCCTTTAACTTGATTTTTGTTGTAGGGACCATGGTTGAATGAACCTTTCATTCCATTTCTCAGAGTTCTAGGGAACCAATTTCCTCGCTCTCAGCTTGGATGTGTGTATGCGGGGTAGTCGGGAGTTTGGTCCTAAGGGCACAGTCAATATCCATCATTTGCAAGAGAGGGAGCGACATGGGTCACTCACCAAACTGCCATTTCGGAAGTGGTGGTTCACCAAAATCCGGTGTGATTTTGGGGACAGATGTTGACCATGCCTCACTTGACAGATATGATACGATCCCACAATTGTCAGGGCCCAAAGAACCAAAGAGGGCCCCCGAAGAAGGCGCTGAAATTGGCCTCCAATAGGCCATAGGATTGGCAGGCTATTGGGATTGGGGGTTACTGGGCCCCTTGACCATAGGATATGAAAAACAGTTAGAGGTACCACCCAACGTGCAACTTTGGAGCCCCTGAAACTCGAGAATTTCTGCACGCGCGCAGCAGGTTTTTGTTTGGATCTTGCTTTGGGATTTTTCAGGCTTGAGGCTTGGCTTGCTACCGTTCCCCGAGTCAGTAGTCAGCTTCCTATATTCCCCCCTTTGGCCAGTTTTGACGAAGGCCCACTGAGTTTCCTTCAAAGAAGATACCCGTCCTTCTCGCTTGCGCTGACCTATTGAGCATGGAACCTAAAAAGGTGCTGAACAGGAGAGTGTCATAGGTATCATTCATTTGTGAAAAAAAAGAGCAAGGATCACCAAAACCCAATTTCGGACTCATATTTATTTTTGACAATTCCAAGGATCGGCAACACCCAATCTTTTTCTTTTTTTTAAGCAAAACAAAACAAAACAAAACAAAACAAAAACAAAACAAGGATCGGCAAAGCCCAATGGGCTCTCAAACCCATGGATTTCGGAGCCTTCCAGGCGACGTGGCGTCGAGCCGCAGCCTGGGCAGCCCGGATCTCACGCGCTCGGCGACGCTGCCGGCGACTCTGCACGCGCCGCTACAGGCGCGGATCGCCTCGGGGTGCGATCCCAGTAGTGCCCTTTTGCCGCTTCTTTGTTGGGGGAGGGTTCTACTAAAATCGACAGGAAAAAGTTGGTACCCTTATTCTAAGCTCTACTGGAGGACCTAGTTGAAGTGCCGGAGGGAACCCCACCATTCTAGAAGGGTCGTTTTCATGGAACCCATGCCCCCATTTTACTTTCCGAAGCACCGTAGGGCGGCTTTCTGGAATGGGGCAGAGCTCTTGTGCAAGCCAGGTGATTCCAGGGACTGAAACGGCCTGGCGGCTTTTGCCATGAATCAAGTGGCCCCAAACTGAAGGCAGTCCTTGGTATGTGTTTTAGCCTCAGGTTTTTGATTCTGCGTTTTTTTTTCCCGCTGCAACTAAAAACGTGTTGGGCTGGAAGAAATGCCCGGGGGCCGTGGCAGGCAGGCGATAATGTTGGACCTCCTTTATTATTGGTACTCGGTATTGTAGAAAAAAAAATCCTAATTCAGAATCCTGTGACTGTTTTAACGGTTCGCTATTGTGGCAAGTGTTTTTGCCCCCCAGAAAAATCTTAAAAAATGCATAGCTTTTTTCTTCGCTTTCTGGATTTGCTCGGGCTCAGGCTAAACTTGCTAAGCCTTGGTAGCTCCTGTTGAGCTGGAGGCTGGTTCTGAGCTAGAATTGGGAAATTGTTTTCTTGAAGTGGTCCCCAAACCATCAAATTTAAGATAACTTCTTTACAAAAAAGTGCGGGCAAACAGTCACACAAAGGGGGGTGCCCACAAGAGGCCCAGATCCTCTTTAATGCGATTGTTTTGGGGTCCTCTTTAGTGTCCAGTGGTTTCGGGGTTGCTGAAAACTGAAAACCAAAGCCTCAGCCTTTTACTTTTAAAGAAGGGGACTCATCCTAAGCTCTCCCCAGCTCAAAGGTTAAAGGCCTGAGATCTAGGAAATCGATTTTGCAAGTTGTTCCCAAACCATCAAATTTAAGATAACTTCTTTACACAAAAGTGCAGGCAAACAGTCACACAAAGGGGGGTGCCCACAAGAGGCCCAGATCCTCTTTAATGCGACTGTTTTGGGGTCCTCTTTAGTGTCCAGCTGGTTTCGGGGGTTGCTGAAAAAACGACCCTTGGCAATACTAAAGTAGAATTGGCAATACTAAAGTCAGTACTGGGGATCTGAGAGTCAGCCTTGGCAATACTAAAATAGAATTAGCAACACTAGAGTCAGCACTGGGAATCTGAGAGGGGGCCTTGGCAATACTAAAGTAGAATTGGCAATACTAAAGTCAGTACTGGGAATCTGAGAGGGGGCCTTGGCAATACTAAAGTAGAATTGGCAATACTAAAGTCAGTACTGGGAATCTGAGAGGGGGCCTTGGCAATACTAAAGTAGAATTGGCAATACGAAAGTAAGTACTGTCCCTCCCAGATCCTCTCCCTAAAGAGAGTCCCGCCGACTGGTTCCACTGTTCCGGGGGAGGGGGGGGGGGGGGATCACACTAAACAGAGTCCAACATTATGCTGAAACTTTCGATCGTGTGCGGCCAAGTAACGGGTGAGCTCAGCGGCCACACGCAAAAGCACTCTTTGGTTGTGTCACTTCGGGCTTCAGCAAAGGCAAACAGCGGGTGGAGGTCTTGTTTCCCTAGTTATCCAGGTTCCCCGTCAAAAATGTCAAAAAGGCACCATCTTGCTAAATGCTTGTCACCCGTCTTTTGCAAAGACGGCTTGCACTGTCCCCAAACCAAGACCCTCAAGGGAAACCGGGCTTGATCAATATAAACATATACATATAAATGTATCAAACGTAAATATATATATATATATATATATATATATACACACATATACAACAAAACTTCTTTTTTTCTCTGCACGAGGATGCATCATATACATAGAAATATATTATAACATATAATCCACATATACACATCCTTATTATACGTACATTACAATACAAATCCACATATACATCCTTATTCTCCGAGCGTTCTCTATGTACATCCTTGTTCTACGTCCGCCGTCGCTTTTCGCGAGGCCTTGGACTCCGGCAGCTCCTCCTCGGAGGACCGAGACCCTCCCCCCCCAATCCCCCCCCCGAACTCCTCCGGCGGTTTCGGCTCAGAAGAAAAACCCACAGGTGACATGGCACGGGTGTCCTTTTTGTTTGTGTTTTTTGGTTGTTTTTTGGTTGTTTTTGGTTGTTTTGTTAGTTGTTAGTGTTTTTTGTTGTTGTTTTGGTTGTTTTTGGTTGTTTTGTTAGTTGTTAGTGTTTTTTGTTGTTGTTTTGGTTGTTTTTGGTTGTTTTTGGTTGTTTTGGTTGGAACAAATAGATGGGTTTCCTGGTGGTTTCATCATCTGCCAGGGAAACCCATCCATTTGATCTAAAAGGACACCATGGGGTGACAGGGTTGCCTCCATCTCCCTTTGTGGTTCCGGCAGCAGTGGCGATCGATTCATGGAAACCACCAGTCAATTGCAACTTTTGAAGCGGAAATCCAAGAACCCCTGTCAAACCAGAGGTTTGGGGTTGGACAAAGGGGGGTTGTAGGCTGTGCAAACAATTCTTTTCTGAGCCCTAACGTTCTGTGTTGTTTGACGCCGTGTGCCCAGACCACCTTCTTACATCCCCCAATAGCACATTCACTTGTCATTTGCATTGATTGAGTTTAGGGAAGACTCAACCCCAGCGTTCTTTGTTCGTGCGGGGACCATCATTTTCGTTGGGTTTGTAAACTGGAGTGAGAGGTTGCGAACTCCGTATTCCCAGAGCCTGGCTGGATCGGATCGATCAGAAGGCCGTGAAGAGCCGATTCTTGGGGCTTCAGCGTGCATGAGGCGAAGTTTGTTCGCCCTGCGTCTTACCAATAAGGGCATCGGCTTGTGCTTTTTTCTCCTTCTTTTTCTCCATCTTTTTTCTTCTGTTTTTCTTCTTCTTTTTCTGGGTATCAAAAGGAGCGCCAGCTCGGCGTCGATGCCGGAACCGGTTGACCATGGCCTTGACTTCAGGCTCCGTGGTCCAAACCAAGCGGTGACCGTGGAACCTGTGACTTCACCCTTTGCAAAGGGCACGTTGGTCACGTGGTATTATTGCTAGTAGGGATTTCTACCCCGAAGCCACTGCGGATAAGGGCGTTGTGTTCTAAAGTTATACATATTGGTATTGCAACTCTCTATATATATATATATATATATGCACATGTATGCACACATTTGTAAGAGCTAGGGGATCGCAGGTTTTAGTCTGTGCATGTACCAGGGTTTTTACTTTTGGGCCTCTACTTTTTGAGCCATCCTTTTCTGGACGGTTTTGCGCCGGTTTTGCCCCGGGGTGAGAGCAAGGGTTGGACCAGCCACGCTAGCCACCCTGCCGTGGCCCACCCTGGCAACCGGAGGACTCTGAGGACAAGTCGGAGGCGCGAAACGGACCGGGAGGGGGCGAACGTCCGGGCCAAACCCGAAAACCGAAAACCGAAAGCTCGGGGGGTGCTAATCTTGGGTTGGTTTGGAACGGAAACCAAAAGGAACCTGTTGGCAACTGTTTTGCCCCGTTTTTGGGGGCTCCCCTTCTCAGACAAACCCATTTTTCTAGGGGTTGATTCCTTGTCCATTCTTTTCAGCCATCGTTCTTTTTTCAAGAACCGATCGCCATTTCCCCAGAATTTTTGGTGGTCTTCTAGAAAGAAGGATCCTGGAAAGAATGGGGAAGTTACCCCTAGAGCTAAGGACTTTTCAGGTAGGTTCCCAATTACTCGCTGTGATTCAGGTGGTAGCAAAGCCCGCAAAAGTTGTTGTTTTCTTTTGCGGGGTTGGGGGGGTGGGGGGCGCAAATTGGTGTTTATCCTTCTGGTATTGCTTTGCAACCACCAAAAAGGGGGGGTACCAACTTGTAGCCATGTTAGTAGAACCAGAAGTCGATCTGTGAAAGTGGGCGCTGCTCACTTGCCTTTGCCGTTCTTGGCACATGATTGCAAGAATACGGCTCGGTGGCAGCAACTTCACAGGGGAAAGTTGCTTGCATTCGCGAATGCTTCAGACAGACTGCTGTTGACAAATTCTGGCAACCAGCCGCAAATTCTGGCGAGCTTCAGCGGCTGCTTCGACATCTGTTGGCTGCGAGGAACTTTGTTGGCTTCCGCGGGTGACGCGGAGTTATATCAGAGAGCACGAGGTTGCGAGCAATAAAGCCGCTGGGTTGGGCTGCTTGCCAGATTGAAGCCGTACATTTCGGCTCCCCTAGAGACCAACCCAGCTGCCTTGGCTGTCCTTGGCATGTTCGCTGGCTTGAGTTGTGTTCATATGGGGGTTGGGAAGTTGCCAGTCGAATCGAGCTGATATGAAATGACATTTTGGCATTCTGCTCACTTCCAATCGATTTCCGGAGCTTGTGCCTTTTTCGGAAGCATCCCATCGAGGGCGACTTTTCAGCCGGTCTGCTGTTCGCGGGCCAAGCTACTAGTTCGGAGAGTTAGCCTAGTTTTTCGCCGGTTTTTCAATTACGGCCGTGCCTAAGCCTCAAATTCCTTTCAGTTCCATGACTTTTTTAAATCCTGTTTTGGGCAGCCGTTTTGGTGGGTTTGAAAGGGAAGCTAACAGGAAACCTAGATTTTGAGACAATCCAAGTGAGACCTGCAACAATTCTGGCAGCTCCAGTTGCAGAGTTTTTTTTTTTTTTTTTTTAAACAAAAATAAAAAATAAAAAATTATGTGAGAACATGGAGTAAGGCTTCTGGCATTGTAGCGGTCAGGTGGGTGAATTTGAAATGACTTGTGCAGATGGGTTTGTTCTTAAACGGGGGTTCCTTAAGTTTCTCTCAAGCCACTTCCAAGGTTGCCCTGAAAAAAGATGCCTCCAGACCACACATGGGAATATGGGGTGTTGAAGCCGTGCAGACTGGAAAGGGTGACAGCTCCAAGCAAGGCCTCCCTGGTTTGTGGGACGACCTCAGATCCACCACGCGATTCCATTTGTTCAGGCTTCGGCCCAACCCACTTTTTGGTCGAAACAGGCACTCGTAGCTGCTTCTTAACTCCGGATTCCAGCTTTATGTTCGCAATGTTCAGCGGATTGCGATCCCTGCCCCCAGTTCTGGTTCCTGGGTCCCTTGATCCCTTTATGTTCCCCATTTCCCAAGCTTGGATCGGCTTGGATGTGTTGGGAATCAGCGCGAGTCAGCTGTGTAGGCTCGGCGAAGTGTCAGGCCCCACCCGGGGCGAAGTGTCAGGCCCACCCGAGTCTTTTTCTCCGAAACCCCCGGGAGTGTTCAACTTTTCTTTGCTGAACATCTTCGCCTTTGGTTCCCTGGGTAGGTTTCTCGATTTGGGCGTGTCTTTTTGGGCTGGTTTGGGAAGCCGAAAGGAAACGGTGGGCAAAAAGGCGGCCGTTTGACACATTTTTCATGAGTGCTTGTTGCGGTTGAGTGGTTGAAATCCAACCACTGAACTGCTAATGTTTGATTGATTTTTTTTGCTCCCCTTCCAACAGCAACCAAGTCCTCAGACAACCAATTTTTTGGGGTTCCCCTTTAACTTGGTGGCTCCCAGCCATCCGGTTCCTTAGCTTTTTAGCTTGTTTTGGCGTTTTAGTGGTTGGTTTTTCCATGTAGCCCACTCAAAGTTCGTCACTTTTAGCGGGGCATCTGAGGACAGCGGGCGATAAGACCCCGTTTTCGCTGTCGCCTTTGTGTTGGCAAAATTCCATGGACAGGCAAAGGGTCTCCGACCAAATCTAGCCTGCAACGGTCATTTTGAGGCTTTTGGGTGTTTAGTGTTTAGTGGTTGGTCTTCCATTTCGCCCACTAAAAGTTAGTCACGTGAAGCTTTTAAAGGGCGATCCGAGGGCAGCTCCATTAAGACCAACCCATTTTCGTGGCGGTCGGGTGCAACTGTTTGAACTCAGGAGCCAGTGAGGACCCGATCTGTGGCGGAGTGGAAGAGGGCCATCGAAGGCGAATCTGGGGAGTGGAATCGGGCACCGGGCGGGGGGGAGGGAAAACGAGGTCACTAGGTCCTTTACTGAAAAAGGGATCGACCAAATACCATTTCAGATTTTTGAGTTTGTGAAGGTGTTTTGGAGGTGTTGTACAATTGTGCATGTTTTGTGAAGGCATTTGGAGGCCCAGTTCTATGTCATGACTTTTTGGAGGTATCCCGCCCGGCTTTTTCCCTCTGAGCCTCTTTGGTTCTGGGAGGTGAGGCTCTTGCAAGCGACCGGAAACTCTGCCCCGGGGGCCCCGGGGCACCTTGGGATGTGAACCACACGAGTTCGAACCCGAGACGCGATTCATGGGGCGGTTTCAAGGCGCGGATATCCTGTAACCCCGGGCAACAAAGGATGCAGGCTCCCTATGAAACAGTGGCATCCAGCTCATTTCGGTTGGCTTTTCTTTTTTTTGTTTGCTTGGTAGTTGTCACTGGATTCTCCAAATCAAAGCTGTATCGATTTGCAGGTGGTATCCAATGATTCACTGCCACTTTTGGAGGTCCATAAAAGGGTGCACATTTCAGGATCTCTTTGGAAGGGTCATCCTTTAATATGAGTTTGTCAGCCCAATGGTTCCAGGATTTAGAATTTGCAATTTGCCGAGAGATGTCAGAGGGATCCGCCATGGGTTGCTGCCATTGTTGGTCTGGGTGCCACTGAGATCCCCCATTTTCGGTTAGTTGTTATATTTCATGCCACATCCACTCGTTTCGAATCTCTGCCAGGGGATGATTCCGATGGAGACGGCGAGACCTTCCTGAAGCAGCCAGCCACTCAGAGAGGTTTTGCTTGGCACTTCGATGAGCTTCATCCGAACACCAAAAGGACAACCAGCCCTTTTGGGGCTTCCCCTTCAGGCTTCCGTTCCCCAATGACTTTCTGGAGTCAGGGAAGTGAGACCAATGTGAAGGCTTCGCCAGTTAGACAGACGTTAGAGTGAAACCAATGCCAGTTTCTTAATTTTGACACAGTCTTCGCCATTCCTCTTCCTAATTCTTATGTCTCAGATTTTATGATGGTTATTGTGTCTCTTCATGCCATCCACCTATTTACATTTTTGTTCCTTCTTCCTTTACAAAACTTCTCCATTCATTCATCAATCACATATAGCTATTCTCATATCATTTCTAGAGAGGCCCTTTTCTACAACCAAGTAATTCCTATCTCCCTCTCTCTCTCTCTCTCTCTCTCTCTCTCTCTCTGCGGCCGCGGGAATCACCAAGACAACGAAGAAAGAGAGAGTACACTATCATATCATTTCTCCAATGCGCTTGCTCTTTACCTATCCTTCCGGAAATCCCTTGGGATACACATGGAAGGTAATTGGTCGCTACGGAAAGAGAGTCACGGAGTGATATGGTGGATGGCTTCCCTTTGAAAACAGCCAAGCCGGGTACCCTTCAAGAAACATGAGGCAAACCCTCCCCAACCCTCCCTTGCCTTCCCCCACCCCTCGTGCCATGCGCCTTGCCCTCTGCAGTGCCACGGCACGCTCGGTGAAGATCCCGCCCGATGCTCACGGCATCCTGTCAATACAAAGGCGGCTACCCTGATCTTTGAACAAGCAGCCTCCTACCGAATCGGACCGCTGGTTTTCGTCTTTGTTTCCATTTACCAGGGCAAGCCATTTTGGGGTGACCCTATTTTTGACCCACACCCATATGGAAATACTGTGGATGGTTGCGAAATCCATTTCAGGCACCACCTAAAAAACCCTGAATGAGTCGCTTTCCCTGTAAATACCAACAAACAATGGTTCGCTATGGCTTCAAAGTTGTGCGAAATGGATTTCGTCCACCCACAGTACCACAGGATTGCCCAAAATGATACATTTCGGCCATGAAGTTCATATTTGCCAGTTTCAGTGGATTTGGAGGATCACCCGATGAATCCTGTGATTTTCGGATGTACTCTCCCTCAGACTAACGTGGAAGCTCGCAGAAGGCCTCTGTAAATGGAACCAAGTCTTCCAAGAAAATCTTGGGAACTTACATGTTTCAGCAAAAAAAATGGGAGGATCTTCTGAGTCCTGCGGTTTCTGGATGTATCTCTTGGTTGGACCCCCCCTTTGGCAGCCCACCGAAACCGCACGCAAACCGCCGAGCGGTCAGCGCGGTCAGGGGCCTCTCGAGCACCAGCAGCATGCGCCGGGTGCTGCGGCACGGCGTGAGCGGCCGGGATCTGCAGGAGCCGAGCCGGGAAAGCGTCCATCCGACAGGAGCTTCGTTCTTTTGGTGGGTTGGTGGGTTGGTTGGTTGGTGGGTTACTTGGTGGGTTGGTGGGTTGGTGGGTTTCTTGGTTGGTGGGTTGGTTGGTTGGTTGTTTGGTGGGTTGGTGGGTTGGTGGGTTTCTTGGTTGGTGGGTTGGTGGGTTGGTTGGTTGGTTGGTTGGTTGGTTGGTGGGTTGGTGGGTTGGTGGGTTGGTGGGTTGGTGGGTTTCTTGGTTGGTGGGTTGGTGGCTTGGTTGGTTGGTGGGTTGGTGGGTTGGTGGGTTGGTGGGTTTCTTGGTTGGTGGGTTGGTTGGTTGGTTGGTTGGTGGGTTGGTGGGTTGGTGGGTTGGTGGGTTGGTGGGTTTCTTGGTTGGTGGGTTGGTGGGTTGGTTGGTTGGTGGGTTGGTGGGTTGGTGGGTTTCTTGGTTGGTGGGTTGGTTGGTTTGGTTTCTTGGTGGGTTGGTGGGTTGGTGGGTTGGCTTGGTTGGTGGGTTGGTTGGATTTTCTTGGGGTTGGTGGTTGGTGGGTTGGCGGGTTGGTGGGTTGGTGGGTTGGTTGGTTGGTGGGTTGGTTGGTTGGTTTCTTGGTGGGTTGGTGGGTTGGTGGGTTGGTGGGTTTCTTGGTTGGTGGGTTGGTTGGTGGGTTACTTGGTGGGTTGGTGGGTTGGTGGGTTGGTGGGTTTCTTGGTTGGTGGGTTGGTTGGTTGGTGGGTTGGTGGGTTGGTGGGTTTCTTGGTTGGTGGGTTGGTTGGTTGGTTTCTTGGTGGGTTGGTGGGTTGGTGGGTTGGTGGGTTGGTGGGTTTCTTGGTTGGTGGCTTGGTTGGTTTCTTGGTGGGTTGGTGGGTTGGTGGGTTTCTTGGTTGGTGGGTTGGTTGGTGGGTTACTTGGTGGGTTGGTGGGTTGGTGGGTTTCTTGGTTGGTGGGTTGGTTGGTTGGTTTCTTGGTGGGTTGGTGGGTTGGTGGGTTTCTTGGTTGGTGGGTTGGTTGGTGGGTTACTTGGTGGGTTGGTGGGTTGGTGGGTTGGTTGGTTGGTGGGTTACTTGGTGGGTTGGTGGGTTGGTGGGTTTCTTGGTTGGTGGGTTGGTTGGTTGGTTTCTTGGTGGGTTGGTGGGTTGGTGGGTTACTTGGTGGGTTGGTGGGTTGGTTGGTGGGTTACTTGGTGGGTTGGTGGGTTGGTGGGTTTCTTGGTTGGTGGGTTGGTTGGTGGGTTACTTGGTGGGTTTCTTGGTTGGTGGGTTGGTGGGTTGGTGGGTTGGTTGGTTGGTGGGTTGGTTGGTGGGTTGGTGGGTTTCTTGGTTGGTGGGTTGGTTGGTTGGTTTCTTGGTGGGTTGGTGGGTTGGTGGGTTTCTTGGTTGGTGGGTTGGTTGGTTGGTTTCTTGGTGGGTTGGTGGGTTGGTGGGTTTCTTGGTTGGTGGGTTGGTTGGTTGGTTTCTTGGTTGGTGGGTTGGTTTCTTGGTTGGTTGGTTTCTTGGTTGGTTGGTTGGTGAAGTGTTTAATTGTTGGTGGTATAATTTTGACCCCATACCCATTTGGTTGGTTGGTTGGCTGGCGGGTCTTTTTGGTTGGCTGGCGTGTGCACTTGTTCGTTTGTTTCTTCGTTTGTGTTTCTTGCTTGTCTTGCTTGTTTCTTTGCTTGTTTGCTTCTTTGCTTGTTTGTTGATGTTGGTTTCAAGGCTTGCCGAATCACAGTTGCCAGCGGGTGCTCGTTTGCAAACGCAAAGGCTGAAAGGCGAGGACTCCCAGCAACAGTTCACGACCTGCGCAGATTGCGAGCTTTCTTTCTCTCTGTCGTGCTATGCATTTTTTGGCATGGACTCTTGTTCAGGGCTCCTTAAAAGATACATGTTGCCCATTTGAAACATGGCTTCTTCCACAAAAATACAGGGAAACCACCATCTACAAGGCAATGTTCAGGTGTATAATGTAAGGTTCCCTCTTGTTGATGCTGCACAGGGATAGGTTGACAGATGGGAGGATGGTTGCGCGGGCGTTTTGCCTTGGAAGAAAGGTTTGGGCGTTTCAGGGCGAGGTCCCGGACACCTTTTTGGCACATTGGGATTTGATTTGTGATGTTTTCCTTGGGTCAAGTGATAGAGGTCAAACGATTGAGCTTGCCACGTGTGGTTCACTGTGCTGTGTGTCTAAGAGGTATTCGGGTGTGGCTCAACATTAAACAGCAGGGGCAAACCGCAGGTGTTGGTCCATGTTTCCACTTACCAGGCTTGCGCCATTTTGGAATTACCCCATTTTTGACCCACAGCCAATTGTGGGTTTCTCGTTGTTCCAGCGGTATTCAAGCTCCTCCTGATTGGTGGCTTGGAGATTTGGTGGTTAAGGGACGGCGCCATTTTGGCTTCAGACCCCAGAAAGCCACGAGCCACGTGGTTCTCGGTTCTCCCTTTGGCTGACCTACAAAACCCCAGGCCACACCTTTAGATCAAAGGGTTGCGTTACAGGAAATTCTACAGGAAAACAACTTATTCAGGGTGTTTTGAAGACATTTCCGTATTTTTTTTCCTGTAACCAAACCCTTTGAGTAGAATTTCGGCATTTGCGAAAAGATTCAAGCACTTGCAGCTTAGTCCACTCCCGGATTTTATGTGAATCTCAAAACCTGAAACAAAACAGCACCGAGGCTCCAAGACACGGCACGCCCAAAACCGGAAAAAAAAAAAAAAAAAAAACGCCCACAGAAAGCGCCAGGAGCTGAGCGACGCGGAGCTGCAAGCCGTGGCGGAGCAGGCCCCGAAGTCAATACACGCATACAAAACCTCCGTTGACTAGGTCACCCAGTAGTGCCCTTCTCTCCCCTTTTGTTGGTTGGGAGGGTTCCCCTACTAAAATAGACGACAGAAAAAGGGTACCCTTATTGTAGCCTCTCTACTGGAGGACCTAGTTGACCATTTAATAGCTGCTTCTACTACCTGGTTGGTTGGGGATTGTAAGGCCTGTAGAAACCAACAAAGAACCAGGTTGGTTAAAAACAACAACAACAATTCTCAAGAGGTGTTGGTCGCTGCTCGGGTTTTGTGGGTTTTTTTTTATAGTTACATGTGGAATCATCCATTTGGAATACCATTTGGGTAATTATCGCAGAAAGGTATAAACTTTTTTTTGGCTAATTGAATGAATATTATTGGATCCACAGATACTCTTGATGAAGCCTCAAACTCCCACAGACCTTATTCTTAGATCCGCCCGGATAAACTGTCAGGCGCTAGGACCTACATGATTGAAATATGGGTCGGACCGCTGGTTTCCATTGACCAGGGCCAGCCATTTTGGGGTTACCCTATTTTGGACCCACGCCCATACTGTGGACGGACGAATTCCAATTTGCACCACCTAAAACCCTGGGGTGATGTTTCCCCTGTAAGTACCAACAAACAACGGTTTGCTACAGGGTTGTGGAATCAATGGGTTTATTCCCACTTCTGTGATACAAGGGACTCTCCCCCTTTATATGGGGTGTTGTGAAGCCCTTTTTGTTGTATCACAGAAGGGGTTATTTTCCAGATGCCCCAAGCAGAGGACCTGCGATTTGGGGTTACCATTTTTTTGACCCACACCCATATGATCACTGGAAATAAGAACATAAAGGACCAGGTGAAGGACCTACATGATTAAAATATGATCCCCACTAGGTCCCAGTAGTGCCCTTTCTCTCCCCTTTTTTGGTTGGGAGGGTTCCCCTACCAGAATAGACTACAGAAAACAATCGGGTACCCTTATTCTAAGCTCTCTACTGGAGGACCAAGGCCAACCTTTTAACGTTTAGTTTTCCTTGTTGGTCTATATGAATATATGAAGGTTTTATCAGGTAACCTTTGATTTTCAGGTCCTTCAGGCGACTTCTACAGAAACCCCCACAGTTTTTTCCTTTTTGAAGGTTTTCTTTTTCATTTTTTCATTTTGATGGTTTGTTCTTCTATTTTTTTTTCAGGGGTGCAGAGGTCCAGTTTTTCTTTTAGAGGACCTAGCCCAAGCAAAGGGATCCACTTGATCCCCGGGTGTAGGATTTTCGTTGCGAGGAGCAGCTGGCAGCAGAGCTGCGGCAGATGAACGCCAGCGGGCGGCTGGCGCTCGCCTACGCGCCTGGCGCAGCAAAACCGCTGGGCTTTTGCGTGGACCGGACCATAGCCCCCCCTTTTACACTTCCATTTCTTTTTAGATTTAAACCCCTGTTGGTTTTAAAGGCCCGAAGGGGCCTGTGTCGAGGCCTAGATCAAGATCGCCAATCCAATGCAGAGAGCGGCAGACGCCTGGAGGTACAAGAGTGCCGGAAGGAAATCCACCTCGTGATGAACACCTTCAGCCCAATGAAGATGAGTGGCAACCTCGTTGGAAAGATGAGGACTACGATCATTGGTGGAGGGCAAGGTGGAATCCTACTTCTACATGGCAGCCGTGGCAGGACTGGAAAGGCGGTTGGGAGAAGGAGGAACAGAAGGTAGCGGTGGAACAAATTGAATCAGGAGGCGCTGGTGGAAAGGTAGAGCTGCCGGAGCTGGTATATGATCATTCCCCGCTGACTCTGGGAGATTGGCTAGCGCAAGTGGGACCACAAATGAGTGATCTCTCTCAAGGAGCTGCTGAGTGGTGGGCCGGAACTATGGGACAGGCAAAGCAGATCTACGAGGTCTGGTTGAAATCAACGCCGTTGGAAAGGCTTCAGATCACCGTCGATGTGCCGGACCGGTTGAAAACTCCAAGGTTCGTCAGGACGGAGCAGAGAGGTGTGACGCTGCTCTTGAAGGCAGTGCCGGAGGAGATCAGAAAAGAGCTCATCTCGGCAAGGGAAATCACGTCAACATAGGCTCCTGGTCACCTACCAGCCTGGAGGACCGGGGGAGAGGGCCCTTATCCTGCGGAAGCTCACGGATCTGGGGGCCATGAAGGACTACACGGAGGCGGCAACAGTCTTGCGGGAGTGGCGAAGGTATTATTTGAGGGTGTGGGAGATTGGGGCCACGCTTCCGGACCCGACTTTGCTATCAGTAGCACTTGAACGAGTCGTTCAACCGGTGAATAAAGGAGGAACGCAGGCGTTCAGGGTGGCTCAGGCGAGGTCGCAGCTGGGTTTGGATACGGCACCGACAGCCCTTGGTATCTGGAGCTATTCCGAGCTGTTGTTGGCGGAGATGGACACGGCCAAGTTGATGGTGACAGAAGGGGCGGTGCAGCCCAAGGTCAAGGCAATGCAGGGTAGAAGCGAGCGAGTTGGTCAAGGAACACATCCGGAAGGACCAGCATCAGTCAAGAAGGAGGTGATCAACTGCAGGTACTTCATCTCCGACAGTGGGTGCAGAGCTGGCAAGAATTGCAAGTGGCCTCACGATTGGGAAGGGGTCACGGACAAGGCAACGAGATGCTGGAACTGTGGGGCAAAAACCCATAGGAAGGCGGACTGCACGGTGAAGGCAGGGAATCCACATTTTGGGGGAAAGCCAACGCCAAAGCCGGCTGTGAAAGCCGCGAGGTGCGAGCTGGGGAACAGCTCGGGGGGAGGTGAAGGTGCGGGCGCAGGCGCCGAAAAATCGCCTTGGAAAGGAGGTGACAATAGCATGGCTGGACAAGAGGCTACCTCGTCTGCGGCGGGTACTACAGGTGGTGGACCTACGGCCGGTGGAACGGGCAGCGGAACGGGGGAGTTGCTAGCCGAGGCAACTAGTCTCCTTCGATCGTTGAGGTTGCCGTCGATGAACGCGGTGATCGTGATGAACCAAATGGGCAAAGAAAGTCGCGGCATGGGCCTTCTTGACGGAGGAGCAACGCATGCACTCAGGCCGGGAAAGAGCCAGGTGGAATGGAACCAGGCCGAGATTGTGGAAGTGCATTTGGCGGATGGCTCGAGTACAAGAATGCGGAGCAAGCCGGGAACGTTGACGCTGCTGGCAGAAAAGGGCACGCAGGTCATTGTGCCCATGGGAGCGATGACGGAGGTTGGCTACATGGTGACATGGTCCAACGGAGTTTGTGCGGTGACCTACAAGGGCAAACCGGTGGAGGTCACGATGATCGTAGGATGTCCGATGGTTGAGGAAGACGTGGCCCTGGAGATGATAGACCAGATGGAGCACAAGAAAGCAGAGCTCATTTGGAAACTGGCGATGCTGAAGGGCCAGGTAGAGTTAACCAAGAGCTTGACCTATGAGGAAGCCATGCTGAAAGCGCTGAAGGAGTTCTTTGTGGACGTCCCGGACAGTTTGCTGGCGAGGTTGGTGGTCACGCAGGAGTACGATGTGACGAAGTTGCCGTGGAACAGGCGGAAGAGGAGGACGATTGAGAGAGCAAGGAGAATCCACCTGCATCTCTTCTCGGGCACGGAAAAGAAGTGGGCGGACATGGAGGAGAGTGAAACGATCATGATCTGCTTGGACAAGGTGAACAACCCTGGGCAGGATTTGCTCAATGACGATGTTTACAGTTACCTCATCGAAGACCACGGTTCCGGGGGACGCCTTCAAGGAGAATGGACGGGTTGAGGCAGAGATCGGGGTCCTGAAAAGGGCAACGAGAACATTGTTGAAGGCGGGCGGAGAACCAGGTACCTTGTGGCCGATGGCGTTGAGGCATGCTGGAGAACGACGTCTCCGGAGGCAATTGCATGCGGTTGGCCTGCCCGTGAAGGAAATGCTGCCGTGGGGGACGGTCGCCTATGTGAAGAAGAAGAGTTGGAATGAAAGAGGCCAAGATTGGAGGTTTGACCGCGAACGGGTCAAGATCATGGGCCCCGATGCAGTGATGTCGACAACATCAGGTGGCTATTGGGTAAGGAGCTGCGAAGCGTGACGACACTTTGCAACTACAGATGCAATCAGGGAGCCTGAAGAGGTGATCATCGACCCGGGGGAGGAAGTGGTACTTGAAGAAAGAGTAGGAGCAGACCTCTTGATGCCGAGAGCGGAGAGGCCAAGGAGGCGCTTGCGGGAAAAGACGGCTATGTCGACGATGGTCGTCGAGGGGGAGAAGGTAGAAGATCAGGCCCACTTTGAAAAATGGCACCAACATGCTACTCAATGGGTCAAGGAAGAGCTCGAGATTTTAAATGCAGAATGAGAAGATCAAGAAATGTGGCTTGGAGTACTGCGAGAAGGACTTCAACGGAGGAGTCACATTGAAGCGGCGCTGAACCGGATGCAGGTGGAGGGCGCAGCAAAAACAGAAGAGTGGCTCGTGACGAAGACGGTGTCTATGGGCGAAGTGAGGAGTGAACTAGAAGAGTGGGAGGTCGCAGCGAAGAAGGAATACACGGCATTGGTGGAGGAAAGCAAGGCGGTCAAGCCGATCAGGAAAAGAGACATCGACCAGATTCAAGGTCCTGTCGAAGTTCTTCCTGCCAAGGCTGTGTGTGCCAGGAAAGCGCCGGATGGGCGCCGAAAGGTCAGAGGAGTGGTGTGTGGCAACTATTCGGCTGGCAAGGATGCGGAGAAGCTGTACGCGGGAGGTGCAGACGGATTGCAGATCCGGATGGTGCTGAGAACTGCGGGACAGCGAGGATGGAGCCTTTTGTGCACGGACATCCACACGGCATTCCTTAACGCTCCGCGAAGAGATGATGGCAGGACGATTGTAATGGAAGTCCCGTCGGTGTTCAAGGAGCTGGGCATCGCCCAAAGGGATGAGATGTGGGTTGTCGACAAGGCGGTCTATGGACTAACCACAAGTCCTAGAGACTGGAGCGTGCGCCGCGAGATCGAGATCGATGGAGTGGGAAGGAGATGGAAAGAGGATGAAATTCCTGGAGACAGAGGAGCCGAACCTATGGAGGATCATTGAGGTTGAGACCGGGGTGGTGCGAGGACTGATGTCCATCTACGTGGATGACGTGATGCTGGCCGGCGAAGACAAGGTCATTGAGACGGCCAGAGCAAGGATGGATGACGGAGATTGGAAGTTGTCCCCGGCGGAATGGGCAACGGCTGACGTTCGCGGAGGACCTGGTGGCCAAGTGGGACATCAAGGAGGGTACGGAGGCGTTGAGCTACAAGCTGCTGGACGAGGACAGCAAGGATGGCACCCCGGAAGAGGTCAGAGAGGCTCAGGCTATAACGGGCGCGTTGCTGTGGTTGGCTTCGAAGACGAGACCGGACATTGCGGTGGCGGTTGCAGCAATGTCGAGATGGACAAGGAAAGGTGTGGAGGTTGTCAACCTGGGCAAGGACGTAATGAGGTATGTCAAGGCGACCACGGATCGGGGCCTGAACTACGGACCGGTTGGAGGATGGGCGTCAAAAGAAGGCCTTGGCATGAAGAGGCGAGTGAACATGGTGGAGGTCTTCGCGGACATCTCCTATACGCCTCGGGCGGGGAGGATAAGAGCGTGCAGGGCATCGTTGGCTTTGTGGAGGGAGCTCCAATCTGCTGGGAGTCGGTGAGACAGCCTTTCGTGGCACAGAGCACGGCGGAGGGAGAGCTGATTGGATACTGCGAGGCGCTGACGGTTGGCAGAGCCTTGGTGTCGCTCGCGGAGGTCGTCACTGAGGATGTACGGTGACAACATGGCGGCGATCAGCCTGGCTTCCAACGGAGCCGGGAATTGGAGGACAGGGCTTCAGCCTTGAGGTGGGCCTTGTAGGAGGGTGAATGGGTTTTGGAGCACATGCCGGGTGTACAGTTGGTTGCTGATGGTTTCACCAAGCTTTTGTTAGGTCAGGCCTTTGGTAGCTTTCTGGTGGAGCTTTGTATGGTGAAACAAGGCCAGTGGGCAAACAAGAAGAGCCACTGGGCCGCCGAAGGGCACAAGAAAAGGATCAAGATCGCTAGGGAAGATGAACCAGCGACAGCAGGGGACAAGGTCGCTAGGGGAAATGAACCAGCGACTGTAGGAAGGCCTGACGGGGAAGAAGCCAGAAAGGGCCTGAGAAGATTGAGCAGGGAAGATGAACCGCCCACAAAGAAGTCCAGGGGTGATGAACCGGACTCAACCCTGGAGAATGTAGGACCGCAGCTGTTTTCAGTAGGAACCACTGCCCATCGGGCTGCCTTTCCCAGCTAGGTGAGGCCAAGGCTAGGACCATGATGGCAATTGGCGCAAGCCTCATCGCGGGCGCAAAGGGCATGTCTAGTAATGGTGAGGACGCAGAGCAGAGCGCTATGATGCTTGTGGTGGGAGTTCTGCTGGCGGCGGTTGGAGCAGCTATGGTGATGAAGTGGTCGACCAAGGCATTGACATGTGGAGTCATGAAAGTGATGAGAGTGATGTCGGAGGAGAAGAAGCCGGACATCTATGTGGGTCGAGGAGCAGATGTCCTTTGGGACCAATGGGGGCGGAAGTGGAAGCTGGTGAACATCAAGAGCAAGGGGTTTGAGCGGCAGCAGCAGCCGACTTCCGAGGAGCCTTGGGACGGAGGCGACGAGATCCATACAGGACCGACCACGAGGCAGAGTGCACGGGGGTCGGAAGATGGCGAGCAGCACAACCACGCGAGTGAGGCGTGGCTCAATGAGGAGACTGGTGGCGGAAGCATCAGGACGGGTGCGGCAAGTGCGACGGCGTCGAGTGAGTCGTCCACGATGAGGAAGAAGAGGTGCAACACCTCGTGGAACCAGTTCCAACATGATCATCGAGGCCGTGGATGGACTATGACCCAGATGCGCCAGGAGTACTACAAGAACAAGGGGGTTTGAGCGCTTTTTCAGGCAGATAGCCTGGCCGGTAAATAACCCGGCAACCCTAGATCGGTGCGACCGCACCGAGGGGGAGCCCGAAGGGGTGTGTACACGAAGCCCCTTTTTGACTCAAGTGAGAAGGAAAATACGCGGCCTAGCCTACTGAGAAAGGGAATCGATTTCACTACTGGAACTACTTTTGTTTTTTCCAGGGGTCTTAAGCAAATGGAAGTTTAGGGGCCGCGGGATGGGGTGGGGGGGTGGGGTTCTCTGTATATGGGAGTCTCTTTCTAAAAAAAGCGGACCCCAAGCGTCATGTAAGATTTGAAGGGTTTTTCTATTTTGCTGGGAGACCATACCCCGCTCTTCAGGTACGTGGGGAGTTGCAAGTAAACCGACCACCTCCGACTACAAGATATGGGGGGTTTCTCAAACAAATGCATACTTTTTGTAGTTGGTTGAAACGCAATTGTCTCATATAGCCCACCAACATTCATGCAAGATGGGAGACCATACCCCCCTCTTCATGTACGTGTGGAGTTGCGAGTGAACCAACCACCTCCAACCACGAAAGCCTGGATATTTGCTTGGCATCCACCTTACCAAGTATATTTGGGCAAATTCGAGGCTCACCTGAAATTAAACGAGCTCACACATGATGGCCTATAGACTACAAGGGCTTCCTTTTTCCAGATGGATTTCATCGTAATTTGTGATGATTTCCGTGGGTTGTTGGATTTTGAAGGGAAACCCAAAAAACAAACCTTGAACCCTTCGCCCACCAAATGTTAACAAGCACCACAACCGTTTTAGTGGTGGTTGATCCAAATGTTCAACCAAGAGCGGGCAGGGTTCAAAGAAAACCTTGGGTCAACCCATCCGAGGCCTCATTCTGGTGTCCCTTATCCTGGAGCTTCCTTTGGATTGGTCTGCTGTTTAATGCGCGCCAAAGGGAAGCCGTCGCCACTGTAGGACATGGGCCGACTCGGCCTATTTGGCCATGGGTCAAAATCACGTCCCAGTGAACATCCCAATCCCCAGTAAAAAACGGGTGAACTCACCTACCAACCAAAATGGGATTTCCCACAACGGTTTTGACCACCACAGCCATTTGGGTTTCCCCCTTTTCGGCGGTTCATCAGCAGCCCGACCGACCGACCTCGCCTTCGAGAAATCCCCAAAATGGGATCCCATTTTGACAGCCATGTGGGTTTCCCCCTTTTTTGGCGGTTCCAAACAGCCCGACCGCCGGCCGCCTTCGCCGCTCGCCGGCCTCAGGTCTTCGTGAAGAAGATCGGGTCCTTGAAGCGGGCCTTCCGCTGGTTCGACACCCGGCGCATCGGGAAGATCGCCCAGGTGGCGCGGGCCCCCGGGGCCTCGGCGTAGCCGGGGGATTCGGAGGCGTTTTGGAGTGGGGGATTTAAGGCAGAGGGAGGTTGGGACTTGACGACTTTTGGATGCAACTAGTGGGTTTTCCGTATTAAACCGCTAAAGGTTAAACTTTTAGCAGGGGAGCATGAAACCAAAATACATGCCGTGCTCATGGGATATTTGTGTGAGTAATTGTTGCAGCCCCTTGTATCTCTCAGCGGCTCAATGGGATATACAACTGCTATGTGGCTACACAAACGGTACGGACCCGTTTCCTCATGGGGCTAGCGGCTTTTGGGGTTCGTGGACACCCTTAGATTCGAACTACATCGCTACATGACCCAAGCACCTGGAAAAGAACATTGTGTTTGGTCTTTTTGCCCATGACTTCTTCCCATGTGGGCATGTGTCAAAATAGGGCCTTGGTCCTCGGCTTTCTTGTTGAACATGTGAAGATGAACACCAGAATGCCTCTTGCAGGTCCACAAAAGCGAAATTGAGGATTTGTCTAATCTTGAGCCCCCCCCGTTCGTGCCCGGCAACCCTTCATTGGTGGTTTGGGGATTTGAGCCCCGCTTTCTTGTAGGTACCTGGTTTCCCCACCCTGCAACTCTCCAAACTACCGGGCTCCAAACCACCAGGGAAGCTGATAGTGGAAACCCCTCCAAAGGTGATTGCCACTTTGTTCCGGTGTCCAACAATGAACAATCCAACCAGTTCTTCTTTTGGTTTTCAAAGCTTGGTTCCCTTGAATACGCAGCACATCCATCTTTTGGGGTTGAGGGGAAGCTGAACGCGAGCCACAATCAAAACCGATTCGGGTAGATGAAGGTTAGTAAGGGACAATCCCAACCATAGACAGCTGCGGATGTCCGCCTTCTTAATTCTTGAAACATGTCGCTGGGTAGACCATTCTATTACCTGGTTTTGATTGTGACTCACATGGGGTTTCCCCATCTGGAGCCGATCGAAGGTCTGGGACACCGGCTTCACCCTGCTGCACATCGACTCTGAGAAGCTCTGCGGGTGGAAGCTCCTCGGCACCACCTTTTGGATCAGAGGTCCCAGAGAAGTTGGCGGCGGTTTGGGTGCAACCGTGCTTTTCTATTTGCTTGGGGGGTCTTTTCTTGGTTGCAAGAATTCTTTTCCACATGTTTTTTTTTGGGGGGTCTTTGCTTTGAGATGAGAAGTTGGCCGGAGGTGGGCGAAGTCACTCGTCTGTATGTTTGCGTTCTTGACTCGTTCTTGAATGGCACTGGAGGGAACCCCCTAACATTGGTGGTTTATGTGCCTTTGCAATAACCTGTGAACAAGTAAAGGTCAGGTCTGTGGGCTTGGACGGCCACGTCTTGGTGTCTTGCGCTCCTTGGTAGTTTCATTGCTGACACCTACTTCTCCAGTCGATTGGTCAGAGGAGGTCCAGACTTGCAACCACTACTAAAATGATGATCCCAAACACTTCTCAGCCCAGCAGCCCAACAACCCAAGAAGCCAGGCCCATTTGTCTATGGTGCAGCAGGCTTCCAACCATGGCTTTTGCCCAGGCCCTTCGAGATCTTCAGGCAGATCGACATCGATCCCTGCGATGGCATGATCTCTATGAAGGCGGGGTGAAACGGTGAAACGGGTCCCGGAATCCCACGGTGTTTGTTTTTTTAATGGAAGTTCTTGCATTTTCCCCTTTAAAAGGGGCAGGTTCTTTCAGATCACGGACCCACTCGATCTTCACCGCGTTTTTTTTTTTTGGAAGGGCAGGGATTATATCAAGAATCCTGTTTGAATTGGACACTTCATTTCCCGATTTGGAGACAGCCGTTCTTAAGCACTTGTTCCAAGCCTTGCCCAAGGCTGAATCGAACCGTTTTTTTTGCATTCGCACAGTTTGGACCCGGACAAAACTCCTAAAGCTTTGCGGATAAATTGTTTTTTGGAGGGTGCGCTTTTGGGGTCGCCACCAATTTTTCCCCTGCTTCACAAAGGGACGTTGTCAAGCAGTAGTAGGTTGGACCGTGTACCTGAATGCCCCGCGCTTTGCTTTTCTTCATGCACTCGCTCTTTGCTTTGCCGGCGTCTCCAAAGACCATGCTTTCAAGCTTCTCAAGCTATGTGGGGGTTGTCAAACTGTCAAAACGCCTGGGCCTTTGTTTGCTGGTGACTTGCTCAAAATCGAACCAGCCAAATCCCAGGTGGGATCTTGGGATGGCGAGAGGGCCCCAAGCAGATTTCGCAAGCGATCCGGGCGGGGATCCGGTCATTTTGGGTACAGTGGGCTGGTTTAGTGAGTAGGGGTTTAGGGTTTGGGGTAGATGGCTGGGTGTTCTAAGGCTAGCGTTTCTTAGGTGGAAATACGTCTTCTAGACATCTCTAGCTGCCACTTTGTTTGTTTGGTTGTTTGTTTGTTAGTTTCTTTCGTTCTTGCTTTCTCTTTTATTCTTCTTCTTCTTCTTATTATTTCTTTCCTTCTTCCTTCCTTCCTTCCTTCCTTCGTTCGTTCGTTCGTTCGTTTGTTTGTTTGTTTGTTTGTTTGTTTTCAAGTTCTTGTTTGGGTCTGTCGGATGGCTTTGCCAAGTTTCGTCTCTAGGGTCCTTTCTATGCACCGCTTCACGCCGGCGTGGGAGGAGTGGAAGAGCTTCTTCGCAGAAGCCGCGCAGACCATCGCGCAAGAGATGGAGCCGCGGCTTTCCGCACACGGGGCCAATCGCGGAGATGTGGGTGCCCTAAATATGGGGTATGTGTTAAAATCAGGTTTGGTTCCCCTTGAAATCATCAGGGGACTTTGGTTTCCCAATAAAAAAAGGATAAAAACAACAGTCAAGCTGAACATGGGATCCTCAAAACCGTACAGCCTGGGAACCTAGGGGCCCCATCCAGTGCAGCTTCATACTTTTTCTGATGTGTGGGAGAGCAAAAAGACAGTGACCATGATGTCAATAAAACTGTTTCGCATGGTTTCTCTCTGTCGTTCGACTTTTTTAACTGGGGGAGCAAGTATTGCAGAGTCATATGAGTGTCTTATTTCAATTATTCTCGTGTTCTGATTGGATGCTTTCAACGCGGAGCCAAAATGACATCAACCATTTGCTTTTATGACACACCCCAATGTGGCTGAGTCCACATTTCCATTTCCCCTGATGTTCGGGCCAATCCCCCTAATCCCCTTTTGGGTTTCCAAAAGGGAACCAGTGAAACAGAAGTTGGTCAAACGCGGCCATCAACCTGTTGGAGGGGATCAATTTCGAACATTCCGCTCACCAAAGAACCACAAGACAGCAACATCAATACGTTTGTCTCACAGGAATCGGAACTCAAACCGGTGGGAGTTTCCTTCTGGTTTCCCTTCAAACGCCAACCAAAAGGTGGTGCTCACCATTTTGAGAATTCCCCTTCTGGTCTGGCCCTTCACGCCATGTCCGGAGTCGGCAGAGGTGAGGGTTGCTTCTTGGGGCTGCTTGAAGCATGCAAAAGCGATGTCCGACTTCCAGCGAGTTTTCCTTGGGCCTGGTCACTGGTTGGTTTTCGTGCATTCCCGCGGTCTCAGGCAACTTGAGCTTTTTCTGTGCACGGCAGTCCACAATCCCTGCAACTGGTTGGGTTTTGCGCGTGCAGTTTGTCAACGCGGAGGAGCAGAACGGGGGCAGTGACTTTGAGCAGCAAGTGCGCGCGGGAAGCTTAGCGTGAGGGATCGGAGCGATGGTCACGGAGCGGCGGTCACGGATCACACGATTCTTTGGCGACGGAGAAAGTTCCTTTAGCTCCAGTTTTGGCTCGAATTACAATTGACGACGAATTACGGGGAAGGAGCAGCCTCTTGATCACTCCACTTCGCCCAATTAAGCATCAAGTATTCTACAGGTGCTCCCCCATTACCTTCCAGATAGCCAAATCATTTGTCAGCCCCGCGTCCGACTGGCTCCCCCCGATGAATCTGCAGATCTCCTGTAGCCACTGGCGACATGTTGTCCGGACAAGATTATCTGCGTTCGTGTGGGCAAAACCCTAGCCTGCTCCCCATACAGCCTAGCGAAGAGGTGGGACACGTCAAAGCGAGCTTTCTCAAAAGTCCCCTTTCCTGGAGGTCCCTAGCATTTAATATGTCCCTTTCACGCAGTGGGATCAAGGGGGTTTTACCCCACTTCTGTGATACAAGAGAATCTCCCCCGTTATGTGGGGGGTTAGTGTTGGGGATATCACAGAAGTGGTCATTTCTCACAGCCCTGCTTTCACGTTTTACCCTCCAATCCAAGAAGTGCACATTTTGGGCTTCACAAGGATTTCTCGTCTGAACCATGGGCTTGATGTTCGGGGGAAAAATACGTAGTACGATAGTGGAATTCTGAACACAAACGCCAGCATCCAAGATACGGTGGATTCCTGCTCCTGTTGAAATAGATTGGGTCGTTCATTCCTTGAGTTGCAACTGGCTCCCCTACTTGAGTGTGTCTTTTTTGCGGGCATCTTTTTTGTTTGTTTGTTTTTTTCAGGAACGCTGAAAGGACAGCCACCATTTTTGTCGGGGGGAGGTCCGCTTCCTAAAACAAGACACACCTTGATGTCTTGGTTGGGAACTCCGTCTCCGGTTTTCGCCTGTTCGGAGCTGCATCCCGCCAAGCTCCGTGGGCACGCCATGAAGCAGAAGGCGGCGCAGAAGCGGAGGCCGCGGTTTTGATTGGGACGGTTTTGATGTTCCGCCCCATGACGGGTGTGGATTTTTTGGATGAATCGGGCCCTCCCCAATGTGGAATCGGTGTTTCTGTTGGCTTCCTGTTAAAGCCACATTTTTTTTGTTTTTTTGAAGAACTTCGGTGCTCCTGTTGCTTCCCTTTTAATGCCACAAACACGGGTACCCCCACAAAAACGACTCGCCCCTGAATCAAAGAGCACTTCCTTGAAGGCCCCCGGCCCTCCAACAGAAAAAGAAAGCTTCAAAGAAAAATGGGTAGACCATCTTTATGTTTTTTTCACGAAGAATGGGTCAGCTCTGCGGGGCTTGGTGCCCATCCCTTAGCTTGTTCTGTTTATTTACGGCAATGAGCCCCTTCGGGCCTCTGTAGGGAAAGTGATGTACATGTTGCCTGTGGAGCAAGGAACCGAGCCATTTTTTTCGTTCATGGTGTGCCGATTTTGTTCTGCTCATTGGTTTTTGAGGAAAAGGCTTCCCGTTAGATAAAGTTAGAGTCACTGATCGTGCTTTTACGCCCTGATGGGACAAGCCAAATCGTTGCCCCCCCCCTGTACGGTTCCTTCTATCAGGAATGTCAAACCCGCCCCCCAAACAAAAAATCCCTTGGACGAAGGACAATTCCGATCCCAGAACAAACTTGTGTGAAATTTTGACTGCCACCAGAGTTCCACTCTGATCAGCCCAAAGAAAAACGACTTATTTAAGAAGTTTTGAACTGAGAGAGGCCCCGTCTGAAAAACCTTGGGCTTAAGTGGACCTTGGGATGACACGCCCTAGCGGGTCGCCTGGCTTCCAGGTGGGTTCCTTGGCTTCCAAGTTGTTTTCTTCTTTTTCTCGAAACGCCATCCACGAGGGGGGGCGGTAAGTTACTCTGTTTGGGACGCACCCACGTGGATCTCTTGTTTTTCTGGGTTGCTCACTCAGCTCTCCTTTGGGAGGCGCGTTCGGTGATTTTTGCCTTTCCCGTCGAAGGGGGGGGGGCGGGGTGCACAAGCCTAGTGCTGGGCTGCTCAAGGGCCATAAGCACGAGCCCTAGCCACGAAAGGATTCGGCTGTGGTTTCCAAGAGGGTGCCATGGACAGTTGTGTTTGCAACCCTCTCTGAGAGAGCCCCCGGCAAGTTAGAAGGATGGCCAGGCGTTCATGTTCCTGGAAGAACCCGAGGATGAGATGTGTTTTTGTTTGTCCTTCTGCTTTTCTTTTCTGTTCTTTTCCTGAGGGCGGTTGCTTGGTTGCGACAAACCAGCCCTAAAGCATGTGAAACAGCGCTACCATGCCACAAAGTCCCAACCTTGGGTTCGGATTCAGCACTTTCCAGTGGTTCCCCCACTACTTTCCTGGGCACCTTAGTCAAGTGCAAAATGGCCCGTTTGCGGACCTGTCCAGATTCTTTGCATTTGTTTCGGCGCTGAATGGAAGTGAGCTTGAACTTCCGGTTGCTTGGAGCCATCAACCCATGGCTACACACACAACAAAAAAACATGTGCCCTTAGCGGCGTGTCTAATTTTGAGGCCTTCTTTGGGTGGCGTTAGCGGGAAGCCAACAGCAAACCAACCACTTTGGGGTTCCCCTATTTTGAGACAAACCCACAGTGACCTATTTTGAGACAAACCCACAGTGACCGTTTCTTTTGGACTGCCCGGCAGGAGCCGACGTGGTGGCTACTCTTCGGAGGAGACCGAGCCGGCGTTTGGGGCGACAGCAAGCTAGAAACTCCTCCGAGCCGTTGGTGTGATGTCGGCTCTCTTCTGAAACCAGCTGAAACGGGGGGTGAATTTGGTTTGAGACACGGCCATTTGCTGTGGGGCTGTCATTTATCATCTTCCAGCCATTCCCTCTCAGACCTCCGGAGGATCTCGGTTTTTCTTGCACCTGGGCGTGAAACACGTTGGACCTTTTTGCCACTGAGCCTAAGTTTAAATGCGCGCCCCAAATCTGTTGGCCTGTGGGGACGATGGAGGTTGGTCGGGATGTTCATCACCCCGAATTTTCGCGGCCATCAAAGCTGCAATTTTCTTGTGGGTTAGATTCAGTCAGATGCGAAGCACGTTTTGGATACACGCGCTTCGAACCCTGAAATGTTTGGTTTCTGTTGGCACAAGTCAAACATTGGAGGCTCAAAGTGCACCACCTTTACGAGCGCAGGGCTCTTCTAATGGAAGGAGGGCCGTTGATTTTGACCCAAGGATTCCACAGCTGCACTAAGGCCAATGGTCATTGGGTGGTTATGTCCCAGCCTGGGGCTCCTTGGCATGGCGTCATGAGGTTTGAGCCGGCTTCATGGGAAAATCCGGTGTGCAGTTGTTTAGCGCGACCCCTTGATGACTTATACTGGCTGCAATCCAATTGATGGTACAACTGAGTACCATAGATGACATTTTGTGATTAGCCATGGTTTAAATCATCATCTGGGAAGTCGCGGTAGTGACTGACCGGTGGTGTTTGGCTCAAGTTTGCGGGTCCGTCGCGCCTCGGATGAGCGTCGCCGGGTCCCCGCGTCGATCACCTTCGTGTCGGTGGAGAAAGAGACATCGGCCCGGGGCAGATTGGTGGGGTCCGCCCGTGCGGTTCGGCCTTGCGGGTACTTGTTTACTTGTTTTGGTTTTTCTCTTTTGGTTGTTGTTCTCTGGTGTGTGGGAAACCCTGATCTTTGGGACCAAGTTTGCGGGTCCGTCGCGCCTCGGATGAGCGTCGCCGGGTCGCCGCGTCGATCACCTTCGTGTCGGTGGAGAAAGAGACATCGGCCCGGGGCAGATTGGTGGGGTCCGCCCGTGCGGTTCATCGTCGATCAAGGTTGCACTTTGGGACCGGGGATTGGTTTGCTTTTGGGGAACCTTTCTTTGTGGCTTGTTTACCCCAACTAACCCATTGCCTGGGCACAGGTTCGTGCCCGAATCACAGGTTATCAGCCGTAGGACTTTCCTACGCGCTTGAGACCATCAACTCGACCCCACGCTCTCGCAGAAGTGTCGTGGATGAGGAGGCTATCCTAGGTGGTCTCCGTTCAGGTGAGGACTTGCCAGACTACGACTACGAGGAATTCGAGGCGGTTCAGCAGGTCAGGATCGCAGGGGTGATGATCCCGATAGGGACACACCCCGAAGCCGTGGCAGGCACACTGACGATGGAGACGACCGCATTTTCCGTCAGGCCACCGATGATGAGCAAGGACGAGGGGCTCGCCCCGATAGGGGCGGCTCCGAATCAGGTTTCGGACAAGGACATTTGGACTTCATCAGTATGGCGATGAACATGGCTCGTCCTCATACGGACGACCTGGAAGCCATGCCTAGTCGATCTCCAGGTCTCTTTTTCCAGGTGAATCACAGGCCCCGGAAGGAGTCGAGGACAGGCTGCAAGGGCCAGGAACCATGGTCTTGGCTCCGAGAGATATCTCGGGTCGATCAACTGGGTCTCAGAATCCAGGCCAGTTTGATGAGCACGAGGAGAGGGCGTTTGCAGGCATCGGATACGATGCCCTGTTATCGTCAACCGCGGGATGGGGCGGTAGCGTGAAGCCTGAGCCTGATACTGATAGGCCCAACCCAGTTTCAACGACTCCATTTGAATTCGATAATGATGAAGATTATGCCGCATTCGCGGATGCTTGTGATCAGGAAGAGAGTTTGTCATACCGAAATGCAAGGAGCCGTGATGCTGCGAGGGCCAGGAGCCTCACTCGTGGAGCTGCGAGGGACATTCGTGAGGACAGGGACGCCCGGGGCACCCGTAGGGGTTTGGAGGCCATCCATGACGGAAGAGGACCGATAGGTCCTCCCGTGATTGAACCCGTCCCGAATGTTCCCCCTTTTCCAAATATCACTTTTGGAGGACCGCTGCATCAAAGAGTCGAGGACATTAACCGGAGTACTGGTCCGTCCAGGATCACTGAGCGGGCCGCCAACGTGGTTGAAGCAGGTGCAAGGGACGGAAGACTTGCGAGTGCGCTAGAGATCAAGGATCGTCCGCCGATCGCAAGCCCGTTAGGGCGAGATCTCAGCGACCTCGAGCCACTAAGGTCAAGTAATGAATTCACTCCTCAATGGGGATCGGCCAGCAGGGAACGCAGTGCTTCTGCAAAGAGGCTGTCACCCTTAGCCGGAGGGACCGATAGGTCGAAGGCGAGGAGGGCTAGCCCTGAACCGATAGGTTCAACGCCGCAGGATGAGGACATGTTTGATCCAGCTGATGTTCATATTCAATCCACACCTGAGTCCCATGGGTCGAATGTTAATCCCAGATCCGGCGATAGCCGGCGAAGGGGCGTCAGTCCAAATAGGGCGCTCAGGATCACCGATGGTCTTGTTTCTGACCCCAGAGGGCGCACCAGAGTTGAAAGGGTTCCTGAGAGGATCGAGATATCGACCCCTTCGGCCCTCAGATCTCATTCTTCTGGTGACTCCGGTGACGCTAGGACTAAGGAAGTATTTGAGTTGCACATCCAGGAGATGTTCGAAAGAGGCGAAGCTTCTAGCTCTGTTGTGAACACCCTTAACGCTTTTGCTAATCAGATCAGGTTACTGAACGGTCAGGTGAGTTCCATGCGCAGGGAGTGGCATGATGAGAACCAGCAGATGAAGGACAGGGTTAGTCGCTTAGCCACCGAGGTTGAGACCCAAGCGGATGCTGACCGAATGCGATTGATAGTTCAACGGTTTGCCGGTGAGATCGTTCCCGATAGTAGAGCGATCGTTAGACATGCAATCGATGAGCAGAGCGAGATCATAGATCAGAGGATCAACTCACTCTCCAATGAAGTTCGGGATTCCGTTAGGAACGTAGAAAGTGGAATGGGTCAGCTTCGTCAAGTGATTCAGGATAAGCATCACGCTATCTTCAGAAGCCAAGGTGTTTTTGAGGGCCAGACAAATACTGAGATTGAGAAGTTTTAAAAGCGACTCTTTTCGGTAGAGAAGGCCGTTAGGCTGCCTCCATCTTCTGATGCTCCGGCTGCATCGGGGCCCGATAGGGCCACTAGCAGCGGGACTGACGTGAGTTTCAGGGACTTAACCGCGAGAGTCGATAGACTCCAAGGTGAAAGTCGACATGCGGAATGGGCTACTAGGGCTATTGACGAGCTCCAGGATGAGCACAGAACGTTTGAAATGCTGGAGTCACGGGGTGGCAGGGGATACCACATTGTCGATAGACCTAGGGACCCCGATGCCCCTCAGGATTGGCGCGAGGCGATCGAGGAGATTAACCGGAAGGTTCAGGATCTTACTCGTAGAGTCTATCGCCAAGGTCGGGATCATGATACCATCGTCGAGAATGTCGAGGCCGCGAACGCCCGCATCGCTACGTTCAATGAGAGTGCACAAAGGCTTCAGCAGGCTGCGCAAGCAATAAGAACTCAGCTTGGTAATATTCCTTCAAGCACGGAACAGACACAGGCCGTCGTTAGACGGGAGCTTGTCTTCTATCGCAACATGTTAGATTCGACCATGCGGAGACTAGGCGTCGTCGAGAACAACATCCGCGCCCTGAATGAAATGAATACCCGAGTTATGGGGCAGCTTGCCGATCTCGAGGGACATGTTGATGACGCGGCCGATATGCGTCAGGTCGTTCAACAAAATCCTCGTGGACCCCAAGGGAGGCCAAACGTCGGGTACAATGCTTTCGCTGGACAAGGACACAAGATCAGGTCGCCGACTCCTACTCGTGGAGATAGAAATGCTCAGAATTCTGTCCCATCGGCCAAGTGGGGGCGTTAGCCTAACTGATCATGTCTTCGAGGACAGTAGGAGAATCAACGCGAGTGATCAACCTCAGGACGACAGGGGGTCAATCTTGCCAAGCGTGCCTAGTAGGGTTGATGCTGATTCTCATGCAAACAGGCGCCCTGTCTTTTGTGTTAGGGAGAGGGGGGATAGCCGGAGCAGAAGGGCTCCGCAGATGCAAGATAGGTCATACTCCCCGCCGAGGCGCACAGGGGGTGCCGACAGGGAGCCCAAGGTTAGGAGTCGGGAATCGAGGAATGAGAGACCAATCCGCGATAGCTCGACGTCCCAATCGTCAACAAAGGGATGGCCAAAGCGACAGGGCCCGTGCTGACGTTCCGAGTCCTGGCGTTACATGTGAGCGTGCGTTCTGCCAATTGTGTAAGGGTGACGAGGGGGACTGTTGGAATTGCCAGCTCTTGAAGACGAAGTGCTGGGCTTGTCGCAAAAATTCTCAGGAGATATCTATGTATTCCTGTCATGACTGCGATAAGAACATCTGCAATGAGCATACGTTTCTTGGGCATGACTGTCTTGAACGGTGTTCGCGCTGCCATGCGGGACATGAGCGCGCTGGCCGTGGAGCGCCGCCTCCCCCTCCTGGAGGAGGAGGCGGTCATGAGGGATTACCGGGTCACGGTCGAGGCGGATGCGGTGGTCATGGGTGATTTCCGCGTCCACCTCCCGGGCCTGGGCCTCCTGGCCTTCTGGACCAATTGGTGGCCCAGCTGGAGGCGGCGGGGTGCCTCCCAGGGGACAACCTGGGGGAGGAGGAGCGCCGACGTTTAGCGGTACTGCTGTAGATTCTCACGGAGTGGAAACAATCAATGTGGTTCCAGCTTCTACGGTCCAGCCTACGGGGGTGGTGTTAACCACCAATTTATTGGTGTTGGCGTTAGCCAGCCCAACGTTGCTGCAGGTTACCCATCTAGTGTTGGCAGTGCTAGTAAT